CATATATTTGTTGCCCTCTTGATTTCATTCACATCGAGAACTGTTCCAGGAACCAACGATTTTGAATCTTTATTCTGATCAAGAAATCCTCTAATGTTTTTTGGCAAAGTAAGCAGGAGCAATTGAAAAATTCCAACAATGACACCTCGCCGTGGAAGACAAACCACGCAAATTGGTTGTAGCTTCCCATTCTGTGCTAACGGAGCACAAGCTGTCAATGTAAATTAAAACATGGAGAGATATGCCGCGGCACATAATATACTCTAGCTTTTTCCCACAAAGATTTCACCTTCATATCAGACAACAATTTGCCAAATATGAAATCATTCAACTCAAGCATAGACATTCTAATATTTGGTTACTGGCAACCATTATTCCATACTAGCATTGACGGAGCGTGTTCAATAAAGGTGTTTATTCAAACACACATCTGAGGGCTTTATAATGGATGTCAGCCCACCGGGAATAGCTGCAACATCGGTATTACATCATTTAAAATCGGATTTAATATTTTTACATAGGTGTGTTTCAATAAACATATCCAAACAAACATTGCTTTCAACAGTCATCCAGGACTATGCGCACACTCTCATTGCATTTTTGGTCATCCATCCGTTTTCCCTAATGAAGAAATTTCTCTCTAAGTAGCATATAGAAGATTTAATTTAAAATCATACTACGTTTCTTAATCACATTCTTCTACATGAGCATAAATTTTGTGGGACAAATATCGAAAGATCAATAAACGTTTGTTTACTGGTCATCCCTGTTCTCCTAGAGCTGTTTGTGCTGCTCCTACTTCTGTCAAGAAAATTCCGTTTCCAGTGCTAGTATCTTGCTACAGCCTAGGCATCTTCTGGATCCAACACCAGCGGTTCTGGCTTGAATAGTCTATCCATAGCTTGATGTTTAAGTTAATTAAATTGTGGTAACCTACGTTTGGTTTATTATTTTTGTTGCCGATGAGGCAACTTCGGCCAGATTTCAAGTATTTAAATCCAGTCGTCACTCGTTTGCGATATCTTCACGCGCGGATGTTCGACATAATTATAGGCCGTATTAGGAGAGACTCGTTGTGCCTCGTTCTCATTAGTTTTTGAAACAAATTTTTCTGATAATGATGGGCCGTCAAAGTAATTTTTTCTCTTACTATTTATTACTTCGTTATTTGAACCGCGACAGGAAAGAACAGTAATCATCAAAATACCCAACGAAAGTACACAAAACATTTACATGAATACCAGTTTTCATTTTCAATCTGCCATTCAAAACTCTCTGCACTTTTCGGTTTTGCATTGCAATGTAGCTTTTTCCAATGTCGTCGATATTGCAGAACCTTTCTTTCCCAATGCCTTAACTACTGCATCAATTGCTTTTCTCTTTAACTACTGGACCAATTACTTTGAAATTTTCAGTGGTGAAAGATAGTATTTGTCGCTAGAAGGCTACCTGTGTTACTTTTTCGTGTTCATATATTTGTTGCCCTCTTGATTTCATTCACATCGCGAACTGTTCCAGCAACCAACAATTTCGAATCTTTATTCTGATCAAAAAATCCTCTTAATGTTTTCCCTCTTCTTTGAAAGTGTTGAAAGAATTTATGACATATATAGCCAGTGAGCGGGAACGATTGAAAAAATGCCAAAATATCATCTCACCGTGGAAGACAAACGACGGAAATTGGTTGATATAATAATTGTTTAATGGGAGCTTCCTATTCTGTGCCAACGGAGCACAAGCTGTTAACGTAAATTAAAACATGAAGAACATGAAAACACTACGTTTTATCGTGGTTCTAGTTCGTGAATATCGAGAAAATGGCGATGTGAATGACATGAAATTCTCTGTAAGCGCAAAAAAATAAAAATTACAAAAAACATTATCTTACATTGTGCTTTGCTTGAATCGGTGTCGTACAATCTTTTTGAAAACACGCTGGAATTTTCTGTCATTCACTGAATTGAAGTTAATATCCAAAAATAAATAATGCCATAAATACATGGTGGCATTATTGATGAAGCCTAGTCACAATTTTCAGATGAATTTTTGATACCAACATCAATTTCAGATAATAAAGTAAGATTACGAGAGGAGGATTAATGAGGAGTGGTCGTTAAAATTATTAATCAGTGTAATGTATGTCCTTACATTTTTTTCTAAATGGGCATCCATGGATTGTTCTTACCTCTGTAAACAATATTCTTTAGAAAAATCAGCGGTTTATAGAAGTTTATTCGTTTACATTTTAAAATGTAACTGGCCATGGGAGGCGCAGTTCTTATCATTTCATGGTGGCTCCTGCCACGAACGAACGTGGCGTCTCTTGCCATGGTCGTATCTGAAATGCTGAGTAGTCAAGTGTTGTTTAAGGCCATCTGATGTTGCAAATGAGACACAATGCAAAGATAGCATTGATGAGAACCTTTCATTTCGATGCACAAATACTCAAAAGTTTTCAGACTTGAAATATGTATTAACCATCTCGTTGTTTCAATCCATTAAGGCAGGGGTCGGCAACCTACGGCCCGCGGAGTACTATAATCTGACCTGCGACGCTTCATTGAAATATAATAACAAAACAGCTGATTTGACGATTATATTCTTAACATAACACAATTTATTTTGAGACACGTGTAGACTAAATTATATTATAACCTAACAAGTATATAAATCACAATTACTCGTTTAATGAGCCTATAATTTAATTATAACTAGACAAAAAGCAACAAAACGCAGAAAAATTGATGCTAAGTGCAAAAGGTTCAATGGCGCCGAAAATATTTAAATGTAATTTTTTGAGATGCAATGCAATGAGAAAAAAATAAATCTATATTCTATTCGAGAGATGTAAAACTGCTTGATATTCATCACAAAACGTATCATCCGTTGGGGTTTTCAACTTTCTAAAAATATGTGCGCCCCACCAATGACTTGCAACCTCTAATTTTGGCCCGCGAGCGACAGAAGGTTGCCGACCCCTGTATTGGGGTATTTAAAGAGATCTTACTACATGCCTTGGTTTGTGGCAGTACAATTTTAGCCGTCATGGTTTCTAATTTGCTGCCGTGGTACCCACGCCTCATGCCATTGTTTTGTGGCAGCTAAAATGTCAGCCGGCATGGTCTGACCGTAGCGGCCATGGTTTGCGGCAGGTTCAGACGCCACAAAGTGGCGAAAACTGCACTTGGGCCATGGTGCGCTCCCGGTCTGCTGCACGCACTGAAGTTGTCGCTGCCTCAAAATACATGCTCGTCATCAAAATCATCTCCACAAAAATTAACATCGCATTGTATATCAATGCAGAATCCTTATTCAACCATATTACGGATGCAGTTCATGACTCAGTTGTCAAATGATCGCCCTTCCCATCACGTATGCTCAAGATTGGTCCATATTTGAATGACGTGCAGCAAAACCAAACCCCCGATCCACTCTTCTAGCCCCTAACACAGGGGTTGCAAATGGCGTCCCGCGGGTCAGAACCAGTGGTTAGCTGTGGCCGGAACGGCGTTCCGGTTGTTGGACATTTTGCTGCATTTGCGTTCCTGTTGTTGAAATAAAATTGTGGTACAGTTTCTCTGGTTAACTTAGTTATTAATTTATGTTTTGTTACATTATAAATCGTGTGTCTTTTTACGTCACATCACGCAAATAATTTAGTACAGCAGTAACGTGTAATAAACGTTTCCCAGTCCTTTGACCCCGTGAAAATTCATTTTATACCTTTTTAATAATAAGATTTGTATTGAATTGCTGTGGATACTCTTATAATTTTACACAAACATATTTTATATAATGTATTTGCAGTTCTGTAAACGTCCGCGTCGTGTTCGGAATATTTTACATTTTTGTGAATTAGGGCGTTCCGGTTGTTACAATTTTTCCAGCTCATCGCTGGTTCACAACCCGGCCCGCCAAACTATCGAGCTTGACCTTTCAACGTTCAGATTTTTTCCCATCAAGTATAAAATCCTAATCCGACAGTTCATGTTTAAAAAGGCGCTCACATGGGTAAAAAATGCATGTTTTTTTGTTCTTTTCGCTGTGTTAAATCTTTCGACGTTTTCCTCGACGCCTTTATTACTGCAAAAAAATTGTTTTTTGACATGTTTTAACACATCAAAAATAATGAATCTGATCCAAGATTATCGAGTTCTTTGCCCTGAACGTTTTTACTCCCGTGACTCCAAATTTCGTTTCGTGTGTTTACTCGAGCGTAGTGAGCACGTGATGTTGGAGAATTTTACTCTAATGACGTCACGGGACAGCTGACTTGCTATTGTTCCTTATCTTAGTATATCTTCGGCATTTGTTCACTGATTCAGCTGTTTTGCTTTAGCGGAACCTAGTTCTCTGTATTAACGTCCTTATCAGTCTGATCTACTTTTGGTATTAGTTACAGTACCGGTACGTCGGTAACGTATGTCTGTATGTGTGTTATAGAATTCTGGAGAGCCAGCAAACCAGATGATCAGAACTTTCTGAATTTAGGATTTGGTTCATTTGTTATCAGGTTATTGGTGTTAACCTTTTTGCTCAATAACAACTGCTAAAATCAGAAAATGATATATACAGACATGGCAGTCTGGTCAATTAGTACTACAGTCTGACAGCAGGATGATAAGATCTAGTCTAGATAGTGAAATATCAGAATAGCCACAAAAGTCAGTGAACTGGTGAACCATCGCGGTAGGGTGGTTCACGTAACCGCTGGGCGGTTACGGCTTCCTCCACCATCAAGTCCACGCCTCCGAAAAACAAATAACTAACTAATCCCATACCCAACATGGAATGGTAACCATACGATAGGCCGTGGTTCGTCATATGGTTAAGCCGTCTTATCGTCTTTTTCTCCCCGAGAATGAATATGTAAATTCTATCCTATAATACTAACAAGTTTGGGACTATACCGGTACTATTTTATTATTTTTGTATTTCAACTAACAAATAATGTGTCAGCGTCTGTTTAACACTAACAGTATTCGTATTTGGACTTATAGATATAAGTGTAATATTTGATAAATATACTTCTAATGTAAGAAAGCAAATCTGTAATCTGGATACTTTAATACCAGAGTTAAAACCCTGGAGTACAGATTTTGAAAAAGCAGCAAAAATGACTGAGTGGCAGTCAATCGTTTCTACAGGAGTGATACAGAATTCATACGGATCATTTGTGCGCTCAGGCAGAAAACCAGCGGAACCTCTCTTCCAACATTATGTCGATCCAGGCGAAACATTGCCAGGAATCGCACTAAGATATGGAACTTCGACCGAAGAATTAAGAAGGATAAATAAGCTCCATTATACTGATTCAATACAATCCCGACAATATTTATTAATTCCGGGACAGAAAAATGGTGACTCATCACAAAATTCAGCAGTAAATAATGCAAAGTCAGAAAGTCCAAAATTTCTTTTGAAAAAGGGTAAAAATTCTGCGGAAAATGAGTCAAATTCTTCGCCGCAAAAACCAACAGTAGCAGAAGACAGTGTCCATGATTTTCTTCAAAAACTTGATAAACAAATAAATTCAACAATGAAAGTGACATCAACAATGCTCTCTGAGAAAAACGATATTGAAATTCGTAAAAATACTCACACACCTTGTGCCAAATTTATGAGGAGAAAGCCCTCGTTTGAATCGGCCACAAAGACAACTTTTTCAAACTCTAATTCCTTTCATCAAGACACAGATGAGCTATTCCAACTTTAGTTTTATTTATCTCTGTTTTTTTAGCATATCTATTAGTTCAAACATTGAAAAATGTCATTTGTAATTTCACTATCACTGTCACTTTTGGGCTTATGATCTGTGATTTGTTGTTCTTTTTTGATTAGTCTCGTTTTAAGACAGGCTACCATATATGGAAAGCCAATTTAGACATAGAACACAAACCTTTGTGCTACACTTTTCGCGCAGTATGTAGCAAGACTCTGTATATAAAGTGTATGTTTTCCCGTGCATTGATTTTGTAATCCTGACCAATCTTCAAAAAGTCAACAATGACATAACAATTGAAATTTCCGCTCAAGCAAATAGTTTGCGTAGCAAAATAAGCACAAAAAAATATGGCAATGTTAAATATATGGGGGAATTATTCTTGGAACAAGGGAAACGTCCATGTCCACAAGGTGACCCAAAAAACAGATCTTAAAACAGTTTATTTGAAACATATTCTAGAGGGAACATAACTTTTGGGCAAAGCTTCCTAGATTACTGAGTGTTGAATAAATTGTCATAAATAATTTTCATGGAGTAATAAAAAAATTTATAGGTTCTTTTTTTTCGAGTCGAGTTCTTCCTGAACACAATCATATTCGTCCAAATGTCTGAAAGAGATTCACAAATTTATTTATATGGTCTATTTGGGTAGCAACTTTGGTCGTTACTATCAATTATGCTCCATTGTCCGCCTAGTGGTAAAAGTGGCAGAGACTGCGTAATAAATTTTTTAATAGTTTAGTAGTTGAAAAATATCAGGTGTTAGTTATGTAGTTGAAATGTGTTTTGTTCACACACATTATTATTTTCTTTTGATATATTTAATACTCACTTATTAATCATGTTGTCCTTGTAATTTTGTTTTTAACGACCATACCTAAAAGACTGCTTTTTTCACTTTTGTCAACATGCACTTGGTTTACGGGCATAATATACTGACATCCATTATAAATTCACACCTATTATGAATTCACATGTATGTTAGTGACTGCTGAAAACTCCTCTGCTAGTGATTTAGATAATTTTGAGTGACAGATTGTGAACTTTTGAGGTCAAACTTACTTTAAAACAGAAAAATTTGATTCATTGTTTCACACCAATGATGTTTTCAACATTTCAAATTTGACAGGCATTAACGCGTAATATAATGACACCGTAATCTGTATAGTCTTACTAGTCTCACCTTGAGACTTGGCATTACAATGGTCATCCATAATAACTTTCCTCAGAGATGAGCTCCCTTACTTGACTCCTTTACCACATGACTTTTCTTTCAGTCAATTTCCATTCAGAAATTTAGCCAGGCCCAATTCTTTTAAAAAACCACATTATAATCAATCCGATTTCTCTGTATAATTTCCTTTGACATGTGTACTATATCTTGTATTCTAAATATTTTGTTTTGCATGGAGATCTCTAGCAAATTATTTTTAGTGTTTTCTGTAGCAAATATGAGTTTGACGTCATTTAGTTTATGTATCCCCACTCGCCCTGGTGTTTAGTGTTCGATGTTTTGTTTACACTTCATTTTATCTCTAATGTGGTTTTAGGATAGCAACCGTTGAACCAGAATCCGACTTTTTGTCATGATTAGGGCTGGTCATTTCTCAATACTATTAGATTTCAAAATCTGGATGAAATATCTTTAGGATTTGATTTGGGAGTTAATAACATTATATCGGTTTCATTCAACTACAATTTAAGATACAGTGAGATTGTATCTATTTGATGTCAAATAGGGTTTATTATGGTTGTTGAATAAAATAGGATTGGTTGAACATTTCAAAATACTATGATATTTCGAAACTTGTGAAACCATTCTGTTGAATCAAATACTTCACTACGTCGTAACTTTTATATACGTTTTGAATCTTTCCGCGGAATTGGGGTAGTTGATATATTTTCAAACTAAAAATATAATTTCAAATATATTTAAAAAAGTAACCCCATATAAGGTAGCTGTCCCCCTGTAACCCTAGGAATGCAGGTAGATGGGCCAGCCCCTCGGAACTGCGCCCTTGCTCAAGAGAAAAAAGCGTTTTTTTCATACAACAATTAATACTATTCAATATGGGTGTTTTTGTTCAAAAATACTATATTTCTGTTTTTTAATTTCATCATTTCTGTAGTAAAATCATGAAATTCAGGAAACTGACCTATAAGATATTAAAGAACCATATTTTAACAAACTTACTAAAATTTTAGCTTCAGCTACTAATTCTGTTATGGAAAAATTATATGATATGATTGAATCATATTGAATGTTTTTTATACGCACATTGTTTTATATTTACTTTTCCAAATCTACCTATATATAGAGCGGAATTTTGTGTTCTTCATCATGTTCAATTTTTGACGCTTCAGTGTTTGTGTACCAATATGGAGGTAACTAATTTTGTTCGCTTATTTTACATCTAGTTGTGTAAAGGGACTGAAACCTATGGGCAGGGTGATATCCACTTGGCTAACACAGACAGTACCCGTACTCGTAATGTAACTAATATAAGGAAAATCGGAATAAAACTATCGTCTAACCTGGTACACACACAACATGAGTATATAGTTTTTGACTAATAAAAATAACACTAGAAAATTCCTTCCTCGTAAATTTGTATCCTCGGATGGTTTCCTCTATGGCAGGGCTACTCAACTGGCGGGCCGCGGTCCGAATCCGGAATTTTCGAGTATTTGATTCGGACCGGCCCTAATTCTTTATTTTGGATCATTAGCCCAACTTTACAAGTTTCATTTTATAAAATTTCTTTTATAGTTTTGAATATATATGACAAGAACTATACCACCATAATAAACAATCTTGATTAGCTGATAATCATTAGCCGGTCGAGGTAGTGCGCGTTTAAGGATGCCGAAATATAAATCCTGGAAACACCGAACCCAAATTATTTTGAAGTTTTGTATCCGGATCTTCAGTAAAAATAGTTGAGTAGCCCTGCTCTATGGTTCTGATTATCACTTTGCTAGTCCTTGAACTGGTAATAGAACTAAAATAAGGAAAATTGAAATAAAATTATGGCTTAGCCCCAACCTGGTGCACATACTACGTTTCGGTGTCTGCTATCTTGGTTCACATACTTCGGGAATACCCTGTGTTGATCCTCAATCCTGGATCTCTAAATTAAATCGGTCTTTGAGTAAAGTCATAGTGGCATGGTTACTTTGTCACAAGTCTGAGTGATTCAATTTAGATCATTGCTCCCTAACCTTTCCCAGTTTTTGACCCACTTTTCTTGCCATTTTTTCTGTGCGACCCGCAATGAGATATTACTATAAGAGAAAAAATAAACAATGTATCCCATGCAATTTTCAATGATATTTTCAGACAAGCCCCCGTATGATGACGGTGCCACAATTTCATGATGTAATTGAAAACTGTATGTAACATTTGGAAATGCTTAACTTGCCCACCTTGAATAGCTTCGCCACTCACTGGTCGGGAAGCACTGATTATCACTGTATCCCCATGAAATAATGCGAAACTCGAAGTTGCACAATGGTTACAGACAAGCCCACACATGATGATAATGACAAAATTTTTATGATGTAATAGAAAACTTTATGTAACGTTTGGAAATGCTTGATTTTCCCACCTTGAATAAGTGACTCACTATTTGAGAAGCACTGATTTAGATGACTTTAATCCATAAAAAAGGTGACTCTATTCGCCCCCATACTTGCTTGTATCCTTATAAAATTATATTCTTGTACTATTTCTTATTTTAGTCATGTATGTTTCATTTATATACTAATGTGTATGACTATGCTATTGTTCTTGTCAATATTATTATGCTGTCAGAATAGCTGTTTTCATGTACTTTATGATGTCATAATTATTATTTCTATTATAATTCATAAACACAATTTCATACTGTAAGCTGTGTAGACTGTGAAATTAATTTTTTTTAAATAAATTTTAGATCTATCGGTAGTTTTTATTAAAAAATAAAGAAAATGGCGAATGTACTGCTTCAATCGCCCTCTCAATTGAACATGGTACGGACTGCAATATCTTGCCCCACCACTCCGAGGGAGGTAGGTGACGGTATGGAAATGGATAAATCTGAAAAGCAAGAAAATATGCTTCCCAAGTATATAACCCCACTTTCAAAGACTTCGAGCGGGTACTCTACCCCAGTTTTACTTCCATCTGACAAGATCACACTCTCTGCAAAATCACAAGTTCAAAGGTCAATAAGTCAGAGGTCAATTATAGATCAAGAGGAAGAGTTTCTGCACAGAGATTCACTACCAAGTCCTGTCCCATCTGATGCGTTATCACCCAATATTGAAAAGTTTTTGATCGAAGAGAAAGCGGCTCTTAAAGATCATCTGGAAATTCAAGTGCAGGTGAGACTGGTTTTGTCATAGTTTATTTGATGTGTTTAAAAGAAAAGTATGTACTTCAATTATCATATAAACACTGTCGTGTCGAATTTTCATCTCTAAAATTAGAGGATGCGTAATATGCATTGGTATAGAATATTTCAAAAAATCCTTATCACTTTTTGACACGAAATTGTCAAATAGTTGATCACATGCATCCCTCTCATTTTTTATTAGTTTTATGTGACAAAGTCTGTTATAACCAGATCATGCTTGTCGCAGTAAGAGCACACCCACGGAATGGGCTATTTTGCCTGGCAAACAAGATATATTTCAATAACTTCAACTCGTTTTGAGCAAACGGTAAACATGAGGCTAATGAATCTTTTTTTCGACTGTTTTTGACTGCGGGTTTCTTTTTGAAGTGGCACCTGCGCTTCGTTGCAAAAGCAGCGGTTTTTATGAAAGATTGAAAATAAATTTTATTTACACTTGAATATACAAATTCAACAATGGAAATACTAATAAAATAAACAATTTCACAAATTTAAAAGCCCTTGAATTTATCCTCAGTTTCGTGATAGTAGTCGAACAATGTCTTCCATTCGTTTTCATTAATGTTGTCTAAGAGTTCATCGTTTTTGTATTCCTCTGACTCTGGAACACGATGACCCGACCAAATCTTGTCATCCTCGGTTCCATCCATGGCATTGCTGATCCAGCACCTCTTCATGAACCCCTCTCTGCCCTTTGCTATGGTTTCAGCGGGCATTTCCGCATCCACTATCCACGAACACATTATGGTCAAATCGACCGTTTTTCTCATGCCACCTTTGGTGTACGAATGATCGCCATTGATCATCCCTTTTTCCGTAGTAGCGCCTTAAAAGGCTGAATTCACAACAATGTCGAGAGGCTGCAGCATAGAAGTAAGCCCATTATACACAAGGTCCGACTCGAAGTCAATAAGGATAGACAATAGACATTATTTCTGGTTTCGTGTGACAGCGAAAGGCATCCGACACCAGCTAGACCGTCCATGTCGCATGCCGCCAAATCGCCGCTTCCATACTCTTTAGTTCAATGTACTTTCACCAAATCATCCCTTTTCTTAGGTAGTGGAAATGGCAACTAGCAGAAGTACATCTTTTGGCATACTTTTTTATTTTAATATGGTGGGAGCGTAGTCCCATTGGCGATACACGTCAGAATAACAGTAAAGCGGTTTTTATCATTTCCAGTACATCTAACTGATTTCGTTTTTGCCCCTCTATGAGTCACAGTTGTCAACGGCGACATATCGAAAGTTACAGGAGTTTAATCTGTATTTCTGATTGGATTGAGGGCGTACTGATGTAATTTACGCAGACGAATAAAGTTCCAGCTGAATTTCATAGTCCCATGACAGTTTTTGGCAAATTGCTGTTCGTCGCATATTGACAAGTTGTTTATGCCGCTTCAAAAATATGTGACACTATTGGTTCAACACCTTGAAAGAGTTATAGCTCATATTTCCAGCTTTTCTTAGTGCGTTCAGTAGCATAACAACTTTCAACTTGAAGTAGCGCTGTGTAGCTTCGTCTGGCAAGTTTCTCAATCTTATCTGTAATGGGCTACTGCACAAATTGTAACTGAGCCAGATAACAGCATGCCGAGATTAACAGGCGACAGGCCGGTCGACGTCAAAAACACTCGAAACATGTTATTAAATCACAATGAAACTTGCCAAACTCGCTTGATCTCGAAAATACAAAATGAGGTCGACACAAGCGAGGATCGGAAATCGGCCGTGTGTATAATACATGGATGATCATTTTCATGTAATTCAAACCCTAAAATACCCGTGTGTATTATGGGTGCTTATTATGTATAGCGAAATATGGTAATTTTATATTTGCTAATTTAAATCAGGGGTTTGCAAGCTGTGGCCCGAATGCGGCCCACAAGGAAAAATTGTGCATCCTGTGAAACAAATTCTAAATTTAGTTTAATTTGGTGCATAATCTCCCTCTCCCCCGGGAGTAATCTCAATTAAAGCTAAGGGCCGGGTCGGGCTTCAGATCTTAGCTCTAAATGGGATTGGCCTGAAATGTCAATCATCACATTCAGGTCGGGCTTCTCTATCGCTGACTTTTTTTTTTAAATGAGGCTTTTCGACCGTGTTTTGGCCACAAGAGATCGTGGTCTGCAACAAAACAGAAGTTGCTCCATCAACACGACACATACTAAACTCTTGCTATGAGAATTCAATAAACTCCTAAATAAATTATGACATTTCGAGTTTGCTTCGGGCTCGGGCCTGCAAATCCAGTTAATTAGTCTGGTCGGATTTAATACCCACACCCCTGAGTCGGTCCGAGCTGGAGTTTTTGGGCCTGATCTGACCTCTAATTCCAATATACCTTAACTTGAGTCCAATTCTCCTCCAGTGATTTGAATGTGACCTACCTGTAAAGGTTGCACTGATTTATATATTTCATATTTTCTATTCTAAAGCAATCATTTGTTTTTTATTTCCAGGTTAATCAAGAACTCAAACGACTTCTAGTTGCTTCCATTGGTGAAGACATGGGTTTCCATTACGAGAGGATTGCAACAGAAAAAGCTCAACTTGAAATGGAAAACGAAAATTTGAAGAAAAAATTAGCTGCTCAGGTCTGTGTGATGAAGTTTTTTTACTTCCTTGCTTTTAAGCAATTTGTCTAAATTGTTTTGCTTCCCTGTTACTTCAAGATGTACACTTTGATTAGGAATGATCCAAGATTGTTTTATCAAGAGAAGCGACCGAGATTCATCTCGTTACGAGCGTCTATGACAAAATCCTGATTTTTTTGCTCTCGTTTTTTCAAGAGTTGTATAATAGGTCGGGATAGACGAATAATGTCTTTTAAAACAGCACTTGCAAAGTTGGGGACGGCACTAAGATGCAAAGATCTGCAACTGTGTAAAATTATATTACAGCATTTCCTATCAGAGATTGCCAATTGAATGGGATAAGATTCACTGTATATCCTCTTGAATAAGCCGAGTTTAAAAAACTAAAAAGTTGCCAAACTAAGGGGACGGCTTATATGTGCATGACTTTGATCACTCAGCGAAATGACATAATGCTATTTTACCGGTGATTCCAAGAACTCAAACCATGCTAAGTTCTCACAATAAAGAGCGTGCACACACGCCGATAGGATAGGATTTACATATTTATCCCAGGGGAGAAAACGCCAATAGGATGGCTTGTAACTTATAGGGCGTACCAAGTCCTCTCGTTCGATTACCAGTCCATGGGGAGTTTGTAGACAATTATTTGTTTCAGATACAGACTTGATGGTCGACGAGGAAGCCATACCTGACCATTTCGATGATTGATGCATTACTTGAAGCAGATAAAGTTTACAATACAATTAAAACAACTGTGATGTATTTAATTCCACAGTTCTGTTGGTTCATGTTTAATAGAGACGTTGGCAGAAATCATTGTGTTTTTGAATCCATGCAAATTTAATTTAGTTTGATTCCCTGCTCCTCCATTTGTGTAAAAACAACATTTACTGTAATAAGATTGTCAGACGTTAAAAGAAAGCTACTTTCCGTTCCAGCATAAATGTCAGATGCCTGAGATAAGACAAATTTTCAGACTTAAATATTCTATAAAGTTTAAATAAAATCATATCGAATATAACAAATTTTGGTGCTCCAGAAGTATGTGTACCAATATGGAGGTAACTAATTTTGTTCACCTACTTTACATCCAGTTATGTAAATTGTAAAGGGACGGAAGCCTATGAGCAGGGTGTATATTCACTTGGCTAACACAGACAGTCCCTGAACTTGTAATAGAACTAAGATGAGGAAAATCAGAATAAAATTATGCTTCAACCAAACCTGGTACACATACTACGGAAGTACCCAATTTTGAATCCCATAGCGAACACAAGAAACCTGCTATGTGACGCTGATCCATTTTTTCCACTTTATTTTATCCAGGAAGAAGAGGCTGAAAGACTGAACATTTCATGTGATGTCTGGAGAAGTAAATTTCTTGCAAGTAGGGTTCAATGTGATGAAACACAGGAAAACTTAATCAGGTTTGTTTTTGATTTTTTTTTGATTCAGAAATACTGAAAGTATTATAGTAAGTCTTTGAGTAAAGCAAGAAGACCAGTTGGCTTTAATTAGTTTCGAATGTCCTTGTCCATGGCGGACTATCCAAGTGTTTATGCGATTTTAAAAATTTACTATCCAAGTGTTTATGCGATTTTAAAAATTTATTTCAAAGTTGAATCTAACAAATATTCTCTTTTTTAATTAGGCAGGTGCCACCGTTTGAGAACCACTGTTCCAATATATTAATTGGGGCTCCCGAAGTATGCGAACCAAGATGGCGGACATCGGAATGTAATATGTGTACTAGGTTAGGGTTAGGCCATAATTTTAGGTATAAATACTACGGGAGGCTCTTGGCTGGTCTTCGAACTGATAATAGGACTAAAATAGGGAAAATTGGAAAAAAATTATCGCCTAACCCTAACCTGTTACCCATGTTACGTTCCGATGTTCGCCATCTTGGTTCGCATACTTCGGGAGCACCTATTAATTTTACTATTCAGTTTTAACAATTTTTCTCATTTTTCAAGACTTCAACGACGTCATCGTGAGTTGGAGACAGCAGTTCGAGGATTGTTACGGGAACATCGCATGAGATCAGAACATCTTGAAGAGATTCACGAAACTTTGAAACAATTACATGGCGCTTTGCAATGGGGGAAGAAAGGTTGGCTTTTTATGAGTAGTAATTTTTTCGCAGTCAAGTGTTTTCTAACGTGGTCCATGGGCCTGCAGTAGGTCCCAAGAAAAATGTATGACTGAGATTAATGAGCAAAGGTTTGGAAGTTGGTCAAATTGATAAACAGTCTGTATTGGACATACGGATTGGTATGTCATTGACACTTTGTAATTTTTCATGCATTGTTTTTATTGATACTCATTGAAGGTTTTGGGGCCTATGATTTCTTTTGGCACTTAAAATGGGCCACAAAAGTTGAGAAATTCTTTACATGTATGCTCTGTGAACAAGACTTTTTACAAGTAGCTACTGATATGCGAAAAGCTTTTATTTCTGTAGATCAAGAAATCTAATAAAAATGATATAGGGCTTTGGGTTGACTTTTTTGTAGCGATTTTCATAATAGTTTTCGTGTGGCCACTCTGAACACAGCTATGTATGAGCAGCCACAGGTATGCACCAGGTCATTTTTATAAGTGCCAGAATTTTTTGGGTTTCGCATTGCGGAGTTGATGTTTTTTTGTTGAAGCCTTGAGTCAATTGTAGTCACAAAGTGTTGGGGCAACACAGGGGGGGGGGCTCCCTTTTGATACTGAGAATAAAAAACATTTTTCTGTATCGTACATAGAATTTTCGGAGCTTGAACACTATTTAGACCCGCAAGACTTGAAAACCCTCCGGCCGGACTGTCTAGCTGCTGCAGCCTCGCTTGCCAATTAGAAATTTCAGAAACCCCTGTTTGAAAATTCCTAGCTACAGAATATCCTATATTTAGAGTTTTAGGGTATTGAGTCAATATTCTGCATTTTTCAGAAAACCAAACGAAATCAAAGAAAAAGGATTCAGAAATACCTGTGGATGAAGACTGTTTAAAACTGTCTAACTTAATATCGTCCCAATTACTGGGGTCGTCGCGGCCCATTACATCGAGGACGACAGGATACAAAAAATTCCTATCGTCATGGAAACGTATCGGCTCGACCGGAACTGGCCCACACACCGCACAACCCGAATATGAAGTCAAACCAACGCTTGCGGAAAAATATATTTTACAATTGTTAAGAGAAAATGGTCCAACAGTGACACCAAGTGTTCCGAAAAATTTAGATTATTATCCGAGTCCCGTTAATCGCAGAAGTAGTGGAACTGTTACAGGAAGGTTTCATCCACATACTAAATATGATAACATAACTCTAGCTTGTTGCAGTAAATGTAAGGGAGAAATACATGTTATATAGTCTGGATTTTTCGCCCAATTCAATATAAATAAAATTGTCAGACCCTCAACTCACATCGAATATGCCCCTGTCTACGGTCCTTGTTATTGCAACATTTTAAAGCCTGTATATATATATAATTTATAATATACATGTTTTTCTTCGATTTATGAATTGCTTGCACAAGTGCCTCATGTGAATAAAACTTGTCAAAAATATGTGACAAGCGAGAATGTCGAAACGCCTTTCGAATGGTCTTTGGGCTACTTTCATTGATCTTAAACTGACTAGTACCGTAGGTGTCAATGTTTTCTTTTTCAAACTAATTTCGTTAAACAATGAGACTCATTTCTAAGTAAAAGTTATGGTCAACCCCTGCATTGCCAATAGATACTGAAACTATATATATAAATGCGGCCGTACATTACACATGAGAACCACTAAAAAAGAAAGTTACTTTAAAAATGAGAATTAGATACGACTCCTTTAAAACTGATTCTAATCTGTCATGAGTTTCCAAGATTACTGATGAAGACTGTAAGCACTTTAAAATTTATATTCATTAGTAATAAAAGGCATCAAGTTCAATTTTATTATTTTCAAGTTCCCAACATTACTCGGAGGGTGAAATTTTTGTAAGATTATTTACAGTTCAACTGTTCGAGTATTTTATTCAACAAGTTTTATAAGTTCTTATGTTGGAGATGTTATTTTTTTGTGTAGTTTTAAATAATGATTAATTTCAAACTAGTTTTAGTTTTTCATTTCCAAGTTTTATTCTTGTCAAATGTTTAAAATGCATTTCTGACATATGACTTTTTTCGGGGCTCCCGAAGTATGCGAACCAAGATGGCGGACATCGGAATGTAATATGTGTAGTAGGTTAGGGTTAGGCCATAAGTTAGGTATAAATACTACGGGAGGCTCTTGGATAGTCTTCGAACTGATAATAGGACTAAAATAAGGAAAATTGGAAAAAAATTATCGCCTAACCCTAACCTGTTGCCCATGTTACGTTCTGATGTCCGCCATCTTGGTTCGCATACTTCGGGAGCCCCCTTTTTTCTTTCGAACATGGTATTGATATGTTACTTGGTGTGTGAGAACACTCATCGAACCGTCTGAGTAATAGATTGCGTGTTTTCACTGATTTATGTCTCTTGAAGACCCATCAAAACATACCATACAGCTACATATCTTCCAATACTATGTATTCAAAAGATGCCCAGCCCGAAATTCGATTTTTGGACATGGAAATGTTTTGTAATGGCAATTTAAATGTTAATAAATGGATAAGGTGTGTCATGATCGAAGCTAAGGATGGCACTTTTGGATTTACGAATCCCATCTTTTTTTGAAGCGAGAGACTTTGATTCAAGATTCGATTAAAAAAATATATATTCAGAAGCGAAGCGGCGAACCTAATTAAAAATATGCATTGCAATAATACCATTTAGGTATAGAATACTGTAAAGTCTCCCCCCCCCTCCCCCTTCGCTCATCCCAAAAGGCTCACCTAGGATAGGATAGGATTTACATATTTATCCCGGGGGAGAGGAAAGCCGATAAGACGGCTTATCCATATGACGAACCACGGCCTCTCGTCCGGTTACCATTCCAAGTCGGGTATGGGATTAGTTTTACTGTATTGTTTGTTTTCGGAAGCATGGACTTCGTGATGGAGGAAGCCGTAACCGACCAGCGGTTACGTGAACCACCCAACGACGAGAGGAGTCCAGCAATCCTCTCGCACATAACCATTCCTGTATGGGATTCGAACCTAGTTGGAAACGCCTCTACTATTGCATAAAATATGTCCAAACATTTTACACTGTTAGATATTTTTGTAAGGGTGATACTACTACATGTAAATACAAAGTAAAATAGCTCCTAAAGTCCTCCCTAGTTAAAAAACCCTGTAGTAGTGTATATATTATGTCCAAACAGTAGAATGCGTAATTTGAAACTTTTTTTAAATTTCATTCAAAGGTGCTAAATGCCGATGGTGCAATCATTCATATATCAGTGTTATGATGTAATAAGGGCTTTCTTTTGTTTGTCTCTACATATCTTGTGATGTAATAAAAGCTTCCCTTTTGTGTTCATATATCTGTGAAGGTTTTTGTAGGTTTGCGATTGTGACATCAGCAAGGATTTGTGGGCATTAGGTTTGAGATCTGACCGAGTAATCCACCCAGTAGAAAAATAAGGTACTTCGGTTGTGGATAGGATAGGATTTACATATTTATCCCGGGGGAGAGGAAAGCCGATAAGACGGCTTATCCATATGGCGAACCACGGCCTCTCGTCCGGTTACCATTCCAGGTCGGGTATGGGATTAGTTATATAGTTTTTCGGAAGCATGGACTTGGTGGTGGAGGAAGCCGTAACCGACCAGCGGTTACGTGAACCACCCAACCAGGTTAAGGTTAGGCGTTATTTTTTTCCGATTTTCCTTGTTTTGGAATGCACCAGCACGCAATTCAAATATTATTGCCAACTTGATCGTTACAATTCTACAGTGTCTCGTAGACGTATGGGATTTGAGGTCCAATAATATTTATCTCAAAGGAAGGAAACTAGAAAATTATTTTATCACTCGTTGACCAAATTTATTTATAAGTTTAACTGAATGTGCCAACATGAAACTCATAACTACTTTATTTCATTATAAATATTTCTATAGTATACATCGAATTCGCTATTTCGAATAGTTTTCGTAGCACTTAGTCTTTCATCGGTTGCCGTATCATTCTCAGAAGTGAGTAGCTATTACTTCTGAGTGGATTCGCGCGCGACTCTGCGTAGAGCATATATTCAAAACAGGGTGTGCAACCTTACAGAAGGGCAAGATACAAATAACTGGAAAGCTTGTTTCGTTCCGGACTTCATCTTCGCTAAAAAAAAACTTTTGGGTATGCAAGCCTTATTTAATATATATACTCTTGAATGTTAACCCTTTCCGTGCGGTGGGCACGTATACGTACCCACGACAAAACTCGCTAGATTGCGGCGGGTACGTTGATGTACTCCACTGTTTTATTTAGCAATCGGTCGCAAACTGTTGGTCTAGTTTTTCCGGGTTTTAGGTTATTGATAAGGAGTCTTCTTCGAGATTAACATAAGCGACGATAAATCTCGCTTTCGTTTACCATGGGAATTTTATTTGCGGCGGAACGAGGGAGTGTTTTTGAAATTTATGCAAATTTCGGTGTTTTTGGGTGGTAATAGAAGACATATTATCCCTTCCATCTACCAAAGTATTTTGAGTTAGATAACGAAATTGCTACAGCAATATTATGTTATTGTTTGCCAACCAAGAAGCGGTAACAGTAAAGGATTTAGCGAATATTTCTATTTTTTATCACGGTTTGAAGTTTCAACACCCAAGAAAAAAAAATGCCTTTTTTCTATCCGGTTTGTGACTCAGACCACCCCTTTTAAAAAAAAATTGTTTTTAATCGACAATTGCAAGCTCTTTAAATAAGCTTTCCAACGAGCCGTCAGTGGGCAGCAGAGGATCATTAGTTTTTCGTTAGTCGATCGATTAGTTGTGGGGGTACAAATGCATAAAATCGGCGTAGCAAATACGATTATTTAATAAAAAATAAAATTCGCATGGAAAGGGTTAAGATCGCTTATTAAACTTAATGCTCCCGAGTTTTTGTTTCAATTTTCGTTTTTTTTGTACGAAGCCGCCGCCAAAAAAAACAACCCGGCTAACGCTTAAAATTAGTAATAATCCAGCCAGTGTTCCATCTCTGCCACTTCTCCGCAGGCCGCATAATTTTTCCTTGTGGGCCGCATGTGGCATGTGGTCCGCAGGTTTCGAACCACTGACTTTCACGAATAGAAAAGCACTGTATTAATCAATCATCAATGCTCTATGATAGGTTTTCCATCTCTGTGTGAAGGAATGTTGCAAAACAACTAGATAAAAAATAAATCTGATAGAAACAAGGACTGGAATACAATCAGTAATTCCAGCTAGTGTTAGGAATGAAGATTGCGTTGGAAAGCTACATTTTTAAATCATTTCGAACCCTAATTGGATAATTACTAATTTGTTATTATGAAACGTCGGATAGTGTTTTCTCAAATCACACTTTTCATTAGCGGCGGGGGCTTTTTTGCAAAAAATCCAGTTTTTCTTCCGGCGCGAAAGGAAAAAGATCTTATCTTGATTGCCCGATCAAAACAATATGACTGTGAGACTAATGACGCACAGCAGTTAGTAGTGAATTGTTATGATTAACTTGTTTAGCCTTACTTCAAAAGTGCCTCTATAGTATACATCGGACCCGCTATTTTGAATAGTTTTCGTAGCACTTGGTATTTCACCAGCTGGCTTCTCAGCGTTACCAATGAGCCTTCACTATTAAGTGCATGCGCGCGCGACTCGGCATAAAAAAATACAAATTCTTCAGTTATTCTTAAATAAGCCTGTTGCTGGTGATAGCTCAACAATTTTCGCATTCGTCTGACCAACGACAAAAAAAAATGAACGAGAATATCGGTCAGAGACCGAAGACTTATCGATAACGTTAGGGGGATCCCAAAACAGCGCTTTTACTCCATAGTGACACCTTGTGTCCCATCACTACTTAATTAATAACTCGCTAATTATACGACGTAATTCGCCCAAAATCAATAGGCTTCTGGTCCGAGATATGATGAATGCACATGCAAAATCTGGAGCAGATCCAATCTTGCTTCCGTGAGATATCGCGTGCATCTAACAGACAGACATACAGACAAATACCTATCAACATACTTACCGATTAAAATCGATAAGTAAAAAATGTCCGCTATGACGCGTGAACCAGTAATACTTGTGAGATAGGGAATCTGTCAGTCACCTGCGTAGATCGGGTGCCTGCGGAGCATAAAGTAAATAAACGCTGACCGAAAAAGCAATTATAACTTAATTAGCAAATATAAGTGTCGTCCCTTAGTGCCGCTTCTCTCCCGCGTGGATTAAACTATCCGGAAATCTCCTATTTATTGAAATTATTTCATTCTATGAAAATATTTGGTCATTCTCAAAAAAAAATTGTTCTGTAGGGTATACTGTATTAGTTTAAATTTTACCATTTCATAAGCGTTTTGACGTAAGTCGATGAGATATATCAATATTTGCCTATTTCACATCAAATTGTGTAAAAGGACTAAAGCTTATGTGCAGGGGGATATTCCACTTGACTGACACAGACATTCCCTGAACTTGCAATAGAACTAAAAACAAAGAAAATCGGAATAAAATTATGGCCTAACCTGCTACGCACGGTACGGGAGTACCGACCAGGGCCCTCCCTTACACTGCATGTAGGTGTCTATAAAGTCTCTATAATTCAAAATATTACTAATATAAAATATTCTTTTCTGAAATTGGATTAAAAACTAATGAACACTTCGTATTCCTGCGACATCTCAATCAGACTTACTCATAAGACCAGCACATTAAAGAAGTAAATATCTAACATAATTCAAATTTTATTTTCCTCATGATGAATTTTTTTTGTAAATTAAACTAGTGCGCACTTCCTTTTCCTGTGACATCCTGATAGACTCATTCCAAAAGACCAGCATTGTTACAGAAGTGAATTTCTAACGTAATTCAGGTCTTATTTTTTTGTGAAGAAAATTTTTTTTTTTTTTTAATTTTAACTAGTGCACACTTCATATCCCTGTGATATCTCGATTAAACTTCCTCAGAAAACCAGCACATTACAAAAGTTAAATTTCTAACATAATTGAAATTTTATTTTCCTCACGAAAGGTTGGCGATGATAACATTGCAAATAAAACTGTACATTTGGAGGTTAGAAGCGAAATAGAGAAAAACATGAAATAGCAAACGAAGCTGAACTGTCACACATTTTTTTAGGTTTTGGCTGTTGATGGGCGCCAGATGCTTCCAGTCACTTCTCTTTTTTATTGGCCTTTGCTGCTGCCTTGGTTTCTTTCACATTAGCGCACTTTTTGGTTGTTTCCTTGATGACGCCAACAGCAACCGTCTGTCGTGGAGTTATACCAGGGATATGCAACTTCTCATACAGCATGGCCAGATACAAATAACTGAGTGAAAGCAGGGGCTTCACCTTTATTTAACATAGGATTTCTAGTTGTTGCAAGCACAAAAAATTTGGTTGCTTGCACATAACAGATTAAACTATAGAAAAATTCGTCTGAATTCACGCCATTCAAAATAGTCACATCTCGGGTTGCACAAGTTCTCCTTGTCAGCCGCATTTGGCCCGCGGTCCGCAGGCTGCACACTGGTCTTACACCATAAAAATAGTATGGTATTGACAAATCATAAAAAATTTTCAGCCAATGCTTTACGATAGAAGGTTCTCCATCTCCACACGAGGGAATGTCGCAAAACAAATAAGATGAAAGATTATAAACTGATAGGGACAAGAACTGGAAAACAAATCAGTAATTCACGCACATCGCTGATTATAGTAACAGCAAAATATTTAGCTGCTTTATCATCTATTCATGTACTATTATTATTATTAACAGCTGGGATGTTTAAACATCGAGGATTAGAAGCCAGTGGTTCCCAAAGTTAATTGAACATTGGTCAAAATTAGAAGTGGAAGAATATTCGCAGGCCAGGAGAGCGAATTGTCCGCAAGGAGCCTATACCGGTATGTATATTTAATTTTACCGGTATATTCGAATTGATATGAATATACACAACGCTTAACATGTCATAATAATTTAACAATTGGCGGTATCTAAAACGAAAAGAGGTAAAACATAAAGTGGGTACCACTGCTTTAGACGAACAGTCATTGGCACTGAAAAAGCTCCTGATAAAAATGTTCCTAAAATAGTCAATTTCCGAATCTTATACAAGCTAGAAATATGTAAGTTATCAGTTCAACAACCTAATAAAATTGTTAATATAATGGAAAAACGAACAATCTATTAATGAATCTTGCACGGCCTGAAAATTGAAAGTCTTCAAATATCTCGATCAGTTTTTTAACATGAAAGCCTCTGCAAGTTATACGCTCCCAAAAAGCAGTTGTTAAAGAGGCTTGAATTGACCCAAACAATTCATCTCAATAGAACAGGAACCGTTTATTTATTTATTTATGTCTTTTACGAGGAGGGTGGAGGGGGAGGTGGGGCTGGGGGCATCCCGAAAGGCATCATCCCCATACCCATATTATAACCCATGTTATTGTACCCCATACTATTGTCACCCATTCCCCATTGGTTCATGCTATTAGAACCATCCGTGCTTGAGTTATTATTGCTTCCGCTACCACCAGGGGGCGGTGGTGGGACTGGACCGGGCCCTGGGGGCATGGGAGGTTGACCCATTCCATTACCCATGGGACCCCACATGCCGTACCCCATCCCCATACTATTGCCATAGCCGCCCATCATTCCTCCTCCCCATCATGTTGGCCCCGCCCATCATATTGTTAGCTCCGCCCATCATGTTGTTTCCTCCGCCTCCCATCATGTTGTTGCCAGAATTCTGGTTACCTGAATAATATAATAAAAATTCTGTCTTTGAGGTAAGTATGGAAACATAATGGCTAATCCATTTCATGGAGTCTCAAAGTAAAATTTGTAAAATTGAAAGTCGAAGCCACAGTAGTTTATTTATAATTATTATGGAATTTTTAATATTTATCCGACATGAAAAAATATGGCAAGACAGACAGCTAAATTTTATATTTAACCACATACTCGCAAATCCTGATAGTAAGGGGATAGATAGTTATTACTTATCGATCTTAAGATCGGTAAGTATGTCGATAGGTATTTGTCTGTCTGTCTGTGTGTTAGATGCACGCGATATCTCACGAAAGCGAGTTGAATCTGCTCCAAATTTTGCATGTGCATTCATCTTAGCTCGAATCAGAAGCCTATTGATTTTGGATGGATTATGTCTTATAATTAGCGAGTTAATAATTAATTAGTGATGGGACACACAGTGTCACTATGGAGTAAGACCACTGTTTTGGGGGATCCCCTAACCTTCGATCGATAAGTCTTGGTTTCTAGCCGATATTCTAGTTTAGTTAAGAAAATTTCACTCTGAATTTGGCTCTGTTCAGGCAACCACTGGTATGTGAAAACATTGCCACTGCCTACACAATTCGTTACACCTTGTTACCTTGTGAAGTAAGGTATAAACCTGACGCCAACAAAATTGATAAAAAAACTAACCTGAACTATCTTTTTTATCACTCTTGCTTCCTTTTTTATTATCTTTATCATCATTTTGGCCCCACTGATTCTGCTGCCAGCTCCCACTGTCCGAACTTGGGGGAGGAGGGGGCTGTGGGGCATTACTTGGGGGTGGAGGAGGTGGGGGGTTATTAAAACCTCCCATATTACCCCCACTCCCTGAATTGTCCATCCCACTGGGTCCATATCCTCCCATATTGCTGTTGTCATATTGATTGCCACCCCAGCCCATATTGCCACCACCTGAAATAATAATACAATTTAATAAGACACAAAGTAGCAGATAGTTTTGCTTTTATTGTTGCTGCTCTTAGTTAGTACTTATCGATTTTAATCGGTAAGTATGTTGATAGGTATTTGTCTGTCTGTCTGTATGTCTGTTAGATGCACGCGATATCTCACGAAAGCGAGATTGAATCTGCTCCAGATTTTACATGTGCATTCATCATATGTCGTACCAGAAGCCTATTGATTTTGGATGAATTATGTCGTATAATTAGCGAGTTTTTTTTTAATCAGTGATGGGACACAAGGTGTCACTATGGAGTAAGAGCGCTGTTTCGGGGGATCCCCTAACTTTTGATCGTGAGTCTTCAGTATTTGACCGATATTCTCGTTTAGATGTTGAGGGAAAACTTTTTCTTGCGAAAAAAAACAGCTTTCTTTGTAACTAATGGACCAATCAATTTCAAAATTTTAGTACGTATAGATTCTGAAATTTGTTTCGAATCTGTTTAGTGATCTAACTAAAAGAATTCAATCGAAAATTAATTTTAAATTAGTCAGAGTCGGAATGACAGAGTCAGTTTAAAATAACATTTTAACATCTTGTCAAAGATTATATAATTTCCACCGACATCACTTTGAACAAAGATTACTTTGATACTACTGTCCTTAATTAAAAGGACCGTAGCTTTTTCCACTGCCTACCTAAACACTAAATAAAAAAGCATTCCTACCTTCCATATCATTATTTGAGTTGAATCCACCATATCCGCCTCCTGCATTTCCGTATCCGTCTCCTCCAAAATTGTTCCCCCCACCTCCGTAATTATTCGGTCCTCCCCCTCCACGTCCACCATAACCTCCTCTACCCCCACGGAATCCTCGACCTCTGAAATTCCCGCCTCTTCCCCCTCGGGGACCACCTCTCATCCATGGCGGAGGGGTACCCATTAAACTCTGAGATGGTGGCCTAAAAAAAATGAAATGTCTCAATGAACTAAAATAATGGAAAGGAAGATATTTAAAAAAAATCTGGTTTCATTTTAATGTCAGATGGGGAGTTCCGAGTCATGGTGTTAATTTTATGAAATTTACTGTGACCCGCACTCATCCTATGACATCACAAAGTCGCTTGCAAGTAGGAATTTGTGTGGCGTAATGATGAATTTCGTCGTATTTAGTGGGTATTTAGTGTTCTTTATAAATGTTTCATTTTGATGTCAGTTTCATGTCGGTATTTGTTCATTTCATTGTTGTTTATGAAATTTACCATGACCCGCACTCTACGTGGGAATCGAGCAGCAGGTTTGGACCACCCTGGACTAGGTATTGATGTTTTAGAAGTGGGGATTGGAACTGTTAGTACCGTTTTCATGTGAGCTTGTTAGGGATTCGTTCGCCAGGGATGCCTCTATTTCATTTTAAATTATTTTTATAGTTTTTCTGCAACATTTACTCACAAGAAAATACTTTATTGCTTCAGATTTTTGAGAACAGGAGGGACTCGATTTTACTTGCAAAGGTAGCCATTCCATTAGTCAAAAGGCAATTATATATGGCCCGTGGGGCCGTACAGCGACCCATAACAGACTTAGTACCCCATTACGTTTTAAATGGTTTTTCTAATTGTAACCGCACCGTCGACGTTTTAGACATTACATTACATTGAGATAAAAATCCACCTGACAGGAATTCAGTAATGCGATGAAACCTTATTGTTTAAAGCATTTCTCAGTAAACGGCCATGTATTTTGGCAGAATATTTCGATATATTGTATCTGGAATAACTTACCCTGGATATGGACCGAAATTAGTTCCCATCAATGGAGGAGGCTTATCATCATTCTTATTCTGCCCTCCACCGCCACCCCATGGTGGCCTTTGACCTCCAAAACCTCCCCCACCACCAGAACTCTTGTTCCCACCTCCGCTGTTGCTGTTATCAGAGGGTGGTGGTCCTTCTCCAAGCTCAGCCATGAGCGACAGGTACTGGAAATGGGAAAAATAGTGTTAAATAGGATTGGGGTTGGCAACCTACGGCCCGCGGGCCGTATCGGAGTAATGTAATCTGGCCCGCGACGCTTCACTGAATTATAGTAACAAAACATCTGTTTTGACGATTATATTCTTCACGTAACACAATATATTGTGAGCCATGTGTAGACTAAATTATATATAATATAGCCTAACAAGTATATATATATATATATAACCCCACAATTATTCTTTCAATGAGCCTATAATTTAATTATAATTAGACAAATCACAACAAAACGCAGAAAAGTTGATGCCAAGTGCAAAGGGTTCAAAGGCGCAAAAAATATTCAAATGGAATTTTTTGAGATACAATACAATCGAGAGATGTATCACTGATCGATTTTTATTATAAAAAGTATCATCCGGTCGGTTTTCAAGTTTCTAAAAATATGTGAGGCCCGACAATGACGCAACCCTAATTTTGGCCCGCGAGCGACAATAGGTTGCCGACCCCTAGGTCAGGGGCTTGACTGTTGATGAATTGGCATAGGACACTTGCTATCATGTCCTGAACACCCCTGGGCACGAAGTCGCGAGCCTTAGAGGAGATGATTTTGATTAATATATCAATAATCTTGTTTTGAGTGAATATGTAAAGTGCCAAATAACAATAAGGCTTTTATGGCAAGAGCGATTCATTTGGTCTACATACATTTTTTTTAACATGTGATAATGGCAGTGAATAAGTAGGGATCTAGTTATCATATCATTTGCATCCAGTGGATGCTAACACAGATATTTTGGTGCTCAAGAAGTATTCGTACCAAGAAGTATCGTACAATCTGAACATAGTAAGTGTACCAGGTTAGGGTTGTTCAGGTTGTGCGTCATCTTGGTACGAATACTTCCGGAGCGCCTATATTTGTTCATAGAGCAAATGACAGTAGTAAATAACATATAAACGAGAAAGCGCTCGGAGACCTCCGACTTATCGATCTAGTGGCGTGTATCCTTCGCTCTGACTCAGTAGCAACACCACGTGTCCCATCACTAATTAATTACTCGCTAATTATACAACATAATTCATCCAAAATCAATAAGCTTCTGGTCCGAGATATGATGAGTGCACGTATGCAAAATTTGGAGCAGATTCAACCTCGCTTTCGTGAGATACCGCGTGCATCTAACAGACAAACAGACAAATACCTATCAACACACATACCGATTAAAATCGATAAGTAATAATGAACATACCTCACTGTCCATTTTAGCTTTGTCAACCTGGTTCATGGGGGCTTGGGGGTTTTGTTGGAGCCCCATACTCGGAGCCATTGCCATACAATCTTGTGAGAGATGACCTCTGCCCCCACATTTTGTACACACGGTGGTGTTTGTGACATTCTGGTTCTCTGGTTTAAGCCATTCACGTTCTCTGCAATGTTGAAAATAATGTTAGGTTTTATGAATGGTAATTTTGATGGTGATTCATGATTTTTGACTTGATAGATTCTCGATTCTGGAACTCGTTAATGCAAACATATACATGTAAATTCATAAGCCGTAAAAAAAACAAAAGTATTGCTGAAAATTATTTAATTGGAATCATCCTAATACCTCTTTAAAGCAGAGAGTTTTTGTCAGGGGATATTGATCACCAAAGTTTGGAAAATCGTAGATTTGAGCATCATTATAGACTTCTCCAAAGGATATTAAAACACTTAAATCATACCTTGGCAAAGCATCATCTCTCAAAGTTCCGTTCAATCTTGCCAACTCCATAAGCTGGAGTTTTCTTAGATCATTCTGACCTTCTGGTTGTTCAATTCCCTGAGAAAATAATAATTAACAATTTAATAAAGATGATACTATGCAATTCAAGAGTCCCGCTGCACACTAACGCAAATGTATTTCTGTAACGTTTCGTCTGACCAAGATCAGACTTCCTCAGACAAGCATTTTACAACAATGATTTTGGTCAGACGAAACGTTACAGAAATACATTTGTGTTAGTGCGCAGCGGGACTCTTGAATTGCATAGTATGGTATTCTTATTCCTGCTACAGCATCCTTGCATTATACGCATACAGATCCACTAGCGCAAAGGCATTGAGGAAGGATTGGGAGTTAGTCTCATGCAACCTCTACTAATAGTTAAAATAACACTGTACCTGCTTTATAATCTTGTGAATCTCTTTGCTGGCTTTCTGCACACTTTCAATAGTAGTTCCAGTGATGAGGGCATGCAGTGGTTCATCTTCACCAGGTAATGGCAAACCATCTTTCCGCCCAATCTTTCCTTCTTTCACTGATCCTTTGCCACGAATCATGATTTTACAATTGCACTGGGATGCAGAATTAAATTATAGAATTTTAGGTTTTAAATTCACACAAAAAATTAGCGTTTGGCACTGCTGCTGTCTGTCATATGGGTGGTATTTTATTTGGCTTTTATTTATAAATCTTGAGAATACTTATGAACAGGGAGTCGATTCCTTCGCTTACGATGTTGTTTCTTTCTTGAGACGAGGTGTAACCCGAATTTCAGTGTAAGTCGGGACATTATACTGTACAGTACATAAAGTACTCTATACATATTGTACGCTTTGAGTCCATAACAAAGGGTAAAAAGTTAAAAAAAACAACGATCAAACAAGTTACGAAAAAAAAGGCTCAAACAACCAATATGGCGTACAGTATCACTGAAACTGTGTACCATGTGACTGAAGCTTAATTATTATTCGTTCATAATCGTAATAGTTCACAATTGTCTAGGTCGTTCACGATGTAAATGACGAAAACCAATGAACCCAAAGCAGTGATTTTCTTGATCACAATGATCCAGTTTAAGAGGCTTAGATATTACAGTACAGTATTATCTTTTATATTTTTATGGAGTGCGTTCGTAACCTCGAAACAGCGTTATGGAGAAACAGCGTAAGTCACGACCGTCGTAACGTGGGGACTCCCTGAAATACTACGGATTAAATATTGGAAATTTTTTATATAACATTTTCATGGCTAGTAAACATCATACTGAGGTTCCAAGGATCGTGCATTAGGCATTCTAAAATGACACAAAGTCAAACTTGGTCCTTGGTCGCTCAAAGGACCATGGAGAAGTTTTCTGGGGCCACAAAAAAGGCCACTAGATAGTAGATACCATTTGTGAATAAATTAAAATATAGAATAAACTCAATACGATTTTGTTCAATTCTTTGATTCTAAGTCTCTTTGCTCGGCTTTTTAATAACTGATGAAAAGTAATTTTTCCTTGCGCAGAGCAGGGGTGATGAGTGATTAAGAATAACTGTACTAAACTGTCCCACCCACCTCTTTTTCAATCTTCTTCAATGTATTTCCTCTTGGTCCGATAAGCAAGCCAACAAAATTAATGCTCGGATTCAAATCAGATGGAATATTGATCTGCTCGCTAATGCGTTGGACAGGAGGCCTGGAATGGAGCAAGAAAAATTCATCAAAATTCTGATAGAAAACATAAAAAAGGCGGCCATCACACTTATTATCACTATCAATTGAAGCTATTGATATAATATAACAGAAAAATATTATCAAATCACTGATCTAGTAACCAAATCAATACACAATTATTGTGTTGGCATAATAATTTGAGTTTAAAGAAAAACTAATTCTTTCTGTCAATTATTGTTTAATTTTTTTAGTTCGGCCCCTGTAGAATCCTCTGCATGCACTCCATCTCGCATCTAGTCCCTCAATCAAAGACATATGATCTACTAATACACGTTAAATCATTTTCTGTCTGGGCACAACTCTTTTGTCACATATGCTCTAATATTATGGAACCAGTCAATTAAACATGCAGGAGTTGCTTTGCTTCAGTAATGACCAACTGCCTATTTTTACAGAATTATTCGAAAAATTTACAAAGAGTTACATATTTATCTGGGGGAAGAGCAAAGACAGCCTCTCGCCCGAAAACCATTCCATGTTGGGTATGGGATTAGTTGGCTATTTGTTTTTCGAAGCATGGACTTGATGGTGGAGGAAGCTGTAACCGTAAAACTTACTTATAATCGACAGGAGGCTTATAGTTTTCATTTATTTTAATCATATCCTGAATCAGTTTATGACGTTCTTCTTCCAGTCTCTTCCTTGTTCTGTATTCCCTGGTATTCAGCCTCTTTCCCTCGTTATTGTAAATCGGTTCCGGAGAAGGAGACCTAAGAAAAAACAGGAATTACAAGCGTTATTCCAGCACTTCTTTCAAGTTTACTCCAATATGTAAGAGGGTCTATTTTTTGATCTCTTTTTTTGACAGGAATCTTTCCATTTAAACAACCCCTAGTCCACTGGTTCTCAACTTGAGAACCACCGGCCTAGCCAATTTCTTACACCCTGGGTGATGGGATTTGAACCTCAGATTTTTAACACATTTTAACGGCGCTCCCGTAGTATGTGAACCAAGATGGCGGACAACTGAACATAGTATGTGTACCAGGTTAGGGTTAGGCCATAATTTTATTCCAATTTTCCTTATTTTAGTTCTATTACAAGTTCGGGAACTAGCCAAGTGACTCCCGTAGTATGTGTACCTGGAATTATGGCCTAACATGATCCACATACTACGTTCTGGTGTCCGCCATCTTGGTTCACATACTAAGGGAGTACCTTTTCAACACATTCACTGTTAAAATCAAGTGAAACTTCGAAAAAGTTTTCAAGAAATGACATATAGGCTATTGATAAAATTACTGGTAAAAATGTATAAATGTGAAAAAACACAATTTTTTAGATGAAAAGTGACGACCCATTGAACCCAAGCACACTTAGCAGCTGTAAGAAAGTTAATTTTTGTCGTAATAGAAGAAAAAAATCCTGAAAAATTTGGAATTAAGCCTGCTAGACCTGTAGAAAGGTTAGGCTGTAGAAAAAATAGCAAATTTAAGAGAAAAATTTAGGTAATTTGCTGTGAATAAACTGGTATCAGATTAAAATCATTTTTGATACTCTGCAGAAAAATTGATTATTAATTTGGGGAGGTACTTCCACTAAGAAAATTCATAAAGTTATCAGAATAAAATGGTTATTTAATGAAGAAGTCTTCTGCTGCGTAGCTCTCTTTGAAGTAGAGTTCTGCAGAATTCATGGTTGACTGGCCATGATGAGCGTTCTCACAATGCTGCAATGTAAGTGGCTGCATAAAGGGTTTTTGGGCACAATATGTTAGGTTATATTAAACATGGTTGGATTGTTAGAAAATAGATCAAAACTATATAATATTTACCATCTCTGACTACTAGAGTTTCATATTTTAGCTTAAAAAATAGGCCCTAGAAAAGCAACCTCTGAGATGGCTGGTACTTTACAATCACTGTAACCGTATATTCTCGCATATAAGCAAAATTAAAAATTCCAAAAAAGTTTCCAAACTAGAGAGTACGTTTCTATGCGCATAACTCAGGTTGGCTTATATGCGAATTTTCATAAATACCCCGTTTCGGGGAGCTGGCTAACATGCGACGGTATACAGTACTCAAGATTACTTAAATCTTTCTTTTATATATACTTACAGTTTTATATAATCTTTCAATTTATATTTCTACCCCTCAAACTAGGATATTAGGTTATGTTTGAAATTATTAAATAAAATGGCCATTTTATGGTTCCCAAAAAACAAAAAAAAATTCATTTGCCTGATTGGTTTGTCAAAAAATGATCAGAGAATCGTATTGTTGCTTTCATAGTGGGATATATTTTTAATATATGCTGTACTTCGAATTAACTAAGAAGTGCTTCGCCTACAACTTTACAAAGTGACGAATCTATTTTATTTATGAGTATATGCACATTACTTTGTTTTAGATAAATACCAATAAAAGGGTTACTAAGTAGAAAGTTGTAAAAAAATAATAAATTGAACAAAAATAGCAAAAAATTAATGTCACCACAAAATATGTAAAAACCCAAAGTGCTTGTTGCACTCAGATTTAACCAAACCTGTCTTCAGGGTTAGGTGAAATACCAAGGTCGCCAGATTTCAACTTTCTCGTCACATCTTCGATCTGTAGCTGAACTGTAATTTTCACGGTTATGAAACACGTTGAAAAAGAAAAAAGAATCGTTTGTTAGGGAGACACCAAGTGGAGCACCGATAGTGCCTCTGGTGTATTAAAAAAGAGTAAAAATCTAAATTAATACGAAAAAATAAGAATTGAGAGCTTGAAACTCCTTTGAGACGTAATTCTTGAAATCCTATCATCCACCTAAAACCTGGCATCAGATACTTACCCAAGCCCTAGAAGTTAGAGACAGTTAATTGTGAATTTAAAAGGTAAAAAACGTGTATAAAATGTAAAAACAAACTTTTTCAAACCTAATTGGGCCAAGAGAGATAAAAAAACATTCAATCTATTACAAAAAGAGCACAAGAGCGGAAAATTCAAAAAAACGAATAAAAAAGAAAATTACCTATGTATGCTTGTTGCTGTTCTTTACTCAAATTAGCAGGCATTGTGGATGGGATACCAGGAATGTCAGTTTTCACTTCCGGCGTCGACCAGCGGCTACGTTTCTTTCTTGGTCGGCCACGTTCATCAGACGTCTGCTGCGGCGTTGTAGGCATAGACGGCTGAGGTGGTGGGGCTTGCATGAGCGGTGGTGCTGGTGCTAGGAAAATATATATTACAGAGTTTATTGAGTATGACAATATGATCAAGACTTCGTTAAGTATCATCGAAATGCAGTACCGTAAAAGCGCCTAACTTCGGACAGTTCCTAACTTCGGACAAAATTTTTGAACGGCCATATCTTAACTAAAACGCGCCGTATATTGCTAATTTTAATTATTATAGGTTGCGCTGTTATATCTACATCTATTCTCATCTTTTTTAATGTTGCATAATTATTTTTTTGGTAAAAAAACGGAAATTTTGCCGAAAATTGACTGCCCGGCATTCAACGGCGCAGAGCGTCGCTCCTACGGAAGCTATCATCGTCAAAATACCATCATTCGGTAGAGGGCGACAACAATGTATATAATTTATTTGAGTGATCGCAAGACGTCGTACGAGATTTAAATAAAACCTAAAATTCTGAATTATGAATTCCGTAAGAATATTAAGATTTCACGCAGCGTCAAAAATTACGTCAACCTCACGTAGATTATTTTTCGCTCACTTCCGACACGACGTCACACTGCGTCGCGGAAATGAATTTTGACGCCAGACACAACGGAGCCAATATGACAATTTCCGTTAAGATAAAGACGGCGTTCCAATGTAATATTTTTGTATTTTGTTCGTATATGCCAAAATTACATTAATGAAAATACATGTCACACTTAATCGATGACGTTAAAAATCGAATATATAAAACTATGATAATTCCAACGACAGTTATTGAATACGGCCTGAGTAAATTTTATTCACTCGAAATTAAAAATAAATTTAATCTCCAACAAATAAACGGGACCTACATGTTAACAAGATTAAGTTGAATTTTAAATTAAACTTTACAATCGGATTTACCGTGTGTTTGATATAAATTATCATTTATAAAGATAACCGCGCAGAATAAAAAAAAGCTATCCGTCAGAATATTAATACTTCAAAGACTTCGATAGAAGCCCGTTAAAATACTTCATTGTGGATTGAAACGGTTTGCATCAGATATATTTACGTATGCATTTCCTGATTAAAATGACTAACGTGTTATTATACTCATCTGAAGTATCGAAAATAACGAACGAAAGATGTAAACATAGGACGACGGAAGTTTCAAATAATGCATTTTCGTCGTGACGTCAATGTTACGACGACGATCGAGCGTCTTATCTTCACGCAACGACGTGATTACGTCATCCGCATCGGAAGCCTCTTTCTCTCTGTGCGTCGCGGTTACGCAGTGAAGAAAATGACTGTCCGAAGTTAGGGCAGTGAAGGATAACGGTCAGATGACAAGAAATATCGATTATTTCAATAGTAAAAATAGTCCAATTGAACCGAAATTTGCAGGGAATGTAAATTACCGCACGAATGTTTTACCGAGCAATTTTGGCACCGTTTGGACAATAAATGGCCGAGTTATTGACGAAAATATAGTAATTTTGTCCGAAGTTAGGCGCTTTTACGGTAAGGCACAGTTTCCAAATTCCAATTATGTCCCCTCATTTTGGTTCAATAACACTAAACACTCCATGTGTCTCACAAACGAGGGGCGAGTCGCACGACGGCAGATGTGTTATATCGCGTCATACTAGTCTCGAAATATTCTACGTTAATCGCAGCTGTCACATGACCAAAACTGTCGTTTTTGCTAAAAACTGTACGCCATAGTAAAACAAATTTATAATTTTTTCCAGAGGAATTCAATGATGACAATTTTATATTAGTTTATTGTGCAACTTCATTTTTACAATGTCCAGACGTCCCTTAAAGGGTGTCTGTTTATTTGCAAAATGAAATTGTCTGAAATGAGACAATGTCGCTCGATCTGTAAAGTGTGCCGTACTGAAATGTGACTAATTTTAATATTCATGTCTAACTAATCCCCTTTTAAGATATCAAAAAGCATTTCAAAAGTTGATAAATCATATCCACTATTTTTAACGTTTTTATTTTTATCAAACTGTCAAATGGCATGTTTGTTATAGATACAAAAAATAAATGTTTACAAGCTTACCAGAGCTAAATTTCTTTTGTTGCAAGCTGGCAGCAGCAGCCTGGGCAGCCCTAAGCGCTGCAGCAGCATTACTGCTTTGCTGTGGTGAAGGCTGGGAATGTTGTTGCGGTGGAGGCATTTGAGGTTTCAAAAGCGATGGTTGTTTTTCCGACGGAGGCGTCGCAGAAAATGTCCTTTTTGACCCAATTGCGGGGTTTCGCGGTCCCAGCGGAATCGCATTTGCCCCTGTAAATCCACTACCTCGTCTTGACATCTCGATGGTCTCGCAACCTGTCGCACTGAAAGTGCGAATGCACAGTCTAAATCAGAAAACGTTGCACGTGAGGTGGAAGTTAAAATTCTATGCGTGGGAGACCGACTGATGAGCATTTCCACTATGTAGGGTAGGGCAGATGAGGTAGGTGATTAGCACGTTAGTCAGGTATCCCTGTCCGCATGACGCAGAAAATTTTTGGAAATGATCGGGCCAGAGGAAAGGGGTCAAAACGGGGTTTTTGTGGCCCGAGGCTGTTCATTGGTCAATCAGCTGTCAATCAAGTCACGCGAGAGTGATTTAGGGGTTTAGAGGCCGTTTAGCTAAGTTTCCGGGGCCGGAAAGCGTTTGCCCGAGTATTAGGAATTTTTCCAAGTCTTTTTGGCGGTGGGGGCTGTGCCCCCACGCCCTCTGTGGTGAGAGAACTCGTGCAAAGCCACGCCCACTTAGGTTCTATTGTTTTTAGGCAATTCTGAGGCATGTGAATGGGATTTTGGGCTAAGATTTGCCTAATTCTCAAAGAGTATAAATATTTGAAATTTTCTTTACTGAAAAATCGGTGTTTCCCCCTCCCAATAGCCCTCCAGTGGCGTAAGAAGGTTGCGCACTTAAAAATGGAGCTATTGAGAAATGAAATAGATAGGTATGGTTGGAAAAATTAGTTTAACATTTTTTTGAAGAAATTTTTGTTCTCTTACTCCCCAGTCACGCTTTAGTGATTTTGGCTTATTGCAGGCCTCTGAAAGGACATATTGAGAAAGTGAAAGCATGGGCATATTTGGAAAAATTATTTGAATCCATTTTAAAAGGAATTTTTTTCCTCCAACTCTTCAGTCATGCTCCAGTGATTTTACGTTATATCTCGAGAATGGTAATAGGTAAAGAGGCCATATCTGGGTCATACAAGTTAATTGAGGTCTAATTTATGTCAAAAAAAATTCGTCACGGTTGAGTGATCACGGGCCCTGAAATTAATAAAACTTGATTTCCATTGAGGGTGATCGGTTTCTAACCTGGTATTTAAACTATTTAATGTACTAAAAAGGTCGGGGGCACCGCGCCGGACGAATGCCGCCATTCGTCCGGCGCAACGACCAGGGTCTTCCAACAAAATCAGAACAAACACCTACTTTTTACCTTACTAAACACATTTCTTTACATTTCCCCTCGCGGGTAGCGAAGCGACCGACCCCTGGATAAACTTCTAAATCTACTAATGAATAAGAGTTAATACGCTTATTCAAACAACAACTGCTCGCGAAAAGCTAAACGCAAATGGCGACGAACGATGCTTTGCGACGTGTGAAGGAAAAAAGCAAAGTCACGTGATCAACCTTCGACGAAACGTTGCCGAAACGTTCACAACTTTCGATCGCATTTCATTAATGAATATTACAAAGTATGTCAATATACTCGTTATTGATAATCTCTAACTGAAATTGTTTTAGGAAAGATTTCATTTTATAATTGCATTCGATAAAAGCTTTCATGAGGCGTTTTTCATGTGGATATCTGCAGTATAAGCGCGAAAAATCTAAAGCATTCGGGCCAAAAATCTTGACCGTTCTTGTATATACTAACACACGCAACATATTATTAATCAACCTGTGTTTTCAACAACAGTATTGTATATATTGGCATTTATTAGCAAAGTAATAATATTGTTTGTTATTTAAATACCTTTGCTTCTCTGCATTTTGCCATCATCACACATCTTACGTAACATGTCCAAAGACATCACTTATATAAACGAACCTTGCTAAGCGGTAAGTAACTGATAAACTACGGTATGGCTTTTTTTCAAGAATGAAATTTGAAATCATTTTCGAGTTTTTGACTGTTTCTACATCGAATTCATCCATTATATTTCAGCTAAAACCGTCACACTTGATAGAAAACCGTTCTCCGGTTCGTGACGTAATATATCGGTCCTTTTCGTGTTGGTAACTCGAGAGTTTGGAAGCATGGCGAAGTCGAAGAATCATACGAGTCATAATCAGTCAAGAAAAGCTCATAAGAATGGAATAAAAAGACCAACTTCACAAAAATACCCTTCCCTAAAAGGAGTATGTCCAAAGTTTTTAAGAAACATGAGGTTTGCTAAGAAGCACAACAAAAAAGGAGCCGGAAAAGTAAAGGCCGAAAAATAACTTTGATGTGACTTCAAGATTGGCTCGTGTGAGTTTTCGAAGCAATTGACGAATTTTGGACAATTTAGCCAAGATATTGAACTCGAGAAAATTTCGTGCTATGTAATTGTTTGTCATCAGAAATTCGAATATTGTGTTAGAAAATAAAATATGAGCTAATGGATCTGGTTTGTCTGTGATGTTGCTTTAGTCATCTCAATTTGTGTAGTTTAACATCCTGACGGTACTTTTAGAATCTATTTCATTAATGATGTGGTCAAAGTACCAACAGTGTACACGTGTGCCACACTTTGACTTTCAGACTTCTCTGCATCTTGACTTAGCATTGACAGACTGGATATTCAGATATTTAAGAACTTAAGATCAAAAATAATTAGATAGAGCAGTTGTTTGATGATTAAGATTATTTGAACACAATTCAGAAACTGAGTTCTACATATTCAATTTGAAAACAATAAGAAGCAACCTAGGCATAAACCAACTACAGACCACGGGACCACCCATTGCTGCATTGGGCCAGCTGTACGGACTTAACCACTTCAATTGCTAGTTCAAAATAAATCGGGATAAATGTCGGGTTGGGGCTGGCTTTACGTCACTGTGGAATATCATGTGTTTGTGGCCCGCTAAATACCTACTGCTGCTTTCAATGTTTCCTCCAGTTGTTTTTCTTGCCATGTTTAATAATGGATTCGAAACCGTTGCAGGGATAGTTATGTGAGAGGGGAACTGCAATACTTGCCACTGATTGGTTGCGGCTTCCTCCACCACCAAGTTCACGCTACAGAAAACTGGCTAACAAATTCTAAAGCGTATATATGAATATTCCCACACCCGACATGATATCCTCTTTCCATGATAAATATGTGTATCCTACCCTACTGTACCAATCCTAATATTAGAAGGCCAATAAGCGAATGTAAAAAAATAAATGTATTCGAGTCTAAGGATTGAACAACACTGGTTATTAAAATAAATTAATGTAGTAATCGCAGTAAACCCTTTTCCTCATGGCCCTATGGAACTGCCCCATGGACTCTTAGTGGGGATGAAGGCCCAGTGCAGCAGTTGGAGAAACCTAGGACTAGAGCTTTTGAACTAAAAAGTCTACCTGTCATGTCTACGACTTTTGTAACTCCACGACTGGGATAGATATGTATTGATAGAACTTAAAAAAAAATATAGCTTAATCTGTTGATAAGACTCACAGAATAATTTATAAGTTTCTTACTAGTCAAATTATTTTCAAGGAACAAAATAGTATAAAAATAAAATTTGTTACAAAATATCCCAACATTATATACTATGCATAGAGCAAATATATCACAGGATAAAACATTAAAGAGAAAGTCAACTAGGTGAAATTGTTCTGCAGACCAGGGACAGAATAATACATTTTTCTCTCATTACATTAATTGCTTGCTATATATCGATCGAAGAATTCACCATCCCGATTTTTCATTACTCCCATGATCGTCATAAATTTTACAATTATGAAACTACTATTATAAACATTCAGATAAAGCTTGAGAGGAAATTTTTTGAAGATCATTCATAGACTTATGAGGCATTTACATGTATAAATTGATATACACACACTTATACACTTCATAAATAACTTTTTAATTGGCTGGATGAGATGGCCCAAACCAAAAAAAAAAAATGACTTGATGAATTTGGCATGTATCGTTACGTAACAATTATGCATCCTTTTCAGACTTGATTTAACAAGAGAGCTATGCTCAAATATATGGACGCCATATATATAGCGCCATCCAGTGGCAATAATTTTGATGACGCCATAGCGAAAAAAAAAGTAAGAGCCTTCTGGAGAAAATTTTTATCTTTAACCACTGAAAACATCAAAGCAATTGGTCCAGTATTCGAAGAGAAAAGCGATTTTTTAAAAATGGAGACGGAGACAAATAACAATAACAACAAAATTTTGAAACGATCGTTATGGCCACTAAACGTGTCCAATAATATCCAATTTGCAAGATCAAGTTTTGCATTAAAGGAAATGGCATGGGATTAACATCTCATTGTGGTTTGCACAGAGAAGATGGCAATAAAAGTTGGTCACAAACTGAAAAAGGTAGGGAAGCACTGGTGCGGGGAGACAAAGTCATTCTAAATTTCCCCGAGTTGGGCCAAGATTTTTTGACTTTGAATGGTGATGAAAAAGTCAAACTTTCCAACATAAATAAAGTCTCGATATTCACTTTGGAGGAACATTCAAAGCCAGACAAGACATGTTCTTATCAGATTTTGCTTAAATTAAACTCGAAGAGTATTTTCCACGTTCATCAACCACAACCTCTGACATATATTGGGTGTAGAGGACAGGTATATAAGGGCTGTTCTGAATTTCCATGAGGTCAAATTTTTTGACTTTGAAATGTGATAAAAAGTGTAAACTTCTTTACAGAAATAAAGTCTCGATATTCACTTTAAAGGAACATTCAAAGCCAGACAAGACATGTTCTTATCAGATTTTGCTTAAATTAAACTCTAAGAGTATTTTCCACGTTCATCAACCACAGACTCCGACATATATTGGGTGTAAAGGACAGGTATATAGAGCTGTTTTGAATTTCCCCGAGTTGTGGCCAAATTTTTTGACTTTGAATGGTGATATAAAAGTGTAAACTTCTTTACAGAAATAATCAAAGGAACATTCAAAGCCAGACAATACGTTTTCTTATCAAATTTTGACTTGGTATTATTTTCCACAGTGTTATCCTCGAAAGTCTGAGTCATCGTCTAAATTCTGAATTTCACCAAGTTGAGGTCGAAATTTTAGACTTTTGGTAATGGTGATAAACAAGTCGAACTTCTAAAGAAACTCAAATAGCATAAAGTCTCAATATTCACTTCAATGGAACATTCAAAGTCAGACAAGACGTTTTCTTATTAAACTTAGCTGAAGCGTCATCTTCTGATATTGCTGATGGAAATGTCAAAGTAAAATAGTATTTATCTTCTACAATGAGTTCCACTGATTCCTAAATTAAGAAAAAAAATTCCAATTATACTTTGTCATGCAAAAAATCACAGATAATTCAGACAAACAGGTAAATCAACGCAATTACCGGGAATAGAGGTCGCAAAGATCCATTTCTGGTCATCAGAAATCAGTGACACCAAGATTTAAAACGGGTCCAAAATAAAAAAGTGGAAGAAAAATGTACACAAAAAGAAACTTGATGATACTTATTGCTATGAAAACCCAAAGTTTTCAGCTCGGCGGTGTGACGAATCGTGCTAGGCCTTAGGATACGCTTGCCATCGCACCTCCGACCTACATGGGTTCATATCCCCTGATAGTTATGTGCGAGGGGATTGACGAACTCCTCACCGTCATAGGGTGGTTCACGTAACCGCTGGTCGGTTATGGCTCCCTCCACCATCAAGTCCATGCATCCAAAACATATAACTGGCTAACTAATCTCATACCCAACATGGACTGATAACTGGACAAGAGGCCGTGTGAGTTGTCTTATCGGCTTTCCTCTTCCTCAGAATAAATATGTAAATCCCATTCTAACAACATTAGCTATACAAGCTACTGTTACCTCTGATATATTCAAATCACATTCTGCAACACTGGATACTGTAGGCAACTTAATCTTCAAGACAAACTTTGCCGGCCTTTCATTGTACTTTGGCATCTCTGTCAGTGTGTGCTCTGGTCTCGGCAGATGAGAAAAGTCTGTACATGAAGTTTGTTAGGTAAATGCAGTATCGTATCTACGCAAAATGACACCCATGGCGAAGACCATTAATCGTTGGTTGACAATTTTAACAGCTGCTGCTGAATTTAGATTCGTTATTATTTAAATAAAACTACGAGTGTTAAATAGGAATATTGAAACATTTTATGATGAAACTTTAGTCCTTTTTTTGCGCCCATGACAATGGCGCCTTGCGGATACACTGGGTAAATGTGGCCGACGGGTTAAGGTGTTAGATTAAGTAAATGCAATTACAGGTTACATCTCGATTAGAATCCCATGGCCATCACCTTGCGGCGGGTGTAATAAATAGCATAGAATAGATTAACATGTATTGCATTCTCTAACCAACTCGTCAATGTCCAATCACAGGGAGTACCCAGAAATTTTTAAGGGTGGAGGGGGGGGGGGGCGAGGATTCTAAAATTTCTAATTGCCAAGTTAGTTCGAAGCCATAAAACGAGTGTTTTTAAGAGCCATGGGGTTCTAAAGCAGTGGTCGGCAACCTTTTTCCAGTGACGGATCGGTAAAGCCTAACCAAGATTTTGGCGGACCACCTTTATACAAACGAACTAATCTAATGTGATAAATTATATGCCCTAGAAAATTTATGTTGACAATACAATCAAAAACAAAGGTGATACTATTCACGTAACGTATTTCTTACGTTTGGCCTACTTCGATCTTTCGTTTTTGTAATTGCCATTTTAAAAACCCAACCTCACATAAAGATAACAATGGCATTGTACGTTTTCATGACATCTTTTTGCGGATCGGTAGTGACCTTTCCACGAACCGGCAATGGGCCGCGGCCCGGTGGTTGCCGACCACTGGTCTAAAGTTGTGAAAAGTTGCTATGTATCCACATGACCCACCACACGACCACCACACGTTTTCATGACATCTTTCTGCGGACCGGTAGTGACCTTTCCACGGACCGGCGATGGGCCACGGCCCGGTGGTTGCCGACCACTGGTCTGAAGTTGTGAAAAGTTGCTATGTATCCACATGGCCCACCACACGATCACTCGCGTATTCACCCGCAGTTTTCGTTAACAAACCGTAAAACAAATTTAAGAAACCATTGTTTTGGCGATGTTTTTTGCTTTCTTTTTGGGAATTATTCAATTCGAAGAGAAATATTTGATATCGCTCACCGCTACTGCTAAGTGATCTTCTTTTGAGCAAATTCAATTAAAATCTACCTGTGTTAGTTTCTTTAATTTCTTGTATCAGATCCTTCTTATTCTTGCTCTTCTTTTCATCCCTTTTCCCTAATAATTCATCCATTTCAAATTTTGTGTCAATTTTTGCAGTATCGAGTCCATTTTCAGTTTTTTCATCCATCGATAATTTTTTTAGAAGATCTTCAGGAGAGTTGACCGTTTGAGCCATTTGTAAAATGTCTTTTTCATTTTGGATTTGGGAGTTCGTGATAAATAAAGTCCTTGGGTCAGCCGGTAAATCCCCTTTATAAAGCTCTTTGTAATTTCTGTAGTCCCTTGAGATTTTCGTCTGAGAAAAGGATAGAGTAGGATCTACATATTTATCCTGAGGGAGAGGAAAGCCGACAAGACGGCTTAATCATATGGCCAACCACGGCCTCTTGTTCAGGTACAGGATTTGTTAGCTAGTTATTTGTTTTCATATGCATGGACTTGATGGTGGATGAAGCCGTAACCGACCAGCGGTTACATGAACCACCCTACGGCAGCGAGGAGTCCAGCAATTTTCTTGCCCATACTTCACCCTACATGGGATTTGGACCTGAGAACCACGCAGAGTAATCAGAGGTGCGGTGGCGAGCGTATCCCTAACGCTTAGCACGACTGCCGAGATATGCCGATTTCATATGATCCTATGTCATCCTATAGGATCCTACACATCAGTGGTAAATTACAACTCTCTATCAGAACTCTTTCTACTTCCAGATAGAGACCAAAGGTCATGGTCTGAGCAAACTTGTACATGAAAATACTGCATTATCAGTTATCACCACATTTACCACAGGTTTAATACAGATTAAAGGGTCTGTGTGTCCTTTTTAATCAGTTAAGTCATAGAATAAAATTAAACACACATTTTTACTTGGGGAGGGAATGCCACGGGGACCAAAACTGGTTATTGAGCAAATTTGTGAGGTCGGAAATCAACACATAATTAACCCCGCATGGGATTTGAACCTGCGAACCCACACAGGCTAATCAGAGTTACGGTGACGAGCGTATTTCTAATGCTTAGCACGATGAGCCACACTGCCGAGATAGAAGATTTTTAGAACACTCATCATTGCTGAATATGGAGTTAGGAGTTTTAGTTTAAGAAAAGTTGTTCCGAACATGTCACTCTTCAGTTGAAATACTATCCCAGCAGAAGCCGTTCTTCTTCTCTCAGTTGGGAACTCAAAGCACTGGTTTGACCAAACTTACATTTTGAAAACTATATATTTCTTTTTTCAATGAGTTAGTCGTCACTTACCATACTTCTCTAACAGGCCTTTGTTCGCTTTTAGCTGAGGACCTTGGTTTGAGCATATGAAAACCTACCTATAGCTCTTAACACACCAGAAGTTGCTTGTAACCCTTTTTTTTTCATAGTACTCTTACTGGATATGGATAGATGGAAACATGAATAAAATAACTTTTGAATTCAGAGAGATTTCAATACCTTTAACGTATCTTCAGTCAAGTTCAAAATTAATCCGAATAAAGCATTTTTAATCAGGTCTGTATCGGTACATTCTTCGTATAATTTATCATTCATTGCTACAGGAAGAACAGTTTCCGTTTGTCCTAAATATATAGAAACAATGTGATAAATTTTAGGGAAAGAATCCCGATACTCATCTGTTATAACAGGGATTCTCAAACTATTTAAGCTGCGCCCTTTTTTAGAATTCGTCAAGTCTCGCGGCAACCGCAAAAAATTACTAGCTAACAATAAGCTACAAACGAGAATATCGGTTGGAAACCGAAGACTTATCGATCGATAGTTAGGGGATCCCCCAACACAGAAACTGCAGTTTCGATTCATCCGCTCTTGTAACTTGCGCACTAATTGATTGATAACTCGCTAATTATACGACATAATTCGCCCAAAATCAATAGGCTTCTGGTCCGAGATAAGATGAATGCACATGCAAAATCTGGAGCAGATTCAATCTCGCTTTCGTGAGATATCGCGTGCATCTAACAGACAAACAGACATACATACAGACATACAAATACCTATCAACATACTTACCGATTAAAATCGATAAGTAATAACAGATAGTAAGTTGAAAGTAGGTTTTATTATTCATATTTCATTATTATTAAAATACTATGGGGCGAATATTGCTTCGAATTATGATTGAATGCCAGTTTAGAGAACACCTATATTTTTGTAATATATTCAAATAAAATTTTGACATTCCCCCCTATAGGTAATGCTGCTCGATAGCCATCACTGGTCTATCGCGTCTCCCTCCCTCACACTGAAATCTAAATGTATATTTTCGGCCTGTGAAAAATTAATTACTGACTGATTACTCTTGAAACATCCTAACACGGGCAAACTACAACCCCTTGGGTAATTCAATCTGGCCCGCCTGATGCTACCACAACCAAATTTAAACCAAATTTTGATGTTTTAGCAATAAATACCTCGAGGAATTTGTTGAGATTGCGATTACATTTAGACTTGGCACGAGGCCTATTGTATTTCCCTTTTGCTCTTGTAACACTGTAAATATTGTCCATAAAATGTACCTTTTACGTCAAACTTACATGGCCCGCCAATCTTGATGGGCAAAATTTTGGGCATCAGGTCTGAAAACCTTGCCACCCCTGCTCTATTCACTTGTAATGTATTTCAGTATGTCATTAAATTTGGACCTCCCTAAAGTACACACCGTTTTTCAACTTCTTAGATGTTTTCATTCCAGCAAATAATTTGACAGGTTCATCTTCAGTTTCAGGATAAGGAATCTTCTTCCATGCACAGATATTAATGAAAACATTTTCTGATTCACTCCCCTTCAAAAAAAATTACATCATTTTAAATTATTTTAAAATCTGATTTATGATGCAAAACTCTAATGCAGTGGTTCCCAATCTTTTATGGCTCATGGCCCTCACTCATGGCCTCCTGCTCATCATTTCAGTTCTATTTATAGTGATATTTTGGTTTGCAGATTCCAAATCTCATTATGCTCAAACAATTCATGCTCAACAAAGTGGAAACACCCTGTGAAATAACCTTATCAAGCAATGAAAATAGGAAAAACAGCGAGTTTTCTTGTAATATAGGGGCATAGGCCCTCAGTTAGGATCCGCTGCAATAGGTCATGATGTCCACAACTTCATATACCTAAGCGATAATACACGAACCCTCAAAAATCTATTTTTAAATGTTCTAAATCCAAAGCAAGGCATAAAAAATGCAGAGAAAAAAACGCACTTATAAAAGTATTTTGTTTTAATGGGTCCATTCATCTTTGTCAATGCATTCATAATCCCAATCCTAACCTGTTAGATTTTTGTTAATATAAAAGTTTTAATATTAGTGGGTGTGAGGGGGGAGGGGTAGCTGAAAAAGGTTCATTATATCTGTACAAATACGAATTTAGGAAGGAGGAATTAGAATTACTGTTTTCAAAATTTTAGCTTTTCAAATACTTGAATATCAGTTTGATTTGTGGAAGTTTGCCATTTTTGAAGTGGCGTCATGATTTTTTTATCAAGCAATGAAACGAGGAAGAACTTGGGGGGCGTGGAAAGCCCCCTACGGAACCACTGCTCTATTGGAACTCTGAATAGCAGGGCACTGGGGATAAAAAGTTGGTGATTTAAGTTTGGCATTTTCTACTTTACATCAAAGCCAAAATCATCATTTTGAACTCCTCAGAGTCAACAGTTGCAACCGAAGTATAACTAACAAATATTTTGGTATAAAGCAGGGGTTCCCAAACCAGGGGTCGCGTCCTCAAATTGGGTCGGAGTGATATTTAGGTAGGGTCGCAATCAGGTCATGGTCGGTGGGGTCGCTGAGGTATGGTAGAGGATGGATGTACAAATCATCTAAGATTTGACAAACCATGTTGAATTTAGCAGTTTGTAGCATGGCTTAATTAATGTAAAACAGGCCCATAGGCATCGCTCTATGCATATGCTACAAAAAATGTAGTTGTTTATTTTACTTAATACCACCACATGACCAAACTTAAAAGTCCAGTAAAAGAAGCTCTTCTAAAGTTTCATGAAAAATATATATATATTGACTTGGGGTCGCACTGGACACTTGAAAGTTGTGTGTTTGGGGTCGTCCTGAAAAAAGCTTGGGAACCCCTGGTATAAAGAGTCTGAGCTACAGAAACTTGAAAAAATTGAGTTGACCAAGCATTCTTTTTAACAGTCTACTAAAGAAGGCTCACTTATGCTCAAGTTTTCGTATTCAAAATTTGGTATTCTTAGATTTGAGAGCAGGAGTCTTATCTTGGGATTGGGATCTAGAGCAGCGGTTCCCAAACTATGGGTCGCGTCCCACTGGTGGGTCGCAAAAGGAATCTTAGTGGGTCGTGAAAAGATGTAGAAGAAAGCTTTGATTAATTATACTGGTTATTAGGATCGGTGGCGACTCGAATACGTAAATCTTAAAAAAAACAAAAGTAATTAATTAAATTTAAATTCTAATCTCTGAAAGTTTCCTTTTTACGATCTTCTCAAAGGAACAAAAATTTGCTACACAAAGAATGACCATGTGGCTTTTTTACGCATAGCATTTTTGTACACTGTATAGCACTTCTCACTGTGTTTCCCCGAAAACTAGACAGGAATTAAGATTTATTTTATTTTGAAGAATAACACTATGTTTTTTTTTGGAAGAGGTCTTTTGTGTTCATTTATCAAAAATAAAATTACATTGTAGAAAATCACGAGATTTTTTAATAAACATTATATGAAAACCAACATATATTGTTTTTATTTGTACAGAAATCAAGTGACAAATATCATAATTGTGATTGTGACATCACACAATCTTGAATAGTGGTTTGATCTCCACCTTACCTCAGGTCATTGAACCTTTCCTTTCCCACACATTTTAAATTTAATTTAGGTGAAGGGTTTAATTAAAATCATTTTTAAAATTAAAATTAGGTCTTATTTTCAGGCAAGGTCTTAATTTTGAGGAAACAAGGTAGTTTTGCGATGATTAGCCATTGCTGTGTTCTGTGTTATGTCAATTTGTTTACTCCATCAATGTTTTATTAATTTATTAAAGTTAAATGGGTCGCCATAAGCTGTGGTAATAAATAGTGGGCCGCAACTCTAAAAAGTTCGGGAACCACTGATTAAGAGTCTAAGATAAAAAAATTTGTCAAACAGAAGTATGGAGACAAGACTAAAGAGAGTAAACTTTTGTCAACTGAATAGACCTGCAATCGAAACCAAAAATTCTGACACAAACTGGATAGTAAATAGCGGTTCAGGTATTCAATGGCCGGTTACAAATTCGCTGACCATACATCTGGAATATTCAACTAGCTAACTATCAAATGTATTATGCCCTTAAAACTTAAACAAGATAGTTTCAAATAAAGCCACGTTATCGTCTTTTCAAAAAGAAAAATATTCTAATAATGTTTTGTCTTACAGTTTTGTTATACAATATATTTTGCTTTCATACTCACAAAAGCTTTTGTCTGTAAACAAATCCTTGGTTCAGGAGATGACGTAAATATTTTCTGTTCCTCCATTTGTTTTTCAATAAATTTTTTATACGCATCAGGGTCGTTTTTCGCCAAGTCATCCAGTCGATTCCAAATATATTCAGCTTGATTTTTCATCTCTTTAGAATCCATGTTGTTCTAGTGATTTTAATAATATTTCTGTAACTAAAATGCACAATATTGAAAGTTGGTATCGGGAGCATGAAAAAATTCAAATCAAGAAAAAACGGGTCTCGTGTAGTTTCGTACCTGATGTACTTCTAGTAGGCGTAGCATAATAATCTTTTGACATATATGCCAATCCTAACCCTCACCTGACTACGCCTTCCAAAAATTTCGTCACTACAATGTCACAATCACGTCATAGAGCTTGCCAAATACTCGTACGATCGCCTGAAATGGCATTGGCGCCGACGATAAAAAACTGACTAACGTCAGCGATCTCTCTCCTATCGGGATCGTTGCGACGAGAAAAAGAGAGAAATTACTGTTCGATTTCGGGTTCTCGTCTGCGCGTCTTGGATGACAGTTCGCATAGTTTGAAGGGTTCTATTATGTCACTGTGATGTCGTAGTGACATAATTTTTGGATTGTCTGGTCAGGTGGGGGTTAGGATTGACACATAAAAAAATTGTTATGCTACGCAAACTAGAAGTACGTTGGGTATGAAACTACATGAGACCCGAAAAATCCTGGTACTCTGGATGTGAGAAGGATGAGAATTTTCAAGCTCATTTCAAACGAGAAGAAATACTGAAATAGATAAGAAAGTTCAAAGGGTGGGCAAAATACAGCCCGTGGCCCCGATCCGGCACTCTGGAGTGTTTCATCCGGCCCACTTATGCCTGCTGCTCATAGTTTCATATTGCAGTATTGAGCCTCCGGTCCAGCAAGCAAGTCTATTATCTGGAACCTGCCCACTCAGCAACAAGCAATTGCCCACCCCTAGCTTAAAGTTCTTAAGAACCTTAAGCATCACAGGATAAATATATTAACACCACCGGTATCCCTATTCTAATACAGTACAGGTAATACGGCTGCTGGGCTGTATTGACAGAGCTCAGACTTCTAAAATATATACAGTAACTATTATAAGCTTATCGTTTCTGCAGCAAAAACTGTTGTATGACGTTTTTATCTTTATTTCCGATAAATGAATAGCTACCTGTCTATTTAACAATCTTACATCAAACACACGGCGATAGGCAGCAGTATTGAACAAAGCGACATGAATATTCCTGAATTCAAAATTCAAAGCTGCAGCGTCTCTTCGTCATGACAATAAAGAGTACCAAAACAGAACCGCGAGATGGGGATGAAGAGGTAATAAGGTGGTGGTCGGAGTACAATAGCAAAACTAACCCATCATCCAAAGTTGCAAGAAATGACAAAATTATTTAGAATACTTGACTACAAAAAGTTAAAAAAATATTACATAATTTTTTGTGGAGTTTTAGTTCAGTTGCGATAATCAAAAATTGTTGCCAGATTTGGTAGACTAGACGGGACACCCTCAGCTATCAGTATCTTCGAATGGCAGGTGATTGAATATTTTGAATTAAAATAAGTGTTTAAAATATGAAAACTAGTTTATAATTGCGAATTTGTGAGAAAATTCACAATATAAGCATACAAAATTGCAAGCATATTTAGGAATAAATCTTCTGGGGTCAAGGGTTAATAAGCGAGTTCATTCAGCCGTGATTGTCGTCTGCACCACAACATTCGGAAACTGCTAGTTTTTTGTTCTGATATTAATTGCTTGCGAATCTAAATAGATTTATACCGTATTTTATATGCCACATTCGGTAGGATATGTAGTTCCTCGGACAGCTGTCAAATTCTCAATAATGAGGTAAGGTTAGAGTTAGTTAGTGCAGTTACTTTGAAGAGAAACGGCTGCGTGCTGGTAGGATAACAGCTGTAGTCTAAGCCTAACATTTACTTCGGAAAGTAGCCTAAATGAAAACCTTCTGGTGGGATGTTTCAAATGGAAACTATATATTTGTCAGAATTATGAATTATACTAGGAAAAGATCCGAAATACCGTACCGCAACATTATTTGTTGAAAAAGAACCCGGGAAAGTCAATATCTAACAACATTTTTTGTTATTAACAGTTTAGCATACCCGTGACCAAGACTACCCTTAGGCTGTAGGCTACTACCGTTATTCCCCATATTTCATTAAAGTGAAGTTTTGACGATATTTACTTGGTTGAATGCCGCCTGCTGACGTTTGATAATCTTGTCTCTTTATAATAGACCACTCGGTGTATAATCTGTCAAAACTCCGAGAATATTCGCAACACAAGCTCTGAATAACTCTCCTACTTACCACCAAAATATAAACAAATAATATGGATATTACAAGAATGTGTGAACGTTTCAAAAAAGCTTGGTCAAAGAATTCCTCAGATACCCCAGAAGCTGTTTATTTAAGGTTAATCAGTATTAAGAAGCAAATGCAACTACTACAGTCTAAGATTGTTTATTCAACAAAATATGCCGATGAAGAATATGAATACAGGTAATGATTTATTTATCTATCACGATCTTATTGCGCTCGGATATTTGAGGAGACACTATTTTTGAATCTTTTTGACTTCGCAGTTTGCATTCCACAACAATTTATTGAAAACTCTGGGTGGGTGCACTGGGTGGGTATATGGGTTTATGAGCGACAAAGCTGCTAATTAGAATTAAATATACTGACTTTGAATTTAGGGTGAAACTGCTGCTATCATTTAGTTCATCAGTCCTGCTTCCGCAAAGCAGTCGAATCAATTAAAACACACCCGCTCTTGTTGTTTCTCTGACTTGCTCTGATTTTGTTCTTCCGACTACAAAAAACAATGATGAATGGGTGGATGATGATGGAGACTTTTATAATTTTCTTCTGTTTCTTCTTCTCCCTTCCTGTTTTGTCCACTGCCTTGTGTCCTTCTTCCACAATCGTAGTCGGTATTAATTTCATGCTACTCGCAACCTCGCCAACTCGGTCATTCCGCTCTTGTATGTACTACGTTCGCATTTTGGGCTGATTTGATAGGTCCTAAACCTATTTTGGATTACATGTTATTTATTAACTGCTTCTTCTTAGATTTACTTCTACTACTTTTTTTTTACGTTTACTTAGATTTACTTCTCTACTAGATCTTCTTAGATTATTCCTGCCCACGCCCACTTGGCCATCCATCCGGCTCTTGTAACAGCTGCTCACTTTTGTTGTTTGTTGTCAGTCTCTCTGTCTTTGCACTCATCACCTTGTTTTTGTTCTCCCTTTTGGACATCTCTTCTACATATGACCTTCGTACCTTATCTGTTTATTCTTAGCCACCTGTATCATAACTATTCCAGTTTATTAGCTGCTTTATTGTACCTCATTTGGACCTACTCCTTCCCACACCCAACAACTCCCCCTATTCTCCTTCGTAGCTCTTCCGTCTACTCCACTGTTTTTTTCCTCCTGAGCCATCCCTTTTCTCTCTTAGGCCTTTCCTCCGACAGCTCTCATTACCCTGTCTTCCTATTCTGACCTTTGCTCTCTCTGAACCTTACCTCATCAGACCTCAATCAGCTTACTATGGGTTCGAACCCGCTTTCGTACCTAGCCTACTGCTTAACAGCCCTGCACGCTTACCCTGCGCCATAGTTCTCGACGAAGCTCGGCGTGTAAGATTGGCCCTATAAACAAATATCTACTAATTAGCGATGCATGATTGCCTAATCAACACCGAGCACCGATCAGGGGGCGGAGTCAATTTCATTAAATCCGGAATTGGAGTTATTGAATAAAATTTTGCCCAATCCTCAGTTAGGTTCAATTTTATTTAAAACCAGAGCTGGACTCCGAGACAAATTTTTGTCAGCCAGATCCAGGGATCCTACTTTTCAATGGTCAGCGGATAGCAAATTTTTTTGGTCACACATTCCTGGTATTATTGTTTTCCGGACAAAGGTACGGTAGTTGAAGTTAGAGACTTTGTCAAGTTGTGGTCGGAGTCAATTTTATTTAGCTCGAAGTCGGAGTTATTTTTCTTTTTCTTCTACCACACAGTATTAATAGTCATATTTTCTTTTGATATTCGTATTATTGTTTTTGTTTTCTTGGGCTCTAGGCACACTCTCTCCCTACGGAATTATCATGTGTCGGAGTCAATTTTTCCCTCCAATCCGGAGTTGAAGTCAAATTTTGACAACCATGGGCTAGGTTCAGTTATATTCAATCACTCACCGTGAGCTTTCTCTTTTCTTTCGCCGCATAGTTTTAATATTGATATCATTCTTCCGAATTTAATCCTAAGTTTTTTCAAACCAGGGTTATTACTTTAGTCAATACTTTTATTTGATCAAAAATTCACTTGACTAACACAGACAGTCCCCGAACTCGTAATAGAACTAAAATAAGGAAATCGGAGTAAAATCACGCCCTAACTCTAAACTGGCACACACATACAACATTTTTAATGACTTGTAATTAGTTTCTTTTTTCTGATGTCCATATTGTTCCTTCTAGACACGCGTTTCTCCCTCCGGAATTATCAAGAGTAATTCCCACTGGCCATCTATTGACGGAATCGGAATGGAGAAATCTCGGAGTCCAACAATCCATTGGCTGGGAACATTATATGATTCATAACCCAGGTAAGTTTGTGCGACTTTAAATTTTATTGATATTTGCACAAGTCGAATGTGATTTTTTATGTTGGAATAGACTGTGAGGATGGTATTCACTGTGCTATATCGTTGTTGCACGGACTTACGGCAAGTGTGTTCCATTCCTTTTTTCCAAGTCCATGCATTTGAAAATATCTGGCTAACTACCATATCCTGCATGGAGGTCGTTGTTCGACATATGATTAAACCGTCTTATCGGCATTTATCTCTTCGTGATATATATGTAAATCCTATTCTTCGGCACCTATTTTCGAACCTCTTGAGTGGTGGTTGAGCCCAAGACTTGAAGCGGACAAATTCATTTTTATTCACAGATGACTATAATTTGGATGATTGCAAGCCATTTTTGTAGATACTGTTGAATGTTTTTTAATCAGATTCAATATAGAAATATTCAACAGCACTGATTAAACTTTCTAAATCGAGAAATATGCCAACACCCGTAAGTGAAATAAACAATTTTGTTCTTGTTATTTCAGAACCACACATTCTATTATTTCGACGATCGGTTCAAAGATGGCGATGATAAAGTGAAACCAAATTTTTATTTTTTATTCGAAGTTTATTTTTAAAATTACTTTCTTACGGTCCCGTTGCAAATCAGATAACGTTCACAATTTTTATAACGATAGTACGGCAGATGATTCTAATTTATCATCATGTGATAAAGTTTTTTACATATACCGGCTAAAAAAGAATCCACAAGCCCAAATATACGAGAGACATTTTGTTAGTAATGAGTCCAAGCTGTAAATTTGGAAAAACCTATCATCGATTCTAAACTTCGGACTGATATATCTTCGCAGGGGCATAGCCATTAGTATTGAGGGTCCCTTTTGAAATGTAAAAAAAAAAAAAAAATTTTGTGTATCATACATAGCGACTAGCTGTTACGGCCTAACATGGAGATTTAGATTAGAGATTTCACAACCCCTTTTTCCTTAAATATTCCTGCTACATCCCTTGTCCTGGCGGATATAACTCACAGTTGACGAATACTTTCCTAATCCTAATATTAGACCTTGGCAAATCAGCGGGTTTATTTATCAGACAAAGCAAAAGCCCGACACATGATTATTCTTCCTATTTGCAATACGCTTGCTGCATTCCGTGATTTGCTTTCCTCCACTTTTGTCATTTTATTGTAGATAGCCATGAATATTCTGTATATAGCAAATATATAAATAAACAGATAATATATTTATATGTGAGAAAAGAGCGCCGAGTCCCAGATGTTGATTCTACCAGTCTACACTTCATTGATTTCCACTCAAAAAGCAATGAAGCGTATTTTCTCTAATGATTTATTTCATTTCTGTCATTATATTGTAGATAGCCTTAACTATTGTGTATATAGTGAATATATAGATAAACAGATAATATATTTATATGTGAAAAACGAGCGCCGAGTCCCAAAAAATGTACATAGTTTTAAAAAAAATCGTGGATATATTTAAGCCGCCGCGCCCCCTCTTTAGAATTTGTCATGTCTTACGCCCCACCTCAAAAATAACTAGCTAATAAGCTAGAAATAACAGATAGTAAGGCGAAAGTATGTTTCATTCAAAATCCACGTTTAAAATACGTGAAAATTCAAAATAAAAATATAAATACCCAAAATAAAGCGGGCTAGATCAAATCTAACAATATTGCTTTCGAGTGAATTAAACAAAACTTCAAATTTGCAAGAAAACTTCAGCTGTTTACTTAATTTTCTGAATGTTTTCGTCCTAATACCAATTACATTTGAATTCACATTTTTTCCGGATTTTGGCGCTTGTTTTTCATGCATGAGTAGTTTTGTAAACATAGTATATATTTAAGTGGGATATAATATATATATAGTATAATGTAATGTTAGTAATCTAAATATTTTAATTAAATGGAAAAATAGAATAAAATAGATTTTATTTATGTTATTTATTTCTGAGAGTTTAAGAAAAGTTTTTTAATCTTTTTTATTTTATTAGTTTTGTATTTTATTTGTTGCCACTTTACTGTTTTTGTGCTTTTTTATGAATTTAAATAATAAAAATTGAACATTTTGCAAAAAAGATTAGTTTTGAATGAAAAATTTGGATTCTTCTTGACAGGCAGTGAAATGAGATGCTGTGATTTCGGAAGCGTAGGTAGATAAAGGCTGGATAAAGGCTAGCCACTGATATCTTACAAAATATTAAAGAATCTCTCCTCTACACACTTACTTCGCTGTCGGAGTTATCCAAGGTATGCGAGCGCACATCTATCTCGGTTGGTCCATTTGGTGAAAGGATTAGGCTACTGATAGTAAGACGGGAAAAGTCAGTTTCTAGTTAATTGTTATCGAAAATAGAGTAAAATGGTGTTAGAATGGACCTTTCTCCGAGCATCGACTTTCGTGTTTGCATCGCGACATTGGCCAAGAGGCAAAAAGTGACGTAACAATGCCCCCTTTTCGCATCCGCTCAGACACACAATCAGACAGATTTTCAGGCGTGGTCGTTTTCGCGTTTTTTAACTTTTTTCGTTAGTTTTCAGTTGTGTTATGAAAATTTAAATATAAGTTTTAATTTAATTGCAGTAATAAAAAATTAGTGTAAAAATAGCTGTGATAGACTGGGCTAAAATTCTTTACCGGTACTTTTAAAAAACAGATTGTTGTATGCGATGAATCATAATGATGGTTTGAAACACATACCCCATTTTACAGGCGCCAACTTGCAAAACCACCCTTAAAATAAGCCCGAAAATTTTGCAATGGTAAACTATAGGAAGAATTTTCCGGGGGTTTAAGGTCGGGGAAAGGTCCATAGGCGTAATTTATTTAAAATTTATGTTTCACTGCAAAATTGCATTTAAAAAAATGTTGAAAATTTTGGGTAGCCCATTGCTACGCCTATGTGTGATTTATCAAGCCGAATTATCAGCATTCTGATCCCCCAAGATAACAATGAAATGTCAATATGCTGAAAATACACATTGTCAAAGATGGCATTTCAAGGTGAAGGAAAACGCAGAATATCCAATACTGTTTACCGAGCCATTTATGGTAGCGGTTCTCAACCGGTGCGAGAGAGAATGATTTATTTTCCGAATATATAAAAAAAAGTAAAATTACAATAAATGTAAAAAAAAATGTATCGGGAGGGGGCGGGGTTCTTCTAGTGGGGGGGGGGGGGGGGGGGGAGGGAGCAATAAGGTTATTTCAAAAAGTGTTTCCACATTGCTGAGCATGGATTGATTGATAATAATGGGATTCGGAATCTACCAATCAAAATAACGCTATAAATACCACTGGAATGATAAACATGGGAGCCATGAGGGCTAAAAGTATCTGGAATGGGGTCATAAAAGGTTTGGACCACTGCCTTATGGGGCCACAGAAACTAAATAAAAAGTAAGAAATCGAATCCTCCGATAGTAGTATGCAATTCAAGAGTCATACTGAACACTAACACTAGAATATCTGTCAGAGACCGAAGACTTATCGATCGAAAGTTAGGGGTTCCCCCAAAACAGCGCTCTTACTCCATAGTAACACCTTGTGTCCCATCACTAATTAATTAATAACTCGCTAAATATACGACATAATTCATCCAAAATAGGCTTCTGGTCCGACATATGATGAATGCACATGCAAAATCTAGAGCAGATTCAATCTCGCTTTCGTGAGATATCGCGTGCATCTAACAGACAGACAAATACCTATCAACATACTTACCGATAAAAATCGATAAGTAACATGTGATCTTTTCTTGGCATTGTTGTAAGTAAACTGCTTCTCCGAGGAAGTCTGATTTCGGTCAGGCGAAACGTTACAGTACCAGGTATGACATCATAGACACCACATCTGCGTTGACACAAGTCATGATTTCAATCCAATAATAACAAAATTTTGATACATTCGTCGTTTGCAAGACTTTGTAAAACTAGGGCAAGGGTCGGCAACCTACGGCCCGCGGAGTAATATAATCCGGCCCGCGACGCTTCACTGAATAGTAACAAAACAACTGCTTTGACGATTATATTCTTTACGTAACAGAATTTATTGTGAAACACTTGTAGACGAAATTATATTATAACATGTATAAAATTCACAATTACTCGTTTCATGAGCCTATAATTCAATTCTAATCAGACAAATGGCAACAAACCGCAGAAAAGTTGATGCTGAGTGTAAAGGGTTCAATGTGTAGAAAATATTCAAATGGAACCAGTCCATCGGAGTTCTCCAAGACCTCGTATCGTTAATACAGATTATGATCCAATAAATAATCCATAGGCGTGAGATATGAATCGGTGATATAGTCCAGGGCTACTTAACTGGCGGACCGCGGTCCGGACCTTTTGACCATTCAATTTGGACCGCGTCTGCTTGTTTGTTTTGGCAGCATAAGCATAGTTATAAATAATTTCGATACCATTCAAATACACAGCTATACAGTTTGTCGTACTGGTACCGATGTGCGACATTCGTGTGCCATTCATTGCTCTTGTATTTAATTAATAAAGCATTTGAACTTTTATTTAATGAAATAAATTTTCTGTAATTTCCGGACCCCAGTAATTTTGAAGTTTTGTAAACGGACCTTTGGTAAAAATACTTGAGTAGCCCTGTTAGCGGTGTAGCGAGTATACGGAGTTCAAGAACAGCAATAATGTCATTCCGACTTCGAGAAAAATCTTCGATGCGCCTAAACTTCTTCGAACCTCGCCATTATGGACAGACATCAAACTCCGGACAAATTTTCCAAATTGTGATTTCATAATATCGAGATTCCATGATTTATCAATCCAACACACAATGACTTTCTGTAATATAAATCACAACACATTGCAAATAATATTCCATTTTATTAACATTTAACTAGAATAAGGAAATGTTTTTCAGGATATATGCACATTCAAGATGAGGTATCATATTTTATCCCGGGGGATGAAAAGGCCGATAAAACGGCTTAATCATATGGGGTATCACACCACAGTCTTTTGGCCGATTACCAGTCGGTCTATATCAGTTATGAGATTAGTCACCCAGTTATTTGTTCCAGATGGGCTTGATTTAATCAATACGGTAGATGAGCTTGTTTTTTTAGGTTATTGTAACACGACTGATACCAGTTCTAAACACGGGCAGATGTGAAGTTATTTGAAAATGAATCGATGTTTCACGAGGCACTACACCCAGAGTTTTCAAACTGGGCCACTAGGGGGCATGAGCAATAGCCTTTACTAGGTAGCATTTGTGAGGACTTAATTTTTTAAGTGAATTAACTGTTATTTGTTTAATTTTTGACTTTGACTATTTTGTTGGTTTTTCACTATAAACTAAACTACTTAAATAACCGTTTGGAACATGTTAAAAGCAGAACTAGGTATAAGCACTGGAAGTCATGGAGGGTAGAGGCCAGTGGTGGGATTCAGCCGATTCGCACTGGTTCTATAGAACCGTCTCATAGAATTTTATGAGATCAGCAGACCGGTTAGCATTACTGGTTAACGTCAATGATATTTTGTAACAGAACCGGCTGGAAAATATGACTTTGTGATGAACCGGCCGACAAAATATTTTAATACCACCACTGGTAGGGGACCCGAGGATCTCGTAAGTTTGAGATCATAAACTAGACACACAGTTTAGGAACTGTTACCAAATCGTTTTTCCACTAAACTAGTCCACATTGGAACACAGTAAAATAGTACGTGACACCCGGAAATATGCAGTAGTAATATTGCAACACCATCAATAATATATACACAAAAACAGCTTAGAAAATCCTCGGCAGTAAATCTTTACATGCTAAATTCAACTACAAAACGAAATAATGTACTAGTACTATTTGGAATGCTAAGTAGGAATGCTATTTATTCTGAAAGGTTCTAATCACCGTGACCATAATCTTTACAAAGCATGCCCAAATTTAACTTGTCTGAGATATCAAAAACAGTACTATTCAGCAGAAGGGGCAAAACCAGAAATTTTTAAAATGGAGGGGTTCTGAATAATTTAATTGTCAAGTAAATGTATGAGCTAGGGCAGGGTGGTCCAAGGTTGTCGGCTCCGCGGGCCACAATATTATTTTTGCATTGTTAGAGGGCCACAATAGGTAAAAAGTGCAATACAAAACAAACTCTTTTATTGTGCAAACACATAGTTATCAGACATAGCCATTCTAGGCTAATAGAATCCGCATTTGATTTTTAGTTTTCTATGCCTATATTGTTTGCATATATTCCCGACCAAAAAGTTAGAAAGCCAGATAACAATTTAGATAACAACATCATTCAACTTCGCTGGTTTCCCCAGCTAGCCATAACAATATTTAATTCAGGGACATTAGCGATGACAATATGTCAAGATTTTTCTGATTAATTTTATGACGAAACAACACGAAATGCGATTTTTTGATTACTCTTCGAATGTGACGCGGGCCACAGATAATGAATGTGGCCCGCGGGCTTGGACCACCCTGAGCTAGGGGGTCCGGAAAACATGGGTTTTCAAGTTTTTAGGTCTAAAAGTAGTTTCGAGCTGCAAAAAAATGCTATGTATATTTTATTTACATTTTAAAAGGGGATGGTTTCACCACCAAGTCGGCGGTCTCTGATCGCTAACTCGTATTTTAAATTGGTGCGATAGTTGCGCACAGCATCAGAAAATGATTCATTGATGATTGAATAGCAAACGGTAAAAGATTTTTTCAGGTATGGGGGAATGAAAGTTTCAAAATAGCCGAAGGCAAGAATGCATCGAAATAGGTCGGTCACTGCTCTAAAGTACTGTTCATGGCAAATCATAAACCAAATATAATACTGCAACACCATCAAAATATATACACACAAAAATATTCATCTAATTTTGTTAGCGAATGCATATTTTAGAATATAGATTAGAATATCCCCACATTTACAGCATGAGCGCGAGAAAAGCTGAAAATTTAAGGTCAGATGAGATCACGAATAAAATGTGTATATATAGGCTACAGTTTGAATTGAAACGAGTTAACCTTCGAAACGCTACACGAGCTAGGACTTCTAGGTTAAGACACTGCTCTGAGGTGCAAAGGACGACATTTGAGCATCTGTGAGTGTAAAATAACATATGTCTCTAAAAAACTCTGTAAAAGTTATTCTTTGAAAAAAAAAATATTTGCTTTACAAATGACAGCGACCACCCTGTATAATGAACTGCCTGTCTGAAGTCTAGTACATTTCAAACCATAAAACCGAACGTATTAATGCAAATTATATAACGATAATATTAATCTGGGGTTACATATGCATATTTAGTTGCATATTTATTTCACATAAAACCTTAGTAACAAGTATTGTACAATGACGGGAGAAAAATATTTGTTCACTCCTTGGGCGCGTTTGTAGCAAGATAGCGACAGAAATCCACTGATGTCACTATTCCATAGATCTGTGATGAATGGCCATCTCCTGCAAGAAAAGAATCGTATTAGATTTTTCACACAAAAGAGGAAAGATGATAGGACTGTGTTTTCAGACTTCAAATTAATCCCAAACTGGGAACGAATTTTATTGTTTTATTGGCGGAATACAAAAATATTACTTTGTATTTGGTATGGTTTTAATAATATTCTTTAGTATTATTGTGATTCATATTTAGCTGTAATATACCAGTGACTAAATGAGCCATCCCCTGTGTTAAAAAGACATAAAACAATTTTTTTATTTCCACAGTAATTAAACCTGCGAACCCTTGCATACTAACTCCAAATGAGTCGATGTAAAATGGTTCATCTTTTAAAAAAAAGTTGTAAAAAAGACATAACTGGAAACAGACACATGGACAGTAAAAACGAAGAATACTCAGAAAGCACACATACGAATGAGATGAAATTAAGAATTATATGAATTAAATGGGGCTCCCGAAGTATGCGAACCAAGATGGCGGACATCGGAATGTAATATGTGTACTAGGTTAGGGTTAGGCCATAATTTTAGGTATAAATACTACGGGAGGCTCTTGGCTAGTCTTCGAACTGATAATAGGACTAAAATAAGGAAAATTGGAAAAAAATGATCGCCTAACCCTAACCTGTTACCCATGTTATGTTCCAATGTCCGCCATCTTGGTTCGCATACTTCGGGAGCACCAATTAAATAATGAATTAAGATGTTGCAACAGGAGCGTAGCCCGGAGGGGGGGGGGGCTAGAGGCTAGATCAGGGGTGGACAACATACGGTCGGGTCCGACACGCGACAAGATTTTGACCGGCCCGCTGACTGTATCCAACCACACTCTGTAACGTGGGCCGACGCATCATTCCTGAAAGTAACCGATCACTCTACTCTCACCGCACTGTCAGTGCGAGCTGGTGAAATAAACAATTGCTTTAGTGAACAAACAATTGCGTTAGCACACTTGTTAAACAAACAATATAAGGTCAAAGCAGAGAGCGTTGTAAACATTCCCCACTACTGTTATCAGTTATATTTCTATTTAGATTCTAAATATGAATAGATTTTAAAAAATTAGATTTTATATTAAGTTTTATTAACCATGGAATATCCCAAGAAACGCCAGAGAGTGTCGAGAATTTACCATGAATTGGATACCGAAGTATTTTTTGTAATAATCCGGCCCACCTCGGACTTCGTTTTCCCACATCTGGCCCGCCGACTAAAGAAGTTGCCCACCCCTGGGCTAGAGGGTCAGGCCACCCTTTGTGAAATGAAAAAACAGCATTTTTCTGTCAAATACAGCAATTTTTCTTGGCTTGTAACACTTTTTAGACTTTCATGACACTTGAAAACCCATGTTTTCTGCCCCCCCCCCCTTTTGAAAATTTCTGGCTACGAACCTATAATGTGGTATAGGTGAAATAGACAGAACAACACTTGAGAGAGAAGTAAAGGATAATTAAGTTCAAATATTTAGAAATCTTCAAGATAAGAGTTTAAATTGATAAAAAAAAAATTATCCAAAATGATTTCCTTGGGCAGACAAACAGGCAAATTATCTCACAATTACATGAAACAGTCAAAGTTACCATTTGTAATCTTTGCTCCTCCTTTAAACAAATATGGCAGGTTATTAGTTTTCCTAAGTGTTCAGTGAATTCAAATTAACAGGTTTAATATACGGTGATTCTCGATCAAATTGGCCTCTACGTTACTGTTGCCACTTATGTGATGCCAATTATCCAACTCTCAGGTTTGTGACCTTCACAGGGCATCCATTCTATGGCAGTGTTTATTGATGTAGGGCCGGGGCCTCCATGAAGTTGTTATTATACCCTGTGAGGACCAGACTGCCACAGAGATTTAGGCAAAAAGCTCTCGAGGGTTGTCAGTTTATCGGACTGTGAATAACTCGTTGCGTGTTCCATGAAGTCATTCGTAACTTTTGTGATGCATCACAAGACTTGGGACAGCTAACACTAGAGGGTGTGACTATTACTGGGTCTTGGAAAAATCTAAAAAAGGGTGCTACCTCAATATGGTTGCGAGTTGCTCTTGAATCCGAATTCGGGTAATCATTTTGAGCTATGGCCCGTACATGGGCACAGATAACTTGATCTTCATAGGTGGCAAACAGAAAAGAGATTTAGAAGAACTGCTCTGTAATTTTTATGCCAAATCAAGCGAAATTTTGTTGCAACTTTTTTATTTATTCCAGTGGGTTATTTTCTCAACATTTATAAAACTCTCTCAGAAACTTTTTGCATAGTTGAGATATTCACGTAACAGTGTCAAACATCATACTGAACTGATCAAAGACAACTTAAAGAAATTGACTGTAATTTACCTAATTCCTTGACTATAATAAATTTATTTTTCACTTGGCTTTTTATATTAAAATATTCTACTAAATTAAATTATGGAAATAGTTTAAATGAAGAACTGTTTTTTTTTTATTGATGAGTAGGAGCCACAAGTGTTGAGACACAACTATTCTATCACTAGAGCAAAATCTTGCCTTTGGTAGTGTGGTTAATGAAAATGCCCTCAATTTGTCAGCTTATTCGAGGTAGCCACATAGACACAAGTACTTTCAATTTGCTACGCATTTGAAGCTAATGAACCCCTTAAAATCATTACGTGGTACTCTCATTGGAGGCAACTGAGTTGGAAAATGTAATTGCTTGGAGTGTATTAGATTTGCATATAAAACATACCGACAGGTTCAGCTCTCAAACTTTTTATGCTTGGTTTCAAGTCTGTCAATGATAGGTTGGCAATGTCACCTGAAAGTAGGAAAATATCATCAAAAATAAAATATTACAGGACGATTTAGTGGAAAATAATGTTGAAATTGGACAAGATGGAAGCAAATAATTCTACTATTCTGGGTGAGAAATTAAAGATCAGAGTTCAGACTTATTCTGAGCTTCATTCCAAAGAAGAGAGAAACAAGAATATCGGTCAGAGACCGAAGACTTATCGATCGAAAGTTAGGGGATCCCCCAAAACAGCACTCTCACTCCATAGTGACACCTTTGTGTTCCATTCCACTAATTATACGACATAATTCATCCAAAATCAATAGGCTTCTGGTCCGACATATGATGAATGCACATGCAAAATCTGCAGCAGATCCAATCTCACTTTCGTTGGATATCGTGTGCATCTAACAGACAGACAAACAGACAAATACCTATCAACATACTTCCCGATTAAAATCGATAAGTAACAAGTAAAAAAAAACTAAGAAATCTTCAAACTTACATTGTAGCTTGCTATGCATCACAATCGCAAAATGATCAATTTCCAAAATTCGTGAAAGTTTCTTCAGGTTGTCTGTCATTTGAATCTGCCAGTAAACAAGAGACTAATGCTCAAATATATGGAGATGAAAACAGGTTCTGGTACTGTTAAGCCTTGGAGCTCTTGATTTTGCCAAAAAGATCGGCGGCAACGTTTGTACAGAGCCTTATATTTTCCTTATTTAGTATCTATTTGTACAGAGCTTTGTTCCAGGTGACGAACGTATAAATAAATAAAACGAGAATATCGGTTGGAAACCGAATACTTATCGATCGATAGTTAGGGGATCCCCAAAACAGAAACTGCAGTTTCGATTCATCCGCTCGTGTAACTTGCGCACTGCGCATCGCACACACACACTCGGCGGGTCTCAAAATTCTTTCGCTTTACAAAAATCTAGATCACTTAATCAATAATTGATTGATAACTCGCTAATTATACGACATAATTCGCCCAAAATCAATAGGAATCTGGTCCGAGATAAGATGAATGCACATGCAAAATCTGGAGCAGATTCAATCTCGCTTTCGTGAGATATCGCGTGCATCTAACAGACAGACATACATACATACAAATACCTATCAATATACTTACCGATCTTAAGATCGATAAGTAATAATAAAATCAGACCACAAACCTCCTTGAATCCTTTATACAAAGTCTTCGACACAGCATCGTTAGGAACAATTTTACCAGACGTAAGATTGCTCATCATGTTTCCCATTGTAACTGTGCCAAGAACAACACTGAAAACAATATTTTCCGATTACTATAAATGCTCTTGCTGGCATTAAAATTTAAAATCTGAGAAGGTTATAATTTAGATTTTTCAAAATAGAAAGTTGAATTTCATAATTATAAATTCATCAGTTTGATTCTAAATTTAAAGTAGAAACAAAGTTATAAATATCGAGAGCTCATTATCCCAAAGTCTGGAAACTGGCAACAAACAGAGTATAAACTTTTGCCAATCGAATGTAACTTTCTCTGAGAGCACAGTCTGGATCATAAAAATTGCAATTACGTGAACCAAACAGTTTAAGGTCAATCTCATATATTTGTTCGATCCCAGGGAATCTTATGATGATACTGCTTTTCCATTTAATTCTTGCAAATTCACAACCCATTGAAAACCCATACAGAAATACCCAGTAACTAAAACATAAAATGGTATTGGAGGTACCGTGACAGAAAAACGAAAAAAAAAATAGGCAACCAATTATATCACTGTTTATCTGCAACTGCAACAGATCTCAATTATCTGTTCATTGTTCAACTTATACAACTTTATCCATTTTTTTCTCAAAACAACTCAGTATGAGCAGAATTAACAACTGCATCAAAAGAATAAAAATATTTTGTTTCTGAATTAATAAAAAAGTGTAAACATGTTGTGTTTTATTCATGACGTGGCATAGTTAGTATTGGTATTGAGTATTAAGAGAAGTTGAAAGATCCCATTTTCATGTGTAATTTCTTTCAAATGCCTCGATTGTGTGAGAGAAAGGGGGTACTCCTGTAGTATGTGTACCAGGCCAGGGTTAGGCCATAATTTTATTCCTTTTTTTCTTATTTTTGTTCTATTATGAGTTCGGGGACTGTTTGTGTTAGCCAAGTGAATATACCCCCTGCCTATAGTGTCCAGTCCTTTCACACAACTTAATGTAAAGTAGGCGAACAAAATTAGTTACCTCCATATTGGTACACACACTTCTGAAGCACTAAGAAAAGTTTACTCACGGTTACTTAATGCCTGTACAATGAGGACTTTTCACGCTCCAGAAATAAAGTAAAAAATAAAATTCAAACAAACCCGTTCCCGTCGACAACAGGTATCTGGTCAAATCCTTGTTCTTCCATAATCTGCAAGGTGGCGCCACATCTTGTTGTAGGGAGCACAGACACGGGTGTATGTAATTTTATCTTCGAGACGGGGACGTCCCACCACCTAAGTATTTGAAGACAATTTTCGATAGACTGTTTTTCAGTGTTATTGAGGCAGCAACTAATGTGCAGGGCAGTGGTTCTCAGCCTTTTATGGCTTGTGGCCCCCTTCCATAGATTTTTAGCACTCATGCCCCTTTGTTTATCATTCCATTGGTATTTATGGTGTTTTTATTGGTAGATTCCAAATCTCCTTATGTTCAAACAATTCATGTTCAACAAAGTGAAAACATCCTGTGAAATAGTCTTATCAAGCAATGGAACTAGAAAGAGTTTTCTTGTGAAGGAAAAAGCAAACACAGCTTATGCCTAACATTGTTGGATTCCAATTGGATTGGATTCCAATACGCAACCCCTCCTTGGGTAGGCCACTGACATATTGCTCACATAATATCCTGTTATCAAGGTATAATGAAACAAAATTCTGAATACAACAGAAAAAGAATCATATCCTATTCGAGCAATGCTTGGGGCTCCAGAAGTATGCGCACCAAAGATGTCGCACAGCCTGAATCCTAACCGGTACACACATACTATGTTCAGGTTGTGCGTCGTCTTGGTGCACATACTTCTGGAGGTCCCAATGCTTAATGATCAAGTCAGTACTGTCCTCACCATTTCTTTTCCATGTTTTTTTCAGGTAAGAAATTCCTCTCAATCATCCATTCTTCCTTCAAGAATTTGGTCCTGGAATAAAAATTAACAATTCGAGGGTGAGATTTCTATTACTGTTGATTTTGAGGGAAAACCTCTTTATATTTTCTTGTCTAAAATCCATGACCATAAATGGGAAAACCTTGCTTGAACCTTTAATAACCTATATGTTCCAATAACCCATTATCATACCTCAGTATCAAACTGCCTTAATTAATAGATAATAATATCGGTCAGAGACCGAAGACTTATCGATCGAAAGTTAGGGGATCCCCCAAAACAGCACTCTCACTCCATAGTGACACCTTTGTGTTCCGTTCCACTATTTATACGACATAATTCATCCAAAATCAATAGGCTTCTGGTCCGACATATGATGAATGCACATGCAAAATCTGCATAAGATCCAATCTCACTTTCGTTGGATATCGTGTGCATCTAACAGACAGACAAACAGACAAATACCTATCAACATACTTACCGATTAAAATCGATAAAAAACAGTAAAATAGTAAAATCTGGACTCTAATTTGGCTGGTTTTGGCTTTGCTACTGAATTGGTTCCCAACCGCCGGTCCACGGACCAGTGCCGGTCCGCGAAGCTATTTTGTCGGTCCGCGAGAGATTTCGTTGTTTTTATGCCGTCTCAATCGTTTCACCAAATACAATGTTGCGTTGTTTTATTACGCAATTTCTATTCCGCCGTCATATTGTGTCGTCTTTCGCGACATCTTGTCGCCGAGTAATCGCACTTTTCGCTTTGTCACCTCAGATTTAACCCGAATGCGCTCTATCAAATGTCACAAGATTCGGAAACCTAAAAATCTGCACGCGTTTCCTGAATAATATGACCATCCATATAAAACGTTATGCATAATTTTTTGTTCAAACCAGAAAACAGTCAAGGACAGTATAATATTCCAGCAAGATATGAACTTGTTGCGACCCTGCAGGTGACCACGAGATGCGCAAAAAAGCATGGACCGCAGAGATCTTTTCCAGTATTTTGAGCAGACACTGTAGTATTTTGAGCCTGTGGCAAGTTACCGACATTATAATGTAAATTCATTTCGTTTGAGGCGTCGATCAACTGAGGGATTAATATGATGAACCCGATAAAAAAGAAGCGCTTGATTAAAATTGTGATTCTTCTTTACAGTCCAGATTTAAGAAAGAATCACTGTCACAATTTTGGATAAATCTTGAGACCGAATACCAATCGCTAATTAATCGAGCAATCAAACTGTTTTCCGTAATTTCAACCAGATACTGCGTTATGCGAAAAAACATTTTCATCACTATAGCTTTAATTAAAACGAAGCAAAAAAATCGGATGCACGCCGTTGCAGAGCTACGTGTTGCAGAAACTTCTTTGAGGCCTCGTTTGCAACCCCGTATTGGAAACGAAACAGCAGCAAAATTCTCACTATATAGCTATGGTACCGGTAATTATGTTTTTCTTCGCGTAAAATGTTTTCAAGGGTGCGTTTTTTTTGTCTAGAAGCATATTGAGTGCCCGGCATTGCATTATATTACGCAAATATAAGTTATTCTTTTCTGGTCCGGCCCTATCAATTTTTGCCAGTCCGCAAAATTTAATTTAATTTTACCAGTCCGCCAGGGTAGAAAGGTTGGGAACCACTGGCCTAGCCCACCTTTTCATGCATCAAACTTGGCAATTATGATTGGGCAATTTGGCATTGGGAGACTTTATACCAGACATGGGCAAAGTATGGACCGCGGCAGGCCCATCCTAATGTTGCCCTGAAATCGAATCTTGAGGAATTTGTTGAAATTGCGGTTAAATTTAGTTTTGGCACGCGGCTTATTGTTTTCCTTTTTTGCTTTGTAACACTGTGAATATTGTTCATAAAATATATTTTTTACGTCACATTCACATGGCGCGCCAGTCCAAGTGGGCAAAATTTTTGGCCCCTGGTTTAAAAGATGTGCCCATCCCAGCTCTATACTATATTCAGCTTGGCGATGTCTTTTTAGGAATATTTTTTCTTATATATTTCACTTCTGTTAACCAATTTGGTAATCCTTGCATCATTAACATAGTGTGACAAAATTTTATTTTTTGTTTGTATATTTTTCTTTTTACTGGATGATATATAATTATGTTTCTATTATTTCTTTTCGCTTTTCCAATGTAAGTATGTGTGAGTGTGTGTGTGTGCTTTATCCATCAGGTCATACTAGGTGAAAGACAAAAGATTTGAAACCGGAATTTCAACTTGCGGCACCAATACTAAGACCAAGTACTAACCCATACTTACATATAATTCCTGACAGAATCAGGTAACAGCACAACACATTTCTGTCCTTCCTTTAATTCTCGGCATGCTTGAAGCGCAATATGCATCGCTGCACCGCTACTGCCACCTAGAAAACAAATCATACAATAGGATAGGATATCTCACATTTCACAAAGTCACCTAATCATTTAGCGCAGGGGTTCAACCTGTCACCCGCGAGCCAAATGAGTCCCACAAAAAAAAAATTGTGCAGCCCTCAGAGAATTGCTGATTTTGAATGATGTGCGGCGCGCGAAACGAGTTTTTAATTTAGTTTAATCTGGTATGTGAGAGTAATTCCAATCTCTCACAATGCCCTAACAGCTATAGCTTGTGCGAAGCGAACAACGCATATCATGAGATCAATAATCAAAATTTTTGTGCCTGCAACTACTAGAAAGCCTATGAAAAGGTGCGGTCACGCGGTTTCACCCAGTTTTACATATCTGGCCATCCTGTATTGAAGGTTACACACCCCAGATTCAGGGAATCACTGACATAAGACAAGCACTGCCAATATATCCCAAGCAACAAGCATCTGGAAAGAATTAAATTTGATCAAACATACCGCATAAGAAACCCTCTTCTCTTATCAGTCTTCTTGCCATGATAAAAGAATCCTTATCAGCTGTTTTGTACCATTTATCAACAACAGACCTGATAAAAAAAAATGAGTAGTAAGAAATCAAGAGACCAATAACTTAGCCCAAGGGCTCTCAAACTTTCATTGTTATCCGTGAGGTTGACTATAATTTACAAAGCCCACAATAAATTTGGCGCTCCTGAAGTGTGTATACAAATATGAAGGTAACTAATTTTGTTCGCCTACTTTACATTAAGTTGTGTAAAGGGACTGTAACCTATGGGCAGGGGGTATATTCACTTGGCCAACAAAGACAGTTCCCGTACTCGTAATAGAACTAAAAAAAGAAAAAATGGAATAAAATGATGGCCTAACCCTAACCTGGTACACATAATGCGGCTACGCGAGTACCCAAAATTGAATTTGTAAAGGGACTTTATAGACAACCCGTATGGCAGTCCAATGGCTCTCTATAAGATCATTAAAATAACGATTGAGACCATATACAAATCCTTATTCCTAATTACTTAACCTACCTGTCCAGTACCGTTGGAATGAAATCGTAGCCTGTCCCTTCCACTTCATAGAAACTGACGTCAGTTTTATTCAGTTCGCCAGGTTGAGCTAGGATTGAGCCAAGAGGGTCTACCCCTACAACCTGAGATGAAATTAATTAGATGAAATAGCGGTAAGGGTTAGGGTTAAATTGTTACCAATATACATATGCTTGAACTGTGATAATGACGCAACAATTGGCGAACGCAAAACAATACTAACATAAAGTTTTAAATTATTTCACTAAGTTCGGCGGACCGTATTAATTAGTTACGTGAGCCGTAATTGGCCTGCAGGCCGCAGTTTTGTCCCGTTCCCAGTGTAATAAATTAGATACACGATCCCAAACTGAAAATATTCTTTCTGGTCCTTTAAAAAACTAAAACTTTTTGTATCAGAAACTGTTTGTCTACAACAGTAGTTGCGAAAGTTGATTGACAAAATTAGGAACGGAAGGTTATTCACGAGCCAGGAGATTAAGGGGCAAGGTACCGGTACGTATAATTAGGATACCGGGATAATTGAATTGTTACGGATATAAACTTGCTTAAACTGTGATAATGATGTAAAAATTTGAGGTGTCGAGAACGCAAAACGATAAAAAGATAAGGTGTTAAACTATTTTACTCGACGGACCATTCGTTACACGAGCAGTAATTGGCCCGCAGGCAGCGGTTTGGGAACCATTGAGGATCGATTCCAATCACATAAAAAATGCTGAAATTATCATTAGATGGAATAGTTGTCAGGGTTACTTAATAATAATGTAAACATCCCAGGTGAAATATCTTGGGGTCAAACCCAATGGTACCCTTGTCCTGGGTGTAGTAAATAGGGTAAGCAATCCTGAACTGAAAATATTCTTTCTGGTCCTTCCAGAAAAAATATAACCTTTCATATCAAAGACTGTTTGTCTAGAACAGTGGTTCCCAAAGTTGATTGCCCGGGGGCCAGAATTAGAAATGGGAGGAAGGATATTCGCGGGTCAGGAAAGGGCTTGCAACGGTTTTATACCGTATGTATATTTAAGATACGGGCGTAATTGAATGTTACTGATATGCTTTTGATAATAACGTAACAATCGGCGGTATCTAGACTAGAACGCAAAAAGATAAAAACAATGTGTTATTAAACTATTCCACTTAAGTTCGACAGGACCTATTAAAATCGTTACACGGGTTATAATTGGCCCGTTGGCCATGGTTTGGGTACCACTTGTCTAGAACCTTGTTTAAAGTGAAGGCGTAAAAAAGTAGTGGCTCAAGCTTTCCGATAACCAACTATACACCATAGAATCCACACACCATATGAAGAATTACGGTAAGTTCAATCATTACCTTACAGTTGGGAATCTTTTCTTTCATTTTTCTTCCAATCCCGCAGACTGTACCCCCAGTTCCTGCGCCCACCACCACCATGTCAACATGACCTAAGAATGGAACAATTATTTTGCTTTGAACTTAGCTTTACAAGAGGTGTTTTATATCTATCTTGAGAAGCCGATAGTTGAACGACTTAATCGTACAAGAAGCCTCTGTCTATATGTTTCAGATGCATGGACTTTATGGTGGAGGGAGACGCAACCTACCAGCAACTACGTAAACCATGATGTTAAGAAGTCCAGCAATCTTCTCGCAAGCTTGCACATAATTATCTCCCCTGGCATGGGTTTTTGTCTGGGGTTACGCTTCCCCAATGCGGTTGAAAGACACTGCATCATGGCATAAGAGCATTGAACCCTCAAGGGTAACCACTAACCAGTGAAAAGCAGAAGAGTTTTAACTCTTTGTAGCATTGTATCGCAAGCGTTGAGTGTAGTATTACTTTAAAAATTAGAAGGAAAAAAATAGGAATTCAAACCTCCACATTGTTCAATTATTTCTTCTGCTGTTGTGTCATAATGGGCAACAGGATTCCCAGAGTTGATGTACTAGAAGAGAAAACAAATCTCATTTTAAGCCCTGCATGAAGATTTCACTGGTAATGTCAGGTTTGTTGCTTATAATGAACAGTTATTAAATGATAAACATTTGTATTTGTGTACAGCAGGACTCTCGAATTGCATAGAATAGTCATATTTATTCCTGCTACAGCATCCTTGCATTATACGCATACGGATCCATTAGCGCAAAGGCATTGAGAAAAGATTGGGAATTAGTCTTGCGTAACCTCTACTGATTGGAGCTATGTTGGCATCAAAGGTCATAAATATCAAGGTCAAATCCCATGTCCATCACCTTGCCCAGGTTAAATTTGGCAGGCGATGCTGAACCATAAACATTTCAGTCATTCCAATTCAGGGTTTCCCAAACTTTTTGGGCTGCGGACCCCTATTTGCGAATCTTACCTATGACCTCTGACCCCATCATATGCCGTATCAACTACTGTGCTTAACCACAGGGATGGTGCTCCAGAAGTATGTGTACAAATATGGAGGTAACTAATTTCGTTCGCCTACTTTACGTTCCAGAACTCGTATAATAGAACTAAAATAAGGAAAATCTAAATAAAATCATGGCCTAATCATATCCAGGTACACATACTACGGAAGTAGGCTACCCAAGGGAAGATAATGTTTCATTTACAACACAATGACATTAATATGATAGATGAGGCTGCTTTTTAGTGCACGATTTCCACATATGCGGTTGCAGGCTGTTTGCTTAAAACACATGCGGTATAAATACACATGATATGGCAGACTTCAAAGACAAATTCAATATTCGTATTGGATAATCAGAGATGCAGTGGTGAGCGGATTCTTAACGCTTTGCCAGATGCACCATAACGCCGATTACATTAAAATTGAAAGTTGCACGTTTATCACATATTTGAGTCTTTTGAAATTGTGTTGTAAATTAGTGTTTCAGATATAGAACAACAGTGCTGCAATTTAATTGAGGTTCAAAAAGGTGTCACACACACGAAAATTTGGAAAAATCTGTAAATTAAGTCCAATTAAATTTCAATCGGCTTGTCCATGACCAATCGCGGACTTGTTGCTCAAAACACATGCGTTACAATTACACATGATATGACAGACTTCAAAGACGAATTTAATATTTGATATTGGATACTAACACTTACATCCCCTAAAACTGAAACGCTGCGACATCCAGTGCAACAAAAAGCAACAGTTTGTCGGTTTTACCTATTGATCAGCCTACTATGAGGAAATAAATCAGGAAATATCAGATTTTAAGTGATCCCAACGTTAGGAAATGAAGTAGGTTCAAGTAAGCGTTCAAAAAGGGTTGCATAAGACCAAAGAGAGCGATGCTCAAATATATGGACACAAACTCCAAAAACAAAGTACTTTCCGTGCCTACTGTTACCGGTATCAATTATTCTCAGAGTCAAATCGGAAACAGCCGTCACACTTGGCGGTTAAATAACTCTGTGCTCATGAGCAGTGGCATATCTACGCAACATTACGCCCATGGCAAAGTTTAAAAACGCGCCCCCTTGATAGTTGGTTGAAAATTGTGAAAATGACTGTTATTGAAATAAGATACTTGTAACTTATCATTTAAGAGAAATTACAAGTTTCAGTTTTTTTTTCAATTTGAAATTATTGTATATAAACATTTTACGATTGAAACTTTTGGCCTTTTTTTTCGAACGACGCCGATGGCACGAGCCATGACTGCCACACCCTAGATACACCACTGGCACTGCCATGAATGAATATAATTCAGGGAACGACTGGACACCGCAAAAAAAATTAGTTGTTTCCCTGATGCATTGATATGAACTACTTACAAGTCTAGCATTAAGTAGTACTTTATTTACGAATGCTCAGTTCTACACTGCAATTTTCAAACAGAAAATGATTGTACGTATTTCGCTTATATTTACAAAATTGGGTGGACAATAAAATAGGTAACCTTCATTGTATTTTCAGCGCCATTGAACCCTTTGCACTTAGCATCAACTTTTCTGCGTTTTGTTGCCATTTGTCTAATTATAATTAAATTATAGGTTCATTAAACGAGTAATTGTGAATAATATACTTTTCAAGTTATAATATAATTTAGTCTACACGTGTCTCACAATAAGTTATGTTACGTAAAGAATATAATCGTCAAAACAGCTATTTTGTTACTATAATTCAGTGAAGCGTCGCGGGTCGGATTATATTACTCTGCAGGCCGGATCTGACCCGCGGGTCGTAGGTTGCCGACCCCTGGTGTACATGATGATGGATTTTGGGGCAAATTAACATATATACAATTATAAAATGTTACACTTTTATGCATGAGGATACATATCACAAATGGCAACCCTACCTGATCTAGAATAACTGCATTTTCAATCTCATTCTGTAACTTCTGAGCAACTCTGATATGAGATTCAGGCATTTCGAAGGATGCTGATGTCGGTGTACGAACAATTTCTGCTCCGAGAGCTCGGAGAACATTCACCTAAAATTGAAATAAAACAACAGAGTTACAGTGAGTTTCGCGAAAAAATTTCAGTGTTATTGGGATAAGTATTTATTGATATATAGTGTGTCCATAAAGTCTTAAACATTTCAAAAATTGTGAAGTGAATTCATCGATACCATTTATTGTTTTGGTCCTCAGATGTATTAAATAAAGTAAAAATACTTAAACAATTACTGATAAAAAACAACAAACCTGGTTAAGATATATTGAAAACTGACTTCATAAAAAAATTGAAATTGTGAGGGGACTTTATGGACACCCTGTATATTAATGATATTTTGTAATATTAGAAATAGAGATATCATGATATATTAATAAAGTGAGCCAAATTCAACAGAGAAATTTATTATCGAAGAAAAATTAACCTGACATTGATTGAATTATCGATTTGTGTGACTATGACACTTTAATTGCTCAAAATTACAAATTTCTGGATGAAAATATCAAATTATTATTAAAATATCATTATTCTTTAGCTTTACTTGATCATTAAATACCAATCACCTTTTCAGCGCTCATTTTTTCAGGCATTACAATAATACATCTGTAGCCTTTCACTGCAGCTGCAAGTGCGAGACCAATTCCTGAAAAATATTTCATTTTATTTAATCTCCATTTCAAACTACTCAAGATTCAAATGTCATACTATTGAACCACTGAACTACAAGGGAAACATAAGTAAGTCTTATCTGCCAACATGGCTTTGCCCATAGCAGAGTTTCTCAATCTGGGCCCTCAGCCCCCCAGGGGGCTTTTTAAACTAGGCCGTCGGACCCCTAATGGGCCGTAAAAAAAGCAAAGCAATGGCTACATTAATTGAATATGCTCGATTCATTAAACGTAATGCTTTTTTTTTTTATATTAAATGAGGCAATAAAATTTTGAACAGTTTTTCATTGAACAGCTGCTGGGGTCTGCTGTGTCATTACTTATCGAACTTGTTAAGTATGTTGATAGGTATTTGTCTGTTTGTATGTTTGTCTGTTAGACCAGTGTTTTTCAACCTTTTTCGAGCCAAGGCACACTTTTTTCAGTGAGAAAATCCCGCTGGCACACCACCAGCTGAAAATATGGCGAAAATACCTAATATTCACAATATAAGTGTTATATTGTTAATATAACATTGAAGAAAGTTGTTGAATTGGACATCTTGAATAGTAATCAAATAAAAACAAAGACAAAAAAAATCGCCACCAGATGCTGCCACGGTCTGATATAGAACAGTACCACACGATTACTCTGCCGGACGCTACACCGCATAGACACACAACTTGGAGAAATTCCCACGGCACCCCTGACAATATTTAACGGCACACCGGTGTGCCGCGGCACCCCGGTTAAAAAACACTGTGTTAGACACTTTCGTATGATACGTGATATCTCACGAAAGGAAAGTTGAATCTCCTCCAAATTTTGCATGTGCATTCATCATATCTCGGACCAGAAGCCTATTGATTTTCGATGAATTATGTCGTATAATTAGCGAGTTATTATTTAATTAGTGATGGGACACACGGTGTCACTATGGAGTAAGAGCGCATGAATCGATCGATAAGTCTTCGGTCTCCGACCGATATTCTCGTTAAGAATTATTGGAAATAGGGCTACAGATAATTTCAATTTTAACAACCTAAACCAGAGTGTGCAACCTACTTTGCGTTGCAAAGCATATAGCTGAGCTTATTATCTATCGTTACAACTCATAAGATCGAAACTAAAATTTTTTGTGCCTGCAGCTACTAGAAAGCCTATGTTAAATAAAGGTGCGGCCCATGGTTTCACCCAGGTAATTGTATCGGGCCCTCTTGTATCAAAGGTAGCACACCAGTGTTCACTATTAGCGCACTTTTTTGCGAAAATTGCGAAGCACTTTCGCAACTTTTTTCAGGGACTGCGAAAAAGCACTTTTTTCCGATTTTGAAGAGAAATAGCACTCTTTTCCGATTTTGAATGGAATAAAAATTCAAAGTTAACAAATATTTTCGAGTATTAAGTTGACAAATAAGTAACATACTAGTACTTTTGTAACTCAATTCTGCATATCATAACAATATTTACGGGAATTCTAACCTATGAGATGCAGACATAGGAGATAAAGCTTTTGCATTAACGGCAAAATTCTTGTTTATAATATGATTATTATACAAGCACACCGATTCCGCTTCTCCCGCAAAAACGCTCCCGGCGTCTTTGAAACCAGATGTTGGAATACTACGCAGTGCGTTTCTTTGAAAGTGAGTGGTCATGTGACTATCAGCACACACTGGAACACATGACCTAAAATAAATTTTTACTTTGACTTTAGCTAACAAATTAACTCCCTACCTGTATTTCCAGACGTAGGCTCGATCAAAGTATACCCAGGTTTTATCAGCCCAGATTTCTCAGCTGTTTCCACCATTCGTAAAGCAATCCTGTCTTTTACCGATCCGCCAGCATTAAAAAATTCACATTTTGCATCTAGAGAAATTGGAGATATAAATTTAATTACAGTAATAAAGAATGACAAAGTAGTAGTTAAAGATGACAAAAACTAATCAAGCATTAGAATATTTTCAAAATCAGGTATAGGCTACATATTGTGTATTCGCAAACTTACAATTCTTCTGTCAGTAGGCTATCCTTTATTTTATTTAGGAGCTCGGGACTTTGCTCTAAGGCTAAGCAAACATGCGACTCTTCTATCAGTATCCCTCATACTTATTGAGGGTTTGGGACCTTATTTGAGAAGATTCGTGAACAAGATATCAGTACTCTTTCCACTTTTAGTTGAGGGCTCTGAGACCTTGCTTTAAGCAAGCTTGCAACCTTTTCATCAGTACAATTTTTTTTTTGAGGGATCAGGTCCTTGCTGTGAGCAAACTTACAACCATTCTATCAGTTCTCTTCGCACTTTTAGTTGAGGGCTTGGACCTCGTTCTAAGAAAACTTACAACTTTTCCTTCCGTACCTTTTTTTTAATTGGGGGCCCCAAGACCTTGCTTTAAGCAAACTTGCAACTCTTCTATCATTACTCTTTTTTAGTTGAGGGCTCGGGACCTTGCTTTGAGCAAACTTGTGACTCTTTTATCATTAGGCTACTCTTTTCTTATTTCAGTTGATGGTTTAAGACAGGGGTCGGCAACCTACGGCCCGCGGAGTGATATAATCCGGCCCGTGACGCTTCACTGAATTATAGTAACAAATTAGAGCTGTTTTGTCGATTACCTTCTTTACGCAAAAGAATTTACTTGTAGACTAAATTTTATTATAACGTAACAAGTATATAATTCACAATTACTCGTTTAATGAGCCTATAATTTAATTATAATTTAGACAAATGGCAACAAAACGCAGAAAAGTTGATGCTAAGTGCAAATGGTTTAATGGCGCAAAAAATATTCAAATGATCAGTCTACGGGCGCTGCTTAAAATTTAACTTCTGATCTGTGTGATAAAATGTGGTTCATCGGTCATCCATTTGATTTTTAACTTTCCAAAAATATGTGCGGCCCGCCAATGACTTGCAAATTCAATTTTGGCCCGCGAGCGACAAAAGGTTGCCGACCCCTGGTTTAAGACCTTGATTTGAGTAAACTGGTAAACAAAAAAAAACTTATCACACAAAGTCTTCCAACTTCCCTATTCGTAAGCTAATATTTTCAACTGTTAACACTAAAATGTTTTTACAAATATCCTCAAGAAACACTCACATAGTTCACATTTCACTCCCTCAGTCTTCTCAATCCTGGACATCCGCACGAGAGGAGTGTCACCTATTGCATCTAAGACAGATGAATATGCCTTTGTTCTATCAAATCGTCTGAAAAATAGGAATAAAGAGTTAACGACTTAATATTTTTTAATGATTTTAGATAACTATTACAAGGAAAAGAAAGGGATGAGATGGCAAACTTAGGCAAGCAGTGAGATGACAGGGAAGTAATGTCAGGGTTAATAAACCGGCGCTCCAGAAGTGTGTGTAACGATATGGATGTAAGTAATTTTGTTCGCCTACTTCACATCAAGTTGTGTAAAGGGACTGGAATCTATGGGCAGAGGGTATATTCACTTGTCTAACACAGACAGTCCCCGAACTCGTAATAGAACTAAAATAGGGAAAATCGGGATAAAATTATCCCCTAATTTGAACCTGGTACACACCATACGAAAGTACCAATAAGTCATGTATCCATAACTATAAAAAAAAACGTGTAATCTTCTATTCTGAATGCATTATAAATGCAAATTTTCTTCTATGAAATATTTGAATCATTGCTGAATTGGAAAAAGTTCATAAAAACATATAATATTAATTGATATTTTCTTTCGTGAAATATTTGATTTCAATGCCAAATTTCGACATAATGCAAATTTATGAATGTGTCACTTGGAAGCCTTGCAAAGGCATAGCAGCAATGTCAATCACGTAACCGTGCAAAAGTGTCACAACAATATGCGGCACACGCTCACACAGCAGAAAAAAAACAGTCAATGTGCTGATTCCATTTCATCGTCATACGTGACAAAGAGCAGTAATTCGTTTAAAGAGTTTCCTCAAAAACGAAATATCTCACTGATGGCGAAAAGTGGCTATTATTCGAAAATCAGCAGAAAATGTTATTCAAATACTTTGATATTCGAATGTATTCGAATATTCGACTAGTTTTGGAAAACCCTGTATAGTATGAATTCATATTTTATTCTATGAAACATTTGATATCGCTGTCAAATTAGGCATGTTCAATAAAACATACAGAACATAAAGAGAATCTAATATTGAATATAATTTTGAATCAATTCAAATAATCGTTTCAGAAATTCGTGACGGAAAATCATATCAAAACATTTTTTTAAAAGTTTTGGGTAATTATTGGAAAGGAAAGAGATTGAGACAGCAACATTTATTGATAACAATGTCAGATTTAAACTGCGTGTCCAAAATATGAAAATTAAAAAGTAGAAAGCCAATCATACACATATTTCTATGTCAAATCCAAACTTATTGATTCTCTCTTTTTTGTGTTTTCTGCCAAATCAATTTAGAATATATATTTTCAATCAAAATCTTGATTTAGAATAGGTTCACAAAAGCATACCAAACCAAATTGTTTTTACCTTGATAAGTTATTAATAACAGGCCTGGTATGAAACTAGGAAACCACAATTTTTGAGACAGGATGTAATTAATTTGATACAAAACATGGCTTAATGGCTAGTTACAAATGCTCTTAAACTCTTATTGGCAATAATAGGAAACAAAATATAAATACATAGGTATTTGTTCATATATACTTTATAATATTATACCTAAGATATACCCCAGGGCTACTCAACTATTTTTACCAAAGATCCGCATGAAAAACTTCAAAATTATTTGGGTCTGGTTTTTCCAGAAAATTATATTTCGGCATCCTTAAACATGCGCTTCCTCGACCGGCTAATGATTATCAGCTAATCAAGCTTGTTTATTATGGTGTTATAGTTCTTTCCATACATATTCAAAACAATGGAAATCATTTTATAAAATGAAACGTTAAAAGTGGGGTTACTGATCCAGAATAGAGATTTAGCTGCGGTCCGAATCAAATACTCTAAATGTCCGGACTCGGGCCCCGGTACGCCAGTTGAGTAGCCCTGGTATAGAAGACGAAGCCAAGGTTACTTCGGTTGTTTTAGGTCACCCTGTAGGCTATATATATATATATAATTTCACAATTGCGTCTCTTTGTGAGCAAATACAAAAAAAACTACGTGCAAGATTGCAACATGCGTGTCGAAATATTGAAGCTCTCATCGACTTTCGATGACCTCAGTACCATAAGCAAACATTATTTCGAGTGTTGAAATATATTTAAACAGGAATATCAAACAGCAATGTTTGCCGAGATAATATGACATTTATAAATTATGTGAAGTGGAAAAGTACAAGTGTTTTAACTTCTGGTTACTCGCGGTTGTGTACACAAAACCCACATGCTGCAATGTAGCCGGCCTCGTAGATATGAGGAAAGGGGGGGGGGGGGGGTTACAATACCATGTGCTAATGATGAAGGGAGCCACCTAACCATCGTTTATTCATCATATGATGGTAATGAGAAACGTTGAATGGGATCACATTCTTACCGATATGCACATCGTGTTAGATTTGGAGGCACAATTACGGTATTTATTAAAAGGCATAGCAGTCTAGGTGTTCTAGTCTGCAGGATGAAGTCCTGTGGCAATTGAATATATGCGAGAGAAATTGCCAGACCCCTCTGGTGGTTCGCAATATACTCCTTTAACAGAGGTTGCGGTTCACCCGTTAATTAACCCTTTTTTTTTCGCTGTATACAATCGACTTTTTGTACCATTTTATAATATGTAATGACCAGTTAACCAAACGTACAAGGAACACCCCCAAGATCTCTTTAAAAAGCTCATTTTCGCGTCTTCCTACTAAAACGCGCCCAAATGACGTAGGCGCAAACCGTTCGACCCTACGCCGGTAAGAAGAGAGGAATTTCAAAAAATTTTGAGAGAACGTTTCACACTCGTATCGCTTCGATGAACACGTGTTACAAAGAAACGAAATTCCAAGCGCTCTTCTGAAAGAGCGTTACGTCACCTTTGCAGAAAAACCAGACTCAGCTTCGCAAGCGAAGCGAAATAGTCAATGATATGTGAGGGCATGTTCACGATAGTTGTCTAGAATCTTTGTTTGTTTATTATGTACGCGAAATTGTTTCCCGCTCGTTCAAATGACTTATTTTTGAAGTAATGACAAATACTTTCGTGTATCTCTAAGCTTTGAAATACCTACACAAATAAAATTCACTTAGTAGTAAAATAAAAAATTTACAAAAAAAAAAATGTTGACAGATCAAGCATAGTTGGATGCCTAAAATGATTTTAGTTAGTGCGGAATACTTCACAAAACATGAACATAAACGTAAAATAGTCCGAAAATAACTATTATGACCAAGGATGGTAGTACAAATATATTGGTCATACGGAACAAAAGAGTTAAGCTAGATAATCGGCTACTTTAAACCCTTAATTCAAAAAACCATACGGAACAAAAGAGTTAAGCTAGATAATCGGCTACTTTAAACCCTTAATGCAAAAAAATTCTTATTGCACTCGATTAACATTATGCTCAAATATATGAACATGAAGTACAAATGAATACCAGCGGGGGCGGTGAAATTCCAGCTAAATGTCAAGAGAATTGTACCAGTTGTCATATGGAAGTGGGGTCGTGGAGACGCTAACTATAAAAACCTGAAAAATTAGAGGAGGAATGATTGCCTTGTCCCATTGGACTCGAAGATGATTCGAAAAAAAAAGGAATAAGAGTCTTCCGCGAACCTTCACACTGAAAACTTGAAATCAGTTAGATAGTTGCAGAAAAAAGGAATTTTTTCACAACAAGGACCCCAACAAAAACAGCAATTTGGCAAAACTATCCACACACCATTTCCATATCCCCCCAAAAAAAGTGAACTTGCTCAAGAATAGAATATTTTTTCATACTGGGTACGTCTTCTTGGGAAGCAAATTTATTTGAAAAAAAAAAAAATAAAGTGAAAATTTAAGTCCAAGACAGAGGTGTGCAACCTCACAGGAAATGAATGAGAGGCCCGCGGAAAAGTGCTAATTTTGAATGGTGTGCGGCCCGGAAAGGGAGTTTTTAATTTAGTTCAAAGTAGTATGTGCAAGTAATTTTAATTCCTTTACGATGCAAAGCTTGTGCGAAGCGAACAACGTATGTTACCCAAAGTTTTCTTGCCAGCAACTAGTAGAAACTAAAAAGTTTATGTTTAATAAAGGTGCGGCCGCAGTTCCACCCAGTTATTCGTATCTGGTCCTGCTGTATTAAAGGTTGCACACAGCTGATCTAAGACAATAGAGCAGTGACAATGCTCTATATTTGACTAACTGGTGCGGTGAAATTACACAAAAACGAAAAAACTTACCTTTTATAATGCTGATGAGGTGAAGGCTCTGTTGTTCCAAGATGCCACGTACAACGAGGTGGACGATCGGGACGAATCCATGTTGCTTCATGCTGTAAGAGTAAATAAGGCACTATAAAAAAACAAGCCATATGAGTCGTACGGAGACCGTACATTTGAACCCATGTGTATATCCGCGGGTTCAATCTATATGCGGGTGCTAAAACCCATGGGTTAGGGTTAGCATTGGGTTCAAATATCCACAAAACAAAAAAAAATCCATAGGTGCAAAATATGCAGGTGCAATTGTCGTGGGTTCAAATGTACGGGAACCGAGTAGTACACATATTAGCTTGACTATTTTACTTTTCCAAAACTGGATAAATAGCAAATGGTGCATCATGCTAAGCAAGTGATTCTCAAACAGTAGGCCATGTCTCACTGCTGGGTCGAGGAACGATTTTGAGGTGAACCACAGAACTATTGAAAATTGTTAGCTTTATTTGTATAACTATCCTTAATTTTAATTGGAGTACCAATGATGTTTTTTTGCTACTGAATGGTATCTTTCATTATAATTAATAAAAGGAAAGTGTCCATTTTCACAGAGGTATTCTGATTTTTCTTGTGGTTTTTCCCTCGCAATAAAAATTTAATGGGCCACAAGTTTTTTGTGCAACGAAAATAGTCCACAAAAAAAAAATTGCGAACCGCTGTGCTAAGCGTTAGGAATACGCTTGCCACCGCACCTCTGATTACCCTGTGTAAATCCGCAGGTTCAAATTTTGTGAAGGATAATTATGAGCGAGAGGATTGCTGGACTCCTCATTGTCGGAGGGTGGTTTAAATAGTGATCCTCAACCTTTTTCAGTTCATGGCCGCCGTTATGAGGTCATAGACTTAATGAACATTCGGTCGTTCAGGGGACATCTCGCAGAGGACATCTCGCTCTCACCAAGTTTGGTTGTTAGACGAATACCAGTAGGCTGCTACAAATCAATAAGAGTTAAAAAATCCCGAATTGCATGCCTTCAATACTTTGTATTTTGCTTATAATATATTTATATGCAATATATTTGGCAGACCGGTAGCAAGGTTGCCGCGATTGAGAACCACTGGTTTAAATATCTTTTGGTCAGTTGAGGCTACCTCCACCATCAAGTCTATGCATCTGAAACAAATAACTGGTCATTTATACCAATATTCGGCATAGCGTTCACCATATGATTAAGCCTTTTTATCAGCTTCCCTCTCCCCTAGAATAGATATGAAAATACTACTACTCCATAAATCTCAATGCAAAATTAAAATTCACACTTATTTAACATGGTCAACTTTTGGGTCTCGTGTAGTTTCATACCTCAAGTACCTCTAGTGGACGGAGCATAACAGTTTTTGCACATGTCAATCCTAACCTCCATCTGACTGCGTCATTCAAATACAACATATCTACAACGTCACAGTGATTGTGACTAGAAGTACGAAACTAGACTAGAACCCAACTTTTAGTGATCGGGGCTCCCGAAGTATGCGAACCAAGATGGCAGACATCGGAATGTAATATGTGTACTAGGTTAGGGTTATGCCATAATTTTAGGTATAAATACTACGGGAGGCTCTTGGATAGTCTTCGAACTGATAATAGAACTAAAATAGGGAAAATTGGAAAAAATTTATCGCCTAACCCTAACCAGTTACGTTCCGATGTCCGCCATCTTGGTTCGCATACTTCGGGAGCACCTAGTGATGTATGAATATGTTTTCGAAAATCTAAGAAATATTTCACAAACAAATTTCACAAAAACCTATGAAACCTCTTTACCCATACTCACACACACACACACATGAAAAACACATCATAACAATCTTATTACAGAAAACAAAGTTGTAAACAACACACTTGAGCACAGGAATATAATGGTCATTTGGTTAAAAATTCAAAAAATATACAGATATAAATACCCACACTACACTCACTGTCAAAAGAATTTTCTTTATGATTTTTCTTTATCAATGCATTCGCCATTATTCGACTAGATTTTAAAAATTTACAGCATTAGCAAGCAAAAAATGTAAATAGAAGTATTTATTGAAAAAGTTTGGTAACTGGAAAAGGGGTGCTTCCGAAGTATGTGAACCAAGATGGCGGACATCGGAACGTAACATGGGTAACAGGTTAGGCGATAATTTTTTTCCAATTTTAGTCCTATTATCAGTTCGAAGACTAGCCAAGAGCCTCCCGTAGTATTTATACCTAAAATTATGGCCTAACCCTAACCTAGTACACATATTACATTCCGATGTCCGCCATCTTGGTTCGCATACTTCGGGAGCCCCGAAAAAGGTATAAAAATGTTGATAATATTAACCCTAACTCTAATTTTGAAAATAAATAGATTAAAACTAATAAACAGAATCTTACTCCATTTGTGCTTGATCCATTTTGCGCCATTGTTATATTTTCTGTGAAGAAGGACTTTTGGATGAGAATGTACCGTACTTGTGATAATACTTGTAATTGTAATAATAAATTTTAAAGTATCTAGATGCTAAATTGAGGTTCAAAAAAATAGATTAATATAATTAGCTTCAGACATATGGAAGTGATACCCTGTTATTCAGTTATTGCACTACAGACAATTAATTATTTGATTTTTTTATATATATATTTTTTTTTTTCTAGGTTTGATCATCTCTCCTCCCCCTCCAACAAATAAAAATCTGTGATAGATTTCATCTGTATTGCGACTATACGAAACGATATTATCTACTGAACTAGAACAACACATAAGACAGAGAGGTTCCATGCAACAATAATTTAAAAAATAGTTTACGACGTGCCCATGTAAGACAAGTTAGATTCATCTAAGTCTGTAAGTCTAAGTTAAGACAAATAGCAAGAAATAAATTACAATAAATCACTAACTCATCTATCACATAGTCATAATTTCTTCCTCTAGGGCAAATACAGAAATAATAAATGAGTCGAAAGTAGAATATTTATTTATGAACCCAAACAGTTTGATCAGATCAATACATTGTTTGAACTATAGCTGGCGATTTTGATGACCTTTAAGCTAACCAGTTTTTTTGGCTGACATTAAGATTTATAGGTCTCACGTGTCTATAGGGGAAAGTGGGGAAGGTTGGGACACTTTTTTTCTTTTTCATATTTTGAGCCCTTTATTCTGCACATTCATATGACTTTGCGGGATTAATGCAGAGCGGGCTAAATGTAGTTTTTATTCAGCGACTAAGAAATTCCCTTGCGACACACATCTTACCACCAAAATGCTTTGAAAAACGTTTGTCAAGTGTCCCACTGTACCCCACTTGTGGGGCACATTCGGACAGACCCTGGGGCACAATGGGTCATTCTGTTAAAATTCAACGAAGTATGCCCTTAAAAATAAGCAATCAATCAGCATAATCGTCTAAAGAACAGGGAGACCTCAAATTTGAAGATTTAAGATTTTCAAAATCAATGTTCAACCGAAATATTTCAGATATTTCACTAAAACATTCGCTTACAAATTAAATTATTTTCTAATCCGAATCTAAATCTGGAAATATTTTTGATTCTCGATTATATTTCATATTGGACCATGAGTCGAAAGATACCATAATGTTACATAAAAATATAACGCATTTCTAGGTCTCTAAGCACTTGTTGTATCAAACACTGTCGAATTGTGCCATGTAGGACATGTCCCACTGAACCCCGGTCCATTGTTACCCATAGTCAACAAATATTTTCAGATCATCCCACGGCAAAATTCGGAAGGCCCATCCACTCGCCAACGTTATAAATATTTCACAGTGGACTATAGCTGAAAGATATCAGACGGTGGTTTGTCACGTTGAAAAGGCTAAGTTAGGAAAAAGAAAAAAATGGAACGGTGAAATTTTAGTTTCGACCCCCCAAAACCAATTTCACCTCATAGCTTGCGTCGCTCTACCCGTCCGCTGTCCGTTTGCGGGGACGTTGTAACTCACCGAAGGGCGGATTGAAACATCAAACCGCGTACCGGATTCCGAATATAGTATTAGTGTGAGAGCTGATTTTCCACTGTGCCCTATGTCCCAACGTGCCCCACCTTCCCCTACTTAGCCTACTTATCTAATATTGTGAGGTCAGAAAAACAATATTTTACATCTCTGTGCTTTTTTCTGACTATCAGATAATAATTAAGAAGGCAAAACAACCTCTGAATACAGACTTTCTCATGGCAAGATATGAATTCAAAAAACGTATCCTAGACTTACTTTGACTCATTGGACAAAAAGGACCATCTGACGATGTATACCCGAAAGAAGCAACAATGACATCCGCGTCAAGAGTTATAAAGGTCAATAAAAGTTATAAAGCGTCAATAAAAATCAATCAATCAATTTTATTCGGTCACTCTGATACAAACAAAACACAAAACAAAGGGACAAACAAAATACAGAGGACCTGGAGGACGGGCATAACCTAATAAAAAGTTAAATACGTACAAGTACGTGCCCGTCCCCCAAAAACAGGCAAAACACAATAAAACAAAAACACGATGTGACATCGGGCAATATCTTATAATTCAATCTAGATCGTTAAACATATACGGATATATACAAATATTAACACGCGCGGATATATTAACATTTCTATAACTATCTCGAAAGAGGAAAGTCGATCAGACGGCATCCATATGCCAGATAATCATCTATGAATAAGGTTACATATTAAAAATATAATCCCCACGGCTACGTGTAAAATTCGCCGTCGCGTATGGGAATAGTTAACCTGTCCAAGACACATTAACTTGGCTAAGATTGATAATTTAGTTTAACCTAAAAGTAAGTTCACTATCGAATCGTCAAAAAAATTGTTAGGTTGCGTTAATAGAAGTATGTTAGGTACGAAACTACATGAGATCCGAATCGTCCACGACGCTCGCAAAAACGCACAGGAAACGAACTTTTCCACAAGACGCGTGAAGACGCGTGAGTTTGCAATGTATTTAACTCGACGATTTTGGTAGCAAATGATTGGTTTAAAATGTGGGCTGTGTCTTGCTCACTCATGCGATACTTTTAGAATTTCAGCGCCAAAATAGTTAATGATTTTCCAACCGAAGTATGTCAATTTTCCATAAGACTTTGTGGGTCTCGCACGTACTATAGCTTACTAAGTTGTTGCGAAATATGAAGGATTGCGTTTCATCTTATGGCTTGATGCGACTGCTATGTCAGCGCTTATAAGTATATGTTTATTTTGATTTCCGTGATACACAACAAACATAGAAAAAACATACACAAAACAACGAAGAAGATTGAGTAAACTGGCAAAACCGCTTAGTGGAAAAAGGATTTGTGGAAATACGTGTGTCAGTTCACCCATACTCGAGGTTACCATATTTTTTGTGACTTGATGCGGGACGCCTTCGAAGACCATGGCTGTGATTTTTTCAACTTTAAATTTACCGATTTCACATTAGGGACCTACATTTAAAACCATCCCGACTGTCTTCATTGACTGTATTGTCATCGGGAGTTCATGCGCTGTCTGTCTAAATTTCGGTTTCAGTTCGAAGAATAGAATTTACATTGACGTTAAGCACCCTTTCGCAAGGAGGGCTCGGCAGTGTGGCACATCGTGATAAGCGTTAGGAATACGCTGGCCACAGCACCTCTGATCAACCTGCGTGGGTTCGCATCCTATGCGGAGTTAATAATGTTCGAGAGGATTGCTGAACCTTCCCGTCGTAGGGCCCGGTTACGGCTTTCCCCACCATCAAGTCCATGCTTCCGAAAACAAATAACTGACTAGCTAATCCCATACCCGACATTAACTGGTAACCGGACGAGAGGCTGTGGTTCGCTTCATGAGTGAGCCGCCTTATCGGCTTTCCTCTCTCTCTTAAATATGTAGATCCTATCCACGTCCGATGCCGATCTATCTTCTTTTAGCTCCACACGAATTCAGCAAAGATTGTCAATTTACGATATCAAATGACTCAAACATTCGATCGGAAATGCCATTGATCAGTCTCCTCGCTTCCTGTGAACGGGAAACTGTTATAACAGTCAGCACAGGAAAACGGAAAATATCGTTTCAACAGCAAAACGCTGCAGAATTTTTGTGAAGAGTTTGTGTTATACACCCGTTCCATGTAAAGTTTTGCTGCCAGCCATTGAAATTTTGTTTATAGGGTTGTGCCGTTTTTTCAATGAGCCGATGTCGTTAACTACTCTGTGTCGGAATTTCATAATTTTGAAAGTGGGGGGACGAAATTTTGACAAAACTAATCAAAGATTACCCATTGGAATTGTTTGCTTACTTGATTTTTTGCGACGACTCGCTACTTCAATTTGAAATGTACATAAGAATTACTATGTTCTGCGAATCTACATCGCCATAGTAGGCTATGATTAAACCGTGAAAGAATCACTAAAATCGTCATGTTCCATAATCTCGTACAGAAAACGATTGCTGCCTCTAAATATAAATCAATTCTGTGATCGTTAATGTGTAATTTATGCCTTTGAAGTTTGTAAACATGCAGGCCTAAGTAATACAGGTCAAAGATCAACTCTTCTTCCTCATCTCTGCACAATTTTCCTTTAAAATGCTAAAAAAAATGTTGGCTAAACTCGGTCTAGCAAATAAATAAACTGCAGCCCACGAAATTTCAGCAAATAGTTATGATTAACACTATTCTGTTAATTTTCGAGATGCACCGTGTTTCCCCTGAAAATAATACTGGGTCTTGTTACAATTTTCTTCCGAAAAATAACACTAGGACTCATTCTCGGGGATGTCTCATATTTTCATTTATCTAAAACGAAATATTAAAGAAGAGAATTACGAGATTTTCAAATATAGAAAATATGAAAACCGATATCCATTAACTTATAAATAACACTTTTTTTTTATACAAAATAACTGCAGAATATACATTATTAATCATTTAAAACATATAGGGGCGATTTCTTGCTATCGACTAAGTAAAAAAAATTTGCAGTATCGACTGGGTATTATTTTAAGGAAAGGCTTATATTAAAATCATTTTTAAAAGTAACATTATGTATCTCCATTAAAAGTATTGCATCTTATGACGCGGCCACAATTTTTTTTTCAATCTAGTTTCTACAAAGTATTGCTTTGTTTTTCTTTTAATCACTGTTTTCATAACTTAAAAAATCGAGTTACCAGTAAAAGTTATTGCCCTATTTCGTATCGTGTGTGTTTATTTTATTGTGTATGTTAACTGTTTTGTGCGCGTACTCTTACGTTTTTAACTTTGCCATATTTCATGATCGTCTTATGTGTATCCCTGCAGTTTGTTCGTCCGTTTGTTATGTTGTTGTTTAATGCCAGAGCGACCAAAATAAAGTTGCTTAATATTTCAAATCAATTAATCGTTTATTCGTCATCACAAAAAAAAACTGATATAAAACATAAATATATATACTAATTATGTTAATTGTGTGGCCGGAGTCAAGCAGCGACACCTACAACGCGGATACAGGTTAGTATCAAAAAGTAACTGAATGAGGCACAAGTATTGAATACCAGCAGTTGCGACGCCGTTCCAGAAATGTGTGTACCAATATGGAGGTAATCAATTTTGTTCGCCTGCTTTACATCTAGTTGTTTAAAGGAACTGAAATCTATGGGCAGGGGGTATATCCAGTTTGCTATAACACTGACAGCCCACGACTCGTAATAGAACAAAAATAAGGAAAATCGGAATAAAATTATGGACTAACCCTAACCTGGTACATATACTACGGGATTAACGTTGCGACAGTAAACTTATTTGCGACTATTAGGCAGATTAACTGAAAATATGTACTGTCTCGGAAAAATTCACTAAAAGCCAAAAAATGGGAGGAAAGTAGGAAAAAAAAACGTGAAAAATTTATAGAAAAGGCGAATTCGGCTGAATGTAAACTAAAAGGTTTGACGTTAGGCAAGAATTGATTTTATCTTTAAATGACGTGTTACTATAAAACTGGTTATATTCTGACCCGTCATATGAGCACTTATATATATGAAAACCTGCCTTCGGTGCTGCCATATAAACGTAAATGTCACAAAATGGACAAACACAGTATTTTGGGACGACGAAGATGATGCTACCAAAGTTATTTACACTTTTTTGTTTGATTGCTCTAGCGAACAATGTTCAGGAAGCGACAGGAAAAAAACTGGTAAGAGACCTATGTTGTTAGTCTAGAATTCTAATTAAATACTGTTATAATCAACAGCAAAAAATAAACTCGAACCATGAATGTTGCTAAAACTTCGATATCTAATTTACAATTTCGTCCGAATATGATTCTTTGCGCGCTTGGGATTGAAAAAATTGGCATTTTAAGTTAATTATTTGGGGTTTGCTATTAAATATACCCAACATCAGACGTGATCGACTACTCATGGCGATCGATCCGTGTTATATTACTACCGGCGCGGAATCATAGGAAAATCATAGGAATCAAAACACTGACTTGGCTAATTTTGTAACTGTCCAAAGAAACAACGACGGCATTAAAGGAATTTGACAACGGTCGCAATAAGGCGGTAATTCGAATATTACATTATCTATAAGTTCCGATAGATAATGCCATATTTCGAATACCGCCTTGTTGTCACATTTCGACACTATTTTATTAATAATATTGTCAAGTGTCAAATCCATTGTGGGGCTTCGTAAATAGTAGTCAACCTTTTCACGGGCTCCATAACACCGAAAGTTTGAGAAACCCCAGCCATAAATAATTTGGTGATACTTCGTCGTGGCTTCGTTTCCATATATTTGGCCATTGCTCTCTTATTGTACACGAAATGGACCTATGGATAGCTTTGTTAATATGTTGTTCTTGTTGGTGTTTTTCTTCTTCTCTTTATACGAAAATTGCTTTGACATTTTCGGTGGTTGAAAATTGTATTTTTTGCTAGAAAGCTATTAATTTTTAGTGTCCATATATTTGAGCATTTCTCTTATTTTTAGACAGCAAAGTATTGGACTGATAAATTCAACATGGGCGTTAACCCCGCGGGAGGCTGGTATGCAGAAATATACAGAAGTCCGGAAAAGATCGGTCACCTTCCAGAGAGATATGGAATAAACGCAACAAGAGCCTTCAGCACACATGCTTACTACCTACTAGAGGTAAAGTTACTGAGATAAGAAGCTGTCGTAGATGTATAATTGTTATTTCATATTGTTGGTGCGCGGATTCGCTTTTTTTGCTGTTGTTGCTGTTGTCAAATGATGATTGATTGATTATTGAAACGCGAGGCTACTGGGCATACCAGGTTGGCGTCAATGGCGTGCCTTGACGTATTTATTTTATTTATTTTTTCCAAATAAAGTTCCGACTTTTTGAAAGTATTTTTTGTCACACTTGCGTATTGGTGCCGCTGCTCAATAACCAAGTTTGTTTCTCGCGACTCCCCTCACCCGGAAATGCTACCTAAATATTTATTGCAATTTGTATATCAAGTGTGCTTTCAGTATGGTGAGAAAATAAACTACTGATTACTGAATCATTTTTAACTAACTTTTAGTTAACAGTTGGACTTGTTCGCTTTCCTGATTCTGTAATCAGTTTTATTTTGTTTCCACAATTTTTTTCATCGTCTTTTATGCTGATTATGGAGTCAAAATTAGCCTGTATATAACTTATAAATCAAAATTATTTTAATTTCAATGTTTGGGTAAATTAGAATAATTTTGAGTTGAAAAGTCCATCTGTTAACTTAATATGCTATAAAAGATGTGTTAGTTGCTTATCAAGTTCATACAGTATAGTCTATGCATCTGAAACGGGGGTGGGCAAGTTACGGCCCGCGGGCCGGATCCGCCCCACCAAAGTGTTTTATCCGGCCCACTTGTGTCTTCAATAATTACGACTATAGTTTTCATGGATATAAATTTCGGTTGAAAATATCGATGAAAATGACGTTATAATGATCCTGATTGTTCACTGTGCTTCCAAATATTACATAAACGTTAGCCTAGCTGTTGCAAATAAACTGTTTTTATTCAGAGTTTTCCATATTGGGTTTTGAGCCTTCGGCCCAGTAACCAAGTTTATCATTTGTAACTGGCCTACTCAAAAGAGTATTTGCCCACCCCTGAACTAATCCATACCCGACTGGTAACAAGACGAGATGCCGTGGTTCGCCATATCATTAAGCAGTCTTATAGGCTTTCCTCTCTCGAGATAACTATAGAAATCTTTTACTATTTCCAGGGCAAAGATTTTTATCCGTTCCATCAACTAAAATCGACACATTTATGGCATTTTTATCACGGAGCTAGAATAACTCTTTTCGTCATTGATCACGTGACTGGCGAACTTACTCGTCATCACATCGGAAAGTCGGCTAAAAACTTCGTCGTTGAAGTCAAACATGGTATGCCTTCTGTTACATATTAAATAGTTGACGATAGTTAAAAAAATAGAGAGCAATGCTCAAATATATGGACACGAAGACCAAAACGAAGTACCGTGTTTCCCCGAAAATAAGACCTAGTCGATAGCAAGAGATCTCTCCTTCACGTTTTAAATGGATAAAAATCTATGTTTAGCTGGTATTTTAAATGAAAACGGAGTATTTATAAGTAAATGGATATCGGTTTTCATAATTTGTATATTCGAAAGTCTCGTAATTCTCTACGTTGTAATTTTGTTTTTTGATAAATGAAAATAAAAGACATCCACCCAAAATAAGCCCTAGTATTATTTTTCAAAAGAAAATTGAAATAAGACCTAGGTTTATTTTCGGGAAACAGCGTAGTACGGTTATGCAATCTTTTGCAGTGGACTACCGGTACTGCAGTATCCACGATTTCGCATGATCACCAGATTTCCAATTTCGATTACGTCATCAAACACAACAAAATAATTCCATTAAAGTCCCTAGAAAGTTTTGGGTGAATGAATGAATAAAAGTAATAGCCTACTTTCAAAGCAATTGGCCCCGAAATCGAACAGAAAACCGATTTTTCACAATAAGAAGAAATATACTAACAAGAACATCATGATAATAACAACAAAACGAACCAATGGCCCACTCGCATCCAAGAATATATGGTATCGATAAAATCCATTTGCAATTAAAAAAATATTTAAAACTTCGTGGACATCCTGTATATCGGTGACCGTACATTTGAACCCACGGGAGTTTGAACCCGAATACTTGCACCCGTATATCCGCGGGTTCAACCTATATGCTGGTGCTGAAATCCATGGGTTCAAATGTTCGTAGGGGCAAATTTCCATAGGTGCAATAGTATGCAGGTGCAATTGTCGTGGGTATAAATTACGGGTTCAAATGAACGCGGGTTCCAAAGTAATGGAACCTATATATCCATTGTCACATTTTCAGACGGAATTAGGATACAATAATTTCTATTCATATTCTATTCAAAGGTGACTATTACGCGGCACGTTTGACATATCCCGGCGAGGGAAAATATTCACTACTTGGGCTTACGACCACTCCTGGATTTGAAATTGAAGATTATTATCAGCCAACCACTGAAGAACTGATTACAAAGTATCCGCGACACAAGAAATTTATCAAGTCATTGACGAGAGAGTAGCACGGCTGAAGGATTTTTAGTAGAAAGCCCCCGCCCAAAAAATGGTACTCCCATAGTGTGTGTACCAGGTTAGAGTCAGGCCATGTTTTTATTCCGATTTTCCTTATTTTAGTTCTATTACGAGTTCGGGGACTGTCTGTGTTAGCCAAGTGAATATACCCCCTGTCCATAGGTTTCAGTCCCTTCACACAACTTGATGAAAAGTAGGCGAACAAAATTAGTTGCCTCTATATTGGTACACACATTTCTGGAGCTCCCCAAAATACCCCCATCACCGAACAAAATTAAAAAAAAAAATAGTTATTTTATTCGGATTGGGTTCGGGTAAGAAAACAGATTTAAATTTCTAAACCATTCTTAATCTCAAGTAGAGGTTACGCAAGCCCAATGCTTTCTCGTTGTTGTAAACTTCTTTTCCGAGGAAGTCTGATTTTGGTCAGACGGAACGTTACCAAAATGCATTTGTGTGTGTGCAGCAGAGATCTTGAATTGCATAGTATTCCTAACCCTGACTGAAAAATTACCAATTTATTTACAGTATTTTGAAACGTTTCGGGGATGTTTTTCTCCTATCTCGCATTCGAGTATTAGGAGCGGGGGCTTTGTTGTGCAAATTCTACAAAACTGTTTTAATATTATGAAATTTTTGAGGATGAAAAGACAAGAAAAAGATTTTATTATTTTAAGTGGCGAGCGTTTTTTATAAAATATCTAAAATACAGTGGCGGCGCGTGGTCATTTTGACAACCGGGGCAAGCTACTGCGGGACCAAGTCACCCCCATCTACGGGGACAGGATGAGCGCTGTAAGTTCTCCCATCATTTTATGAGTATAAAAACCATTCCATCGGTAACAACCAATCGGCAAAAGCGACAATTTTTAACGATAAGAAAGTGTCTTTAACCCTCTCCGGGCCCCTTTATCTTTTAGCAGTGGGAAAAATCTGACATTTAGTGAAAGCAATACTTTTAGGTCATATATGATAAATTTTTAAAAATTTTCGACACTCCGACTCCCTGGGGGGATTTACCGGATGTTGCACTAGTGCAACTTGTGCCCGGAACGGACTAATTGTAAGATATCACATGCATGTTTTTTTAATCTGCAATACTTTGTAACATGGCCAGTATATATACTACGATGGTTGAAAATATTAATGGGAGTGTCAAACTTATTTCATGGCTCAATTCAAAACTCCAATTATGAATAAAAGGCGCATTAAAATGTAAACAAATGTTAATATAGATCATGTTTTTGCACTCTAGGTAGTTTCGCAAGTCAAAATATTTAGAAAATGCATATGAGTTGTCCCTTGACACTTTCGTTTACCTAATTCTGTAAAATTATTTTGAAACTTTGAATTTCCATATATATTAAAATGCAAGAATATAGAAAATCTAGCTTTTACATCGAAATAATTTTGCATTTACCTACTGTTACGTATTTTATCAGATAACGACTTTTTAGCGTGAAAGTCATTTTAATTACGCTACGATGCGAAAAAATTGGAAACCAAGTTTTTTGGTAGCAGAAAAATCTTTGGCAATTTGTGTGTTTATTTACATTTTTACGATTTCGATATTTTTTGGACTGAATGTCTTCTCTTTCCACTTCAGACTTTCGTTTAAATTTATCGATCGACTTTGCCCCCACTCTGGAAGACGCTATAAAAAAACACGGCCAGCGATAGTTTTCTGCAGCATTTGTGTTCAGGCAAATTCCGTTTTTGTATATACATTTATTGTTTTGCTCCACAATTAGTATAGATTGGTTTTTGAATGGATTGCAATATCTTTATGGTGTTGTCAAAAATTCGGAGAAAGAGAAAAACTTTGCTCCCTCGAACGTTGAATTAGGTTTCTGTTTGTCTGAGTGAACGGCGCCGCCCTCGGACTTTCAAAACACGACTAAGTTTCAACTTTGGATTTGTTTTTAGAATGCTTTGTCTGTCCATATAAATTCCAACCGACAAAATGCTGAAATGGTCTGATTTTTTAGGCTCAAAATCTTAGCAGCTACATAAATATCGTTCTGGAAATTACGTGTTTTATCAAGATCAGCCTCATCATATTCATAATTGTAAGTCTCAATTGCCTCTTTATCTGAAAGTGTGACATTAGAAATATGCGCTAATTCAACGCAATTTCTGCAAATATTTCACCCGTCGGCATATTCACAATCGTTCTGCTAGATCGCTGAGAATACAAATAGAAAATCTGAATCAATCTGAGACACTTCTCTATTATTTTAACCCCGTATTTATGGCTAAAATACTTGGATTTTATTTGGTTTCAAATCTGAAATATAGCACTCGTGCATATTTTATTTCACGCTTTCTAAATCTTCTGTTTACAACAAAATTATCTGAAGCCAAATTTTCCCCTAATCAGCAAATTCTCATAATACTGCATCCTAATAAACCTGATTCTAACTTATATGACATAGGAAACTCATAAATTACGTTATCTGCTCAATAAGCCAACATGAATGAAAAAACTAAACAGACGAATATTAGCTTATTTAACAACCGAAATCCACTTCTGAGGGAAGATGTTGCACCTATGCAACATCAATTTAAACCACCCCCTCGTGAAACCACATAAATCGTTCGAGGTTGCAATCAGATTGTAAAGCTTGTGTATACACTATTCTTTTGCCCTGTGCAGTGATATGATCAATTCGGTGTATAAGAATTGGTATAGTTGCTTAAAATATGTCCATGGTTCATCAGCCTGACACGAGCACCGGAGACCGCATCTTGCAAGAGACGCTTGCAGCGTCATCAGGCGGCGGCAATGCAAAATAGCAGTTGCATCTAACCAACTAAGTACCGCAGTAGTACGCTGAGTAGAAAAAAGCATTCTACGGCAGAAAATGTGGGTGATAGCTAGTTTACAATATGTTGTTGCATACGTGTTACGCATTCCCGGAGAGAGTTAAAACCGGTCCAAGTCAAGAGATTAATAAATATAGACATAGTTTATTTTGGAACCTCTTTCAAAAGGAAAGGCAATATTTACCCAGATAAATACAATGACATATTAACAGAAACTTCGGGAAAGCAGACAAAACCTAAAATAAGGTTTAAAACGTTACTATGAGGAAAGGAAAGTTAATGCAAAGATAAGGACATGCGTCGCTCACTCATAGATATATATGTTGCTAGACTTCTACTGCTTGAACATATATGCAACACGCCGCGGTTTCTTGGAAGCAAAATGCTCAATAACGCGCTGATTAAAGTCATGCATCCCAGAAATAACGTCTCTGTGAATGGATAAAACAGCCAAGGAATTTAATCTATCTTGCTTCATTGTGTTTCTGAGATACGTTTTAATACGCTTCAGCGTTCTGAATGTTCGCTCTGCGTCGGCGGAAGAAATAGGCGTCGTCAAAATGATGTCAAGAAATTTTGCAGACGCCGCAAAGGTAGTTACTAGAGTGATATCTATGAGAAACCCATAGAGCGCGCAAGTTGATGTGATGTTCAAAAAAGTTTGATTGGTGTATATACATCGCAATTCATATTCCAATTTACCCACGTTTATCATGGGGTAAAATTTGGAGACGGTAGCCAACAAATGGGTGGGAAATTGACGTGCAAATTTTGAAAAATTTTTGGGGTTCATCAAAGAGAACGCGGCAAGGTGTTCAGTGCGCAGACGATCGCCTATTTGATTCACCAGAATGTCACAGCATTCCTTTGCAGACAAAATCAAACGCTGCGTTGTTTGCCCGCGGCGTAAAGTAGCACTCCATGTGTCGTCGTATTTTATTGTTTCCCGGATACGAGATACGGCATCGTAGAAGTCTGAAATACACGACTGCACAGACGCTCCATCCATTAGCCTTGACTGCAATGCGCCGTATAATACATCCACGTGATAGAATATTGTGGAGAAAAAAGCGAGAAAAAATGAAAACTCACCATCTTCTAGCAGACGCTTTTGACCTGCCGCCTCCCTCACAGAGCGTTCGTCCCAAACCGGAGAGCTCTGAATGCCATTGAAACACTCAATGAGCTCAGACCTAATTTCGGACACGCCCTGCACCACACGTGATTGGAAGTTCCAACGTGTTGGTGCACAAGCTGGGAGACGGCGGCTACATATCTGGCGAAGGAGGTCAGAGCGCTTCGGCGAAACGGAAAAAAATGAAGAAAACCACGAAACATTTGCAAAAAACATACGGACGAGAGGGGTATCAAGACACATATTTTTAATAACGAGGTTAAATTGGTGTGCATAACAATGTAAATGTAAAAAATGCGCATGAGGAAAATCTTCTTTTAAATAAACTTGAACACCATGTTTCGACCCACTCATGACTGCCGCGCCGTCATAAGTTTGAGCTATCAATTTTGACTTCGCGTTGTAAGGCTGTAACACTTCTTTCAGTACAGCCGATATCCCGCAAGCCGTGCGATCAACGATTTGTACAAAGCTGTGAAATCTCTCGGTAGGTTTACCATCTTTCACAAACCAAAAAATCACAGCCAGTTGGGAAACGCACGTGATATCAGTTGTCTCGTCAGACTGAATCGAAAGGAACTGGCAATTCTCAATTTCCAGAGCCAAATGTTGTAAATAAATCTTATACATTGAGTCGAGCAAATCATTTTGGATATCCTTAGATGTCCCTTTCGAAACAGTTGCGGCATCAAGATGATCTCTCAATTAGGGCTGGGCATTTCGAATCGAATATTCGAATCGAATCGAATAGTAAATTATTCGAATCGGTTCAGACTGGAATTTCGAATCGCCGCCATCTTGTTTTTATCTTTCCGCTAATGGTCGAGGTGAATTCCCAAATTTTTTTTTCATTGAAGTCATATTTTTTCAACGAAATTCTAACATATGACTCATTTCTGTAGTGAGTTATTGATAAAACGTGTTTGTTATTCTGTGTGAACGCTCAGTAATCTATCTGAGTGATTTATTCTATGTCTTCAGTAATTCATTTGTTGAGAGGACCAATTACTATGATAAAGTCGCTTACAATTTTATATTTTCAAGTATTCGAGATTCGATTCGATTCGAAAAAATTATTCGATTCGATTCTGAAATCACAAGGTATTCGAAAATGCCCAGCCCTACTCTCAATACTGTATCTAGGGATGCGGTGTATTCCATCATATCCAAAAATACCCCTCTATTAGAAGAGCCAGCCCGTTCATCGTGCCCACGGAGGGACAGCTCGTGACAACCAATGAACTTCAAAGCATCTATCAATCGACCGAGAACATGGCGGTTTATCTCAACGTTTTGGTTGTGCCGACGAATAGAAACCGCGCGTCCTTCATCCAACTGTGCTGCAATATTAACATTTCCGAATGTTCGGTATTTTATTGCATTGTCCAGATGCTCCATAGAAGATTGATTATCCCTGGCACGCTCGGAAAGATGTTTAAGATCTCTAAAACCAAATTTACACCAACGTGAGTCACGGGCGGTAGCAAAAAGTAGGCAATAAAAACAAAAAAGTGCATTTTTGTCCTCGCTGTAACACAACCATTCGTGTTTTTTATACCAAGTTTCTGCGCAGAATGTACGCCGACGCTTTCCTCCGTCATGGGATTGTTCCAGTGAACAATTTTTTGGTTGATAAGGCCCAAGACGTTGTACCTCTAATTTTTGTTCCAGCGGCAGCTGCGAAAACGGAGTGCGAAGTAGTGCATCAACCTTATTCATTATGAGGTCTAAGGCTAAGAAATGCGAAGCCGGAAAGAAGTGAGGAGCTCAAAAGGAATGTGGAAAATCGAAAGCAAATGGACTAAAGGTCTCTAACTGATTCAAATAGCGAAACAAGCGACGAAATCGAAGGCGAGGAAACTATCAACTCTTCAAGCAACCAACGAACGAGAAGGAATGCGTGAATATGTCAACACGTTGTTGTAAGAAACGTCGGCATTGTGTCGTCATAATTTCGGGGCTAGCCCCGATCGGCCCCAATGATTTATTAAAAGAAACAGAAAACAAATGAGACAAACGCGGCGAGTGGAAGATAAAAGAGAGAATACGATATACAATGAGCAACCGGGGCAAAATCGGCGTCGCCCCGTTGACGTTCGGCGAAGGCTTTGCGAGCGAAAAATGAACCATGTCGGGAGAATATGGCTAGTGTAGACAGTCTGTGCAACCGATATTGAGGTATTTTTCGAATATTTTTTATTATACCGAAAAAACAACCGGGGCATTGCCACGGTTGGCCCTATTGACGCGCCGTCACTGCTAAAATATATACCACATTTACTTTATGACCTAAGCATGTTGTGCAACTATTTCTTTTAAGTTACGACAGTGTTTACCAACCTATGGGTCGCGACCAAAATCAGGGTCGCCCAAAAAATTTCTTGGGTTGCTTGTTTTTCAAAAAAAAAAAACGTGAAGGTTACTGATATTGTTTTCTAGTGAATGTTATCGTATATTTCATATTTGGCATTAAAATGTTGCTCAATAGTAATTGTATATGTGAGAAGTGTCAATGTCTAAAAAGTTGGCAGCATCATTTTTTCTAAATGAAAAAAACCACCGTTTCAAAAACACGCTAATAGGAAACAAGCGTTGCCTTCTCACTTCGGTTAATTTATGAGGTAATAAGTGTTATGTAGAAATTATTGTGTTATATTAGTCATTAAGTTTGCGGCCATAAAAGTACTACATTCCGTTTAGTATTTGAGCATATCTTTGGGTCGCGGGATTTTACAAAATTTAATTAAAAGAAAATTTGTGTCGCTTAAAAAATGGTTGAAAAAAAAAATTTTTGCCATATATTTGATTTCCAAATTAGTCATTTTTATGTGAAATTCGTATTTAAATTAATTCAAATTTTCCCCAAAACAGAATAAAATATCACCACCACCAAAACCAAAATGCACCATACATCTGAATTCTCCTGATATTATTCTGTCATTGCCCCTCTATTTTCTTAAGTCATGCAAAGTATCGCCAGCCCCAAATTAAAAGAGAAAAGTAGGTTAATAATCTAAGACAGTGCTCTTCAACCTTTTTGTTATTGCGGAACCCCTGATATCATTTTTTGTTTTCTATGAAACCCCAAATAGCAAAAATAAAACACGAAATACTCGTAACACGAAATATTATTAATTCAAATAATTCTACTTCAACAGCGAAACAGAAAGAAGGTAACAAGCGTGAAATTCGATGACTAAGTTGTTCTTGCATTTCCTTTGCAATCTACTTGAATCGTGGCTCCACGGCGCTCAAAGCAATTCTCATACTCATGTCTACACTCTTTAAAAACTTCTTTTTTGTTCTCATTAGTTGTTAAAGCAGAAAATGCTGACTTATACAAATAGGTATTGGAAAACTGACACAGAATCTCAATGCTTCTTTTGCAATGGCTGTACCCTTTTTGTGCAGAGAAATCCAAAAATATTCCCTAAGTTTTTCGAAGATTTTCTCCGAATTAATATCATTACGGATATCTAAGAGTCCTTCTTGCTGTTGCGCACTTAGGAAAATTCATCCAAAAACGGAAATGAGGAATAATCATTTTTGCAACTTTACTGGCCTAGCAGTCATTTTTTCCTTTACGCGGAACCTCTAAGGCAGTGGTCGGCAACCACCGGGCCGCGGCCCATCGCCGGTCCGCGGAAAGGTTACTGCCGGTCCACAGAGAAGTGACACAAAAACGGACAAGGCCGTAATAAAACCTCTACAATCTAACCACAAACCCTACGACTAAAAAACAGCACCCAACAGTAAACAAGACAAACACAAAACAAGGGGTCGGAAAAAATGCGGCCCGTGAGCTAATATGTTGCGGCCCTTGAACGACCCGACATCTAATAAATGAAACAAAAATTAATCCCAAATTTATTATTGTCTCTACGCGGATTTACGTGATGACAAGTGCTGCTGCACGGCGCTCCTTATGTAACAAGTAGCGTCAGTTGTATGTCGTTCGAGTTAATTTTGATTTTTAAAATTTGAAAATGTCTGAAAACCGGAGCGACGCGGGTCGAGCATTCCAAAGTGCTTGAACGGAAAAATATTTTTCTTTCTTGCGCATTCCAAAACCGGTTTGCTCGATAAGCCCAGTCAACATATCGCAGTTGTTAATTAAAGGTTTCAATGTTAAACTCGTTACGAAACGACTAGTCGAAAATTCGACCCCGATACCCGGGACTGCGCTACAGCTCATCTGTGCAACAGTGCAAAACGTGTAATGTGCACGTTCGGAAGAACATATGGTCTTGAGCAACTTTAACTAAAATGCATTACACTTAGATTAAATTTCGTACTCGCTTGTCAGATCATCATTTGGACAAAAACATCATCTTTCACATTGATAATAAGTACACAAAAACAATGTATTGTTGGATAATAAAAAAAAAACGCTACATATACATCTCATTGGGACAGGCTTTCAACACAGCAATAGAAGGGTAGCAATGCGAATGCGCCATAATTTGAAGTTTAATTATGGTAGCGATTGTTCGAAGGCGGAAATATTGCGGCCCGCGCGCTACCAGAAATGTTTAGATTCGGCCCGCAAGTACATGAAGTTTGCCGACCATTGCATAACACTATTGAGCAACAATGCAACATGTCTGATTTCATAAACAATTGCCATGTCAGTATGTCGCAATAATGCTGGGTCAATTGTTTTGTCTACGCCCGTATAAATATGTCTCTCATCAGTCCGACTTAGATATCCCCAACAAAACGATACAGGCATTGTTAACTTTCCCGAAATCTTAATGTGAGGCCTGGTTTTCAATATTAATAACTACAAAAACGAAATAGGCTGGAAGTAAGAAACACGTTACGTGTGTCAATGTCGACCATATCTTAAATATGGGAACAGTTAATGGCCATCAAACAAATACAGACATCACATCAAATAGCATCACGGTCGTTTTTAGTATATTGTCAACGTAAATTTCCTAATGCGTACAATTTATTGCATAGGCTTGGTTCGTTTGTATAAAGGTGGTCCGCCAACAGTTTGGTCAAGCTTTACCGGTCCGTCACTTGAAAAAGGTTGCCGACCACTGCTCTAAGGAACCCTATAAACTCACGGAACCCCACTGCATGTGTTGCGGGACCCTAGGTTTCCGCGGAACCCCTGTTGAAGAGCACTGATCTAAGATGAAGAGATTCAATAGACCTTAGTGGCGCTATGAGAGCCCTCACATTGAAATTAGAATACTGAAACACTCGTAAGGCCTATGAAACAATAATATTCAAGCGGCAGCCTTAATTTATAAATTATAATTATATTCAACTTTAATTAAACTCCATTTATATGATGCGCTCCGTTGCTCTTGACAGCGCCATTGGTTTTGGCGCCCCAAGTGTCAATTTCTGATAAAATATGCGGAAATTTCTTCTGGACAAATTCATGAACTTTGACCGGATTTCCTGTTGATAATGATTCATTCACTACGTGACAGCAAAGAGTCGTCCATATCGTTTCTCTTCCGACAACTTTTAATTTCGATTTACCTGCAATTAATGCGAGTATTAAATTTCTTGTATATATAGTTGAAACAAGCGTTGAGTTGACTTGAGTCATTGATTATATTGAATCAGTCATCTAAATAAAATTAATCGGACACGTACTCCAGCCTCCCGCTTATTTTAAATTAAAAAAAGAAGCAAAAAAGGGACCAGAATCTTTATGGCTTGACATTGCATACCAATTTATTACAGACATAGGCGTTTCAAACTTTTCTGCTGCCCTGATAAGGATGCCCCTCTACTGCCCGGGACGAGTTACTGATAATAAATTGAAGGTCAAGTAAGAGTGAAATGTTTGTATTATTAATATTTGAATCATCAAACTACGCAACAAACTCACCCGTGCTGCATATGGCTCGGCACCTATGGCCCCCCTCTGGAAACGCCCATGGGTGCACCCAGGGGTCGACAAACTGCGGAAATAATTTTTGCGGCCCTCGAACTTGCATAAATGCATAAAACAAAAATTGGTCCTTTATTTATTATTTTCTCCGCACCGATTTATGTGGTAACAAGTTTTATTGTACGGCGCTTTTTTGTAGTAGGTAGCATCAGTTGTATGTCGTTTACTTGGTGTTGCTTGTAATTATAAGTTAAGTACATTTTGATTTTTGAAATTTGCGACGAGCGTTAAACATTCCTAAGTGCTTGGAAGGAAAAATATTTTTATTTTTTACGCATTTCAAATCAGCTTGCTTGATTAAGCCATGTCAGCATCGCAGTTATTAAGGGATTCAATGTAAACGTCATTACGAAACACGTCATTGCAAATACGAAATTCGACCCCAAGAAGGTGCGAGTGCGTCATAATTTAAAGTTTAATGTGGTGATTATTCTTATGCGAAAGAAATGGAACCCGCACGCTACCGCAAATGTGTATATTTAGCCCGCAAGTACATACAGTATGCCGACCACTGGTGTGTACATTTTGAATAAAAAAAAAGAATCCCCACCTCTTACGACATCCATAAAGTGCATAACCTCTTGTCTGTATGATTCATTGTACCGGGACATACAGCTATCAAAAATAGGAGGAAGTGTGGTCCCGTGATTCCCATGAGTTTCATGGCATAGTGGACGAATGTTGCCGCCGCTTAGCATTCCTTTGCTACCGAAAACCTTGGAATAAAAGGTGTATTTTGTTAGAGATAGATCGATGTAAAGTATAGCATTTTTGCAAGTATGCTACCAATCGACGTTTCCTCCATTATTGGGTACTTTGTTCACAGGACACGAAATAGACCTATTGAAGATTTTGCTGAATCGCTGTTGTTTGAATTGGAATGTTGCTTTTCTAGAAAATCGACTTTTACTCCGACTTAGGGTCAAGTCAATCAAATATTAAATGAGACGAGACGCATTTTATTTTTCCAAATTTTTACAAATTCCTACGGGTACCACGAATTTTGTTGGTTTTTCATACGATATTAAATATTTAATAAAAAACACTTCATACGATATTAAATATTTAATAAAAAAATATTCTGACTCTGGTTACAGCAATTTTATGACCAAGTATATGACCAGTGTCACTTTTTCCCTAAAGATTAGAATAATGCTTTGATTCGGACTCGATTAAGTCGGAACAGAGACTTGACTTGGGCGTCTGAAATAATTTTGAAATAGGAAATAATTTTTTCTAATTTTAAAATAAAAAAAATCGGGTGAAGTTGTCTGTGATGCAACAATTGAAATTTAAATTGCCGCTCACAGGCTTTTATATTTTTAAGCACGCTTGTAAAAGTTTGTTTGTTTTTAGTCTTATGTTTCATTTGGACGTTTTTGCTGAGTTTGGCTGTTGTACAGATTCCTGTTTTAAGCAAAAAGGTGTAATGTTCAATACAAGTGCAGACTAAACTTTTAGGCCTGTGGTTCTCAAACTTTTTAGGCCACGCCCCTTTGTACAATTTGTCAAGTCCCGCGCCCCACCTCAAAAATAAATAGCTAACAATAGGCTACGAATAACAGATAGTAAAAGGAAAGTATGTTTTTTTTTCAAAAACACGTTGGAAATGCGAGGATGAAACGTAAATATCCAAAATAAAGAAATGTAAATATCCAAAATAGGGCGGACAAGATCAAACCTAATATTTCTATTTTGAATTAGCTTCACGCCCCCTCAAAAAATTGTTTACACCCCCCTTACGGAGCGCGCCACACCGTTTGAGAACCACTGCCTTAAAGAGAGTTCTCCCGGTGCTCCAGAAATATGCGCACCAAGATGTCGCACAACCTGAATCATATCCGGTACACACCCACTATGTTCAGGTTGTGCGCCATCTTGGAGGTCCGTCCTCCCTTTAAATTACCTCAATTCTTTGGTCATGTCCGTACGTTGCCTCTCTATTGATGTCACTGTGACCAAGGGTGCCGTCAGGGAACTTCATTGTTATGAATAACTGGTCCACATCACCAATATCACGAATATCGTCAAAATGGGCGTGGCCTGAAACAAAAGTGGGTGTGGTTAGCGTGAAACGCTTTTACACCCTTAAGACCCACGGTTCCAACCTCCTTCAAAATATTTGACATTATATTATACTTTTGGGGACAAGAAAATGGGGGCGACCGCCCCTCCCCCCTCCCCGACTTTCGATTTTTTTAAAAATTGTGCAACCATTATGCAACTTGCTGCAATATATCTGCTCAGGAATAGATCCACCGAAAAGAAAAATCCGTTTAAAATGTGAATATTATACTTCCAAGTAGTCCTACATACTTCATAATTGGGCAGACCGCGCTTCGCATGGGTTAAATACGCGCCAGGACGTCATAAAAGCCGAAAAAAATTTTCACGCGACTTCGGCGCGCTCGTCATCCCCCTGGAGGCCGTATTGAATACAAATAAACGCTTGTACAGAGATATGTGTAGTAAAGCCAATTAATAATACGCGAGGAACGTAAAACGTGTCACGAACGGAATAACACACGCAAAAGGTGTCCTTGAGCGAGCGATAAGTTATCATCGTCATAATATTATTTTGCAAGATCGGTGAGCCATTATTGGTTAATAATTTTATAAGATAAATTCTGATTGGATAATTAGCCACACCCTTGTTTTCAGTCGATGACGCTTGTGTATTCTGTTGTTATCAAGAATTCACCGCATTATTTGTTTCACTATTATGTAATTATAACTCTTTAAAAGAAGGCAGTGGTGTAATTCAAAATTTCAAGAACGTTTTTTTTTGTATCAATCTCACTAACAGCGGGTTCACTTAATTTCAGGAAACCATGCCAAATATATAGCGCTAAAACAAGAGCTGATATTGTGAAATTACAATAACGGGTTCGCTCCAGCACAATACAATTCTGCAACCCTTGGATCGCAGCACTGCTTGAACAAAAAAATGAAAAAAGACGTGTGATATCCTGTTCTTGCTCAACATGTCACTACATAGAGCGTGTGTAGTAGACAACACTTAAATCTTCCAAAATATAAATCTTCCAAATCCCATGTCCCACCCCCAGGTATTTTAAAATGTATTTTTCGCAATGACAAACCAGAAAGGTCTTTCGCAAAATAGTAGTTTCTTACATATTGTTATATATCAGGGCTGCTTTTTATTCTGAGCGAAAAGCGCGAATCGTCTAAACGAGAATATCGGTCGGAGACCGAAGACTTATCGATCAAAAATGCGGTTTCGATTCATGACTCTATAGTGACACCGCGTGTCCCATCACTAATTAATTAATAACTCGCTAATTATACGACATATTTCATCCAAAATCAATAGCCTTCTGGTCCGAGATATGATGAATGCACATGCAAAATTTGGAGCAGATTCAACCACGCCTTCGTGAGATATCGCGTGCATCTAACAAACAGACAGACAAGCAGACAGACAGACAAACAGACAGACAGACACCTATCAACAAAAATGAAGTCTTACCTATTGCATGTATTTTATCATGGATTTGCCCGCAAGCCATATTAACATATCCACATCACACTTATATCACACCCAACAATATACAAGGTATTCATAAAGTACATTTACAATTTCAATTTTGTTATGAAGTCAATATATCTCAACCAGGTTTGTTGTTTTTTAATCAATAATTGTTCAAGTATTTTTACTTTATTTAATACATCAGTGAGGACCAAAACAATATATGGTATCGATAAATTCTCCTCGCAATTTTAAAAAAATTGTAAAACTTTATGGACACGCTATATACCCAGCATAACCTATGACAAGTGTGGCAAATCGGGAATGACATTTTAAAGCAGCGCCTGAGAGCAATTTTTCATGAAATAAAGTAGTCTTACCTATTGCATGTATGGTATCAGGGATTTGATCCGCGAGCCATATTAACATGTCCACATCATGTATGGCCATGTCTAATGCAATTCCTCCAGAAATTTTCAAATATTCTATCGAATTCCTTGGATGATCACGTGATACACTCTTCACGACCTTTAACCTTCCGACTACTTCCGGGATTTGGGAACGAATTGCTGCTGTTTGTGGATCAAACCTAGGTAGAAGGGATAAAATATATAAACCTTAGTTACTAACACGGCTCCGAACTAGATGTTACCATTTGTATTTTACAGGCGCTCTAGGAGTGTGTAACCAATACGGAGGTAACTAATTTTGTTCGCCCACTTTACATCAAGTTACAATTATGGGCAGGGGGTATATTCAATTGGCCAACACAGACAGTCCCCGAACTCGTAATAGAACTAAAATAAGAAAATCGGAATGAAATCATGGTCTGACCCTAACCTGGTACACACACTACGGGAGTACCATCTTACACAAGAAAACGTCGCCCTGTACACGCCTTGAAACAAGGAACTACTAATACCTTGGTAAAAAAAAATTATGTAATTGTGCGATATTAGTTTTACGGTGCTATTTCCACAAGAGCTCAAAGTTTCATGATTCTGCCAGTAGTCGGAATGATGAATCAGTTAATCAATTTTATATTTTGCCGTAACAGGAAGTGAACGAATAACCGATGTTCATTAACCGTTGATTCATAAGTCCGATTTATTCATTTAAGTATTGTGATATCATTTTGACGCAAGAAATACAAAAATATTTTTCTTTTGAAGTACCGGTGTACCAGTACTTTACCGGTGGCAGTTTGCACAGAAACTTGCTCAAGTAAATATAGGGTGATTAATACTTTAATTCGTTAATATTTTATTTCATCGTAACCGAAAAAAAACGATTGACCGATGTTAATTAACCGTTGATTCATCAGACCGTTTGATTCATTTATTTGTAGCAATTTTTAAGACGCGATTTTGACACAAAAAATACAAATTCGTGTTGCCGGTGCATCAGTACTTTATTATTATTTTGCCGAAAATCTTCGGTAAACCGCGGTCATTTAACTGTTGCTTCATAAGTCTGGTTGATTCATACGTATAACGATTTTTATGACGTCTAGATACCGGTATACTAGTACTTTACCAGTGGGCGGTGGATATCTACCTGCACAGAATTTTGCTCAATATTAAGATGTAAAATGGCTCACACAAAAAGCGAATGACTTTTTGGCGCTCGTGAGAAATATACACATGCATATGACCGAAATACCCATTGCGTATGGGTGAGGTCCACGACACTATAGCGTGCATTGCATTTCTGACGAATTGACAATAGAGCTCAAAATTGACATTTCATGTTTTTTTGTCATGGTCTAAATTGTGTTTTACTCCTTTATGGTAATATACTTTCGTGAATGTTTGACGTCATCTGCTGCTGAAAAATGGTGTCGCTGACTCGCTGACTCTGATAGTCTTTTCACAGCCCCTCGTCCATTGCAGTTGAAACATTGTACGTTTTTTCGACAAATTTATTTTTTGTTATATGCACGATGTTTGTTGCAGGTGAAAATAAATACCCGAATCTGTCGCTAATGGATACCACTTAATTTTATACGTTTAATGTAGCAGGTAATAGCATAAATCTCAACCTAACACGACCTCGGGCTGTCGGTGGGTAAGCGATATGGTGATATGGCGATATGGTGACTGGTGGTAGACCTCACGGTATCCATATTGTTACTTATCGATTTTAATCGGTAAGTATGTTGATAGGTATTTGTCTGTCTATCTGTTAGATGCACGCGATATCTCAGGGAAGCGAGATTGAATCTGCTCCAGATTTCGCATGTGCATTCATCATATGTCGGAACAGAAGCCTATCGATTTTGGTGTCACTATGGAGTAAGAGCGCTGTTTTGGGGATCCCCTAACTTTCGATCGATAAGTCTTTGGTCTCTGACCGATATTCTCGTTTTTTTTTAATGATACTTTTAATAGTGCTGACGTAGTTTTGTGCACCAGGACTATGATATTACGCGTTGGGTGTTCAAATGCTTCTTCATGTTATATGGACGTGTTCTATAACAAAAGATATAATTCTGGGATTTGTTGGCAAATTGATATTGTTCAAAGGACATATATACAGTTCTTTGCGATGACTAATTAAAAATGATCTTGGGACGCCATAGCGGGGACAACATATATTATTAAATGTTCGACGGTTTCGTTTTCCAAGCGAGTGTCGCGAAGTCAATTGTCGTGGTGCCCAATTTTATGAAGATGACATTTCAAACGACAGTGGCCTGTTTATAGTCTGAACAGGATTATTTTACCACGGCATAGCAGCACCGTTTTGTCCTAACTTATGTATAATCTTTAAATAATGCTATATAGATGGAGCGTTTAATAATCCATGTTCGATCTTACCTTTTATTAAAAGCACAGAAAAGTGGTCTCTTTTCGTCTTCTGCAGTTTTGTAACAATTGACGATCGATTCCAGAGACAGTGCTAGAGGTTTCTCGCACATGACTGCTTTTCCTATAAAAATATCGAAGGTATAGGTAATATTGTTCACATTTTAGGTGACACTATAGAGCCAAACAGTAGCCAGGCTTCCGCCCCCATAAAAAAAAAATTCTGTGTAACGAATGAGAATTGTAGTACCTTGATATAAGACTTTATTAAACTTAAATCAAAAGCACACTTAGAATGAATTTAAAGTAAAATATACCACAAGTAAATGTTATTAAACAAGAAAACAAATACGTATCGAATTGCTGATGCTAACAGAAAGGGGCTCAATAGTTAAATGAATAAAGTTGAAATAATTAACACACTACATCTACAGCACAGCAATGATTGGTGTCTGATTTAAAACGCTCCAGGAGTCATCGCTGGACTGCAGCTGTATAAACAAATAGATATATTGAGCTACATTTACAAAAGTTATTACATCCTGTATGATAGCAATTTTTCTTGGCTTGAAACGCTCTTTAGACCCGCATGACCCTTGAAAACTCACATTTCCTCCGACGCTCTAGCTGTTACGGTCTAACTCGACAATTAGGAATATTAGAACCCACCTTTGAAAGTTTCTGGCTATCAATCAATCAATCTTTTATTTGTCAACACAAAAAACAAGCATATAGAAAACTGTTACAACAAACGAAATATACCGATCATGTGGGCTACGCTCCTGGAGCCAAAGAACCATGGAATACCATTTTGAAAACGCGTGTCGTTCAAGTACTTAAAATGTGACACTACATTCCAAAAACGTGACATATCATAAAAAATGTACCGTTAAAACAGGAACATGTGATACAATATGTCGATCCCTTATGAGTACAGTTTAAGTACACACTTTATTATTTTGAAGCATTTTTTTTCCAAAAAATCAGTACCTTTTTTTAAAGCGGCTTTTACATGCGTCTCATGCATTTGCGTAGGACAGCATACAATAACGGCATCGACTCTATAATGAAATTATTACATAGTTAGTGTAATCTCAGAACAAAGTTTGGTGCTACAGAAGTATGCGCACCAGGATGTCGCACAACCTGAATCTTAACCGGTACACACACATACTATGTTCAGGTTGTGCGCCATCTTGGTGCGCATACTTCTGGAGGTCTCAAAGTTTTACTCAAGCACTTATATATTTCCGAAGCTAGTATTTATTTAACCTTTTCGGAACGAAAAAAAAAATTATCTATCTTGCATACCAATTTTTTAACTTAGCAATTCGAAATTTTACCTATTGTCCTCATACGCGGTATCGACGTCATCAGTATGTAGGGCCGTTGTTGAAACCAGATTGTATTCGTTTATGTATTCTTCCGCAAATGTCCTATTTACGTCAATGATATAAAGCAGCTGCACTGTAAGGAAAAAGTGGATTAGACGACTTAATCATAAAGCAAATTAATGATTTTCGTTCGGTTACCAATCCATGTCTAATAGCAGAGCAGGTAAACCGTTATTTGTTTCCGATGCATGGACTTGGTGGCGGATGAGGCCGATCGCGCCATATTCGCTTATACCAGCGGTTCCAAAAGGGGGAGCCACGGTGCACTATTCGCTTAGTACGCCTCGAAAATAAACATAAATGTGTTGACCATAACATAAATGTTTCACTGGTTCTTATTTTAAATACTGTGTATATAAATCAATAATTTCATTTTACTGTCGCTTACTTTCTGTTACGATCACAAAATTTTATTCAAAATGCAGCAATTTATTTCGTGTGAGTGCACCCTGGGTTTTTTCCCTGATTTTTTGACGCCTCACGAACAAAAAGTTTGGGAACCGCTTGCTTATATTATTCAGCTTCGACTAATTGAGACCTACACTATTAAGTATTATTAACCAACTTTTGTTGCTCATATGTGATTCTATTATATTTTCTTCGACTCAGTCAAGGATGGCCAAGTCGGTTATATATCATTCTGGCAAAATATTTACAATAACAAACGTATTCCAAATTAGTTATTGCTCAACGGAGAAATTTGCAGAAATCCTTATTCTCATAAAAATTGGAATCAGTATAAATTATGTCTCCTGCCTCTGCTCCGAATCGAGAATATCGAATATAAGCAATTTCGGATCAATTCGAATCGTTTTGGATATCTATCGGGACTCTCAATCACCAAAATGGGTGCTCCAAAATTGTGTGTAACAATATTCTATTCTAATTCTGTTTGCCTACTTTACATTAAGTTGTGTAAACCATTGGCAGGGGGTATATTCACTTGGCTAACACAGACAGTCGCCGAACTCGTAATAGAACCAAAATAAGGAAAATCGGAATAAAATTATGGCCGAACCCTGACCTGGTACTCATACTATGGGAGTTCCCCAAAATATTGGTCGCTCATTACACTGTCATACTCACCTCTAGGTAATCGCAATATATTCGAAACATGAACTTTTCCAATCCTCCCGATGCCGATTAGAGCAACTCCTATTACGTCATTTTCATTTTTCACGTCACCCATGTTTGCGTCAGTAAAAATTTTTTGATTAATACTAAATCTGTTTAAGCAAATCAATATATAGGATTAAGTCTGTGAAAAATGAAAATTCATTGAAAAATATTCAGTATCAACGCTAGTGCTTTCCAATCGGTGTTCCGTGCAAGACTTTTCGCGTGAAATCGACGTCACACATTTATTTTCTTGCTGACATATCTTATAATAAGTAAACGAGAATATCGGTCAGAGACCGAAGACTTATCGATCGAAAGTTAGGGGATCCCCCAAAACAGCGCTCTTACTCCATAGTGACACATTGTGTCCCATCACTAATTAATTAATAACTCGCTAATTATACGACATAATTCATCCAAAATCAATAGGCTTCTGATCCGAGATATGATGAATTCATATGCAAAATTTGGAGCGGACTCGCTTTCGTGAGATATCGCGTGTATCTAACAGACAAACAAACAAACAGACAAATACCTATCAACATACTTACCGATCTTAAAATCGATAAGTAATAAACGAAAGAAAATCAGAAATCAATTAGCACGGAACTCGTTGGTTTTAAGTCTGTTGTGAGTGAACATTGTTGCCTTTCAAATGATAGTTTCGGGTTTGATTCTCAGCCGACGTAATTTCTAATGACGGTTTGCGTAAATTTTAATGCAAACTCTGAAATCTCAGAATCTGGATTTTCATACAAGCAATCAAAATGTTGTTCCTAAAATCTGTGAATCAATGAGGAGTATGGAGATCCAATCGCCGGCTATCACCACTTCGGTATAGTCTATCCCAGGAGCGTAGCCAGGGAGGTGGTTTTCGGGCCTCGGGGTCATAACCCCTTCCTTTTATAATGTAAAAAATAATAGAATCTTTCTGTGTCATACATAGCGATTTTGCTTGAAACGCTTTTAAGACCCCAAGACTCATGAAAACACATGTTTTCCGCGTCCGATCGGAACCGCTAGCTGTTTCGATCTAACTGCTTGACAATTAGAAATGTCAGAACACCCCCCCCCCTTCGAAAATTTCTGACTACGCCTCTGGTCTACCCAATTCATGTTGCGTAATTCGATCGACCACTCCGAAAGGTTTTTAAGTTCCAACAAATTTGCTAATTCACTCAACACAGCAGTAGCAGTCACTAACAAATCTCTTCAATTCGGTATAGCCAACCCAATTCATTACATCCTATCTAAGCCCAAAATTTACTCCGAATGTATCTGTATTTCACTGCATACCTTTGCATCACTAAATTTTTAATTTGCGAATCGATACCTTCATCTCACAACCTTTCATTGAATGTTTATCAACTTCCCATCCCCCAAGGCTGTCTGTGAAGCTAGAAGTCCCAAAACGATAAATATTTTCCTATGAGTTTTGGGATTTAAAATTGCCTGCGGGTGGAATTAGACAGACATGAATGTTGTTTCTACGTTGTTTCACGTTTTCGCTCAGAATAAGACGCCGTACGAGTAGTTAAGGATACCTTTTCATACTCGCTATATTATGTAAACGCTATTCTTGACACTGTGAACTGCAAGAAGAAAAAAATTCGCGATAATTTGAATTAAAATCGAAACTGAAAATGAAAAAAGCAGCCAAGTCCAACGCTTTAGCCGCTAGGACAGTGTTTTCCAACATTTTTTGGTCGCGCACTATTTTCTTATCGGCGAAAACCTTTGCGGACTCAAGGTGCGGTAATTGTAAGCGTACTCTGTGTGAAGAAGCAATAAAACCAAACACAACAGAGTTTTGAAGAATTTCAAAATCGAAAATTTGCCGCAATTACGCTTTGTTAATCAAGAGAGCCGACTTTTTTTTAGTGTATAAATGGCCTTTTCTGTCGCACAATATTCAATCCATGATAACGACAAGAATTTAAAATGTTTCTCTATTTCAATTTAATTGTGTTCATGGTCACTCGCGGTTGCGTCGACTGATGACAAGATGAAAGCATTACTTCTTTAAAATGCCGCGGCAATCTGCGATCATAATAATGTGAGAATATATTGCTCGATTATATTTAGTTTTGATACATATTTTTTGCGATCTTGAGAATTTGTTATCGCCGTTAGAAAAATCCTATTATCTGCTATAAATTTTCAGAAAGTACAACTTGATTAGGTATTTATTGAAAATTTAATTGAAGATTATTAGTTAATCAATAAAAAAAATATTTATCGCCTTGTTTCAATATTAATTTATTTGTGATCATTTTAATCTGCGGTTGTGTTGACGAAATAAAAGCAAAGTGAATACTACTCGGAAAATATCATGACAATCCGTGGACACAAAAAATGCGTGGTAAAGTGCCTGAATATATTTTGTTTTGATTCGCATTTTCGTGAATTCGACAAATCTGAGCTGTTTGTACAACACTTACGGCGCCCAATGTGGAGGCCGTAAAAAAGAGAATCCTAAAGGAAAATACCCTGATACGTGTTCTATAGCACAGTGGTCGGGAACCCATGGCTCGTAAGCCATATATGGCTCTTTTGCTGACGGCATATGGCTCCCAGAAAAATCTAATGTTCTAAGGCTAAGCTTACTATTGTTACGTAATTTAAAATTCTTTTTCAGCCAAATTTGACAGAAACGCTTGAGAACGCACGCCCAGCGCATGTCTATGTTATGTGAGAGAATTACCATTTTAACAAGCCTTTTGTCCTTTTGTCCGTTTGTACGTACCAGTTACAGTATTTGTCATATTTAGATCGGACTAGCGAAGCTAGTTTTCAAAATACTACGGATATGCCTAACCGAAAGAAGGGTGGTGAGTATCGTAGATTCCAACTTGAGCTGCATGTGAGCAGCCGTTCAAGCGACGACAATGCAGCATCAATAGTCACATTAAATGTATATTGACATTGTATGTGTTGGCTTTTGAGTAAAAATTCAGGCTTGATTAAGTGAATAAATGCTATATGGCTCGCACAGGAATGCAATTGAAAAAATGTATTTTTATGACTCTCTTGACCAAAAAGGTTCCCGACCCCTGCTATAGCATTTCAGAAAAGGTCAAACTTCAATAGCATGAGCCAGAAGTTCCCATATTTTTCAAACACACCACGCATCTACTTTTTATTATACAAACCACCATTCACCAGCAAGAAATTTTCATCAGACATATACTTTCAGTGCTAATTTTGGCGCTCGGGGGGTATTCGTACCAAGATGACGCACAACCAGAACAACCCTAACCTGGTACACATACTATGTTCAGGTTATGCGCCATCTCGGTACGAATACTTCGGGAACATCTTAATTTTAACATATTTGATTATTTGACCCCAGAAGGTTGTGTTTATAGCGGTGCAGATTGTCACTCAAATACATAACTTATTTCATACGGTATGATACAAATAGTTTTATAGCACAGTAGTTAGCTCGTTATTCTATAACTAATTTTATTTATTCGTTTCTATCAATTATTTTATCATCTGTTATGCTGATTATACAGTCGAAATAAACTTATACTCACAATAGCAAAATACCACATCTAAGTTCGGGAACAGTCCCCTAAAATAAAGAGTACAGCGTACTGTTGGTACCGCTGCCATAAGCTAATATCACTACTGCACTTCTAAAGCACCTTGCAACAAACACATCAATTGCGAGGGACGCACGATAAGCGGATGTTTGCTGTGAAGTGTACGTTTATCGCTACGTTAAGTCGCGACTTTCGTGTTTGTTTATTTTATGAGCAAACGCAGCTAACCGTGACGGGAAATTGCAGGGCTATTTGCGCAATCAACTACGAATTAGGCAACTGAACAACTAAACAAATATCACACAATACGGCACCATTGTATAGCATGTGTGACTTCAAGCGAATAAGAGTGCACCGATATAAAATATGATAGGATGGGTAGTTTGAATTGTTATCCCGGTATAGATAGAGAGAGAGAGAGTTTTGTCAACCAAAATACAAATAATTTTAAAATAATAAATTACACAGCATTTATTTTGGTATAGACTGGGAAATGGCGATACGACCAAAGGTCATCAAAGTCAGCCATCACCCATTCCAGCCAAATAATTATTAAGAAAAAATATATAAAGTAACCGTCGACCAGTTAACTACCAAATATTTAAACGAAGTATACTCTCAATACAAATAATAGTGTAAAAAGAATAGGTACCAGAAAAAATAATTAAAATGTAGAAAATTATTTAAAATTACCTTGAAAATTGAAAGATAGTAGCAAACAGTGGCTATGTGACAATTATGTGATGATTAGTTACACGTTTTTTATCATTATTGAATATTTTAACTATAGACAAGTCTATAAGACCGCTCTCTATTAAATGAATGTGTAGTTAGTTCATGTTTAGACATAGTTTATCTTTTTTTTTTAATAAATTATTTCAGTTGTGTACAATACAATGACAAAAAAATTCAATGATTTTTTTTATTTGTTAGCATATTTATCTTTTTACTGAGTAAATGATTTAATGTCTCGCTTTTTTTACTTCCGACTTCATATCTCGATGATTGTATGTATGTGTGTGCGTGCGTGTCCTAATCAGTTTACACGTACTACTTTTTGGACACGTTTAGTGGCCATAACGATCGTTTCAAAATTTTGTTGTTATTGTTATTTGTCTCCGTCTCCATTTTTAAAAAATCGCTTTTCTCTTCGAATACTGGACCAATTGCTTTGATATTTTCAGTGGTTAAAGATAAAATTTTTCTCCAGAAGGCTATTACTTTTTTTTGTTGCTATGACGTCATCAAAATTATTGCCACTGGGTGGCGCTACGTGTCCATATATCTGAGTAGAAGCTCTCTTGTTTTTTATCAATACCTTCCCATCTAAAATCTGTACGCTTTAAACCTTACTTGTGGTTTCGTTTGCTTTCCCGATTCTATAAGCAGTTTAATTTATTTTGTTTTCATCAATTATTTTATCGTCTATTGCTGATTATGGAGTCGAAATAAACTTACACTTGTTATATTAATACAATACGTACAGTTTATGTCGAAATTTTGAAAACACATTCAATGACACGAACAGAAATATGATGGAATATTATGATAAAACTCGGAACTTT